CCGTGGTGGTATGCAAATCTTTGTCAAGACTCTGACTGGAAAGACGATTACTTTGGAAGTCGAGTCTTCGGACACCATTGACAATGTCAAGTCCAAGATCCAGGACAAGGAAGGCATTCCTCCTGACCAGCAGCGTTTGATCTTTGCTGGTAAGCAGCTGGAAGATGGTCGCACTTTGAGCGACTACAACATCCAGAAGGAGAGCACTCTTCACTTGGTTCTTCGTCTGCGTGGTGGTAACTAGGGAGCGAATGCGCTCGTGTTTGTGTTTTTATGATACTCTTTTGAGGCGTTGGGACACTACGATAAGCGGCGGGCATAGCCTGGGCCACATTGTATTCTTTTAGCTATACCACTTGCGCAGACAGCGATTACAGCGCTGCGCCAATACAGAGTCACTTGAACTCGTAAACAATTTGTGCATTCTGTGATGTATCCGAGCGCAGTATGCAAACGCGTTGTTGAGTATTTTTGTAGGACAGAGCGAGGTGGCGACCCCACCAGTGACATGTTTTGTTATGGTGGGGGCGTACAATTCTTTTTCTGCCACGAGGGGCAAAAGCTTCAGGTTAACTTTCCTAGAGCATCAGCTTTTTGCGTCCAGCTAATCTATATGGGCTATCGACTGCGCGACACGGGGTAAAGCATTACTATAATGAGTCTAATGTACTCACGGCGAGAGCATTTTTCTTCGAGGCGTACTCTGCCACCGAAGTAAACAGAGGCCAACGAAACCGCCCAGGGCGACAAGGACTCTGCAAAAGGAGGCCACAGCGCCGCCAACTTCCCTGGAGAAAGGAGGGGGACGGTAGCACATCAGAAAGAACCTGGCCATGCCTTCGTACTATTACCACTTGAAATTTGAGCTGTATCCAACGAGCGACCCGACTGCGTCGCGCATCACTGCGGACGACGACGACCACATTTGGCTGCCAACACCACAGACAAGCGTGTTTGGCGACTTGCCGGCGCATTCTCGACAGATCGACGATATAGGTGCTTCAGAAAACGGGGTCGAGCCGCAAGCGTCGACGCTGGACTGGAGATTCGGCCGCGTGAGCATTGAGACGGTTGATCCGGCTATGGAAGCTGAGACGAGCAGGAACGGCGGCACCATCGCGGCGGCCCCGTCTCTAGGGCCCAGCTTTGCCGGTTCGGGCACGGCGACCAAGGCGGCCTGCGTGCGGCTCAACACGCACCGCACAAACGTGGGTTGGGGCGTGGTGCACTTTTATCGCGACGAGCAGGAGAGCCGTGGCGTGGTGGCGGAGCAGTTTGGTGTCGGAGAGGAGGGGGAAGAGGAGGAACCGGACTGCTCAACGCTATGCGTGCCCGCGGTGCCGGCGTACATGGCGCCCGGCGACCTTTGGGGGTTTGTCGGCGAGCGATGGCGTGGGGACATTAGCCACTGCCGCATGGTCATGACGGACAAGATGAACAGATATCTGGTGCTACTCAAGTTCCGCCACGGCAAAGTGGCGAGGGAGTGGCAGAAGAAGTTTGACGGGACCGTGTTTAATACGATGGAGGTATGCACCTCGCCGACATAGAAACTGCAAGGAAAGAGAATAATGTGCTGACCTGTCTGCAGCCGCAGGTTTGCCACGTCGTGTTTGTAAAGAGTATCACTTTTGAGTCTTCGGCACGCAACTTAACCCTACCGTCGATACCATCATCGTCATCGGCACCAGTCTCGAATACGCCAAAGCCGTTTCCGCCGCCGACGCCGAACCTGGTGGAACTCCCGACGTGCCCCGTGTGCCTAGAGCGCATGGACGAGACGAGCGGCATCATGACGATTCCGTGCTCGCACGTGTTTCACTGCACGTGTCTGCAGAGCTGGAAAGGCGGCGGCTGCCCCGTGTGCCGCTTCACCAATGCGGCACCCGGCAGCGCAGCCCTCGCCGACGCGAACCCGCTTAGCCGGCCCTTTGGCTCGCACGTCTCTAACCTGTGCAGCGTGTGCGACTGCGCTGACGACCTGTGGATTTGCCTTGTGTGCGGGTACGTTGGGTGCGGGCGATACAAGGGCGCGCACGCCAAGGACCACTGGAAGGAGACGGCGCACAGCTTCGCGCTGGAGCTCGAGACACAGTACGTCTGGGACTACGCGGGCGACGTGTGGGTGCACCGTCTGATCCGCGACAAGGGCGACGGCAAGGTCGTTGAGCTGCCAGGGCGTAGTAGCGATCGCAGCGCAGAGCCTCGCGCGGCGGCAGAGGACGAGGACGTGGTGCCGCGCGCCAAGCTCGACAACATGGGTTTCGAGTACACTCACCTCATCACCAGCCAGCTCGAGTCGCAGCGCGCCTACTACGAAGAGATTCTCAGCAAAGCCGTCGACAAGGCGGCCAAGGCGTCCGCGGCGGCCGAGTTGACCGCCCAGCAAGCGGTACGCGCGCGGGAGCAGCAGTCTGCGCTCGAGGACCGTCTCCAGACGCTCAGCATGCAGACGCTGCCGCAGCTCGAGCGGGACCTGGGACGAGAGCGGGCAAAGGCGGAGAAAAGCGAGACGCTGGCGCGCAGTCTGAGCAAGGCGCTGCAGGAGGAGAAGCGCGTGAGCGAAGGGCTGATGAAGCGCATCGAGCACCTGGGGACGGAGAGCGAGGAGACCAAGAGGCAGCTCAAGACGCTGACAGAGGAAATGGCGGAGCTGAGGGAGATGAATCGGGATCTGAGCATGTTTATCTCGGGGCAGGAAAAATTGAAGCAGATGGAGATGCAGGGAAAGCTGGAAGGGGGCGAGCTGGAGGGGGGAAGTGCGAGTGTGCCGGAGAAGAAGAGTAGGAGAAGGGGGAAGAGGTAAATGGAGAGAAACTTGGATAAGCGTTAAACTGTATATTATGGGAGCGATATTAATATTGCATTCTTGTTCACAGTAGTACTATACACATGTATTGGTTTCTATGGCATGCTGTGAAAAGTGTTCACTGCATGTAAGTTAGCGTCGTGATGTACCGTATTCCTGTGCCATCTCCTCCTGCTTCCCGGGTGGCACTTTATTCACATTCTGATGCTTCTCACGAGTTGGCCCATTTCAACGTTTCCGCTTGCTGAACCACGTAATAAGTTGGCCTTGTTCTTAACAACCCACTGAGCATGCCGTGGTTTTGCATGGTGCATGCAGCCACCCTGTGGTCGCGTTCTCAACCTCAAAGTAAACGCGGAGGAGAAAAAAACAAGATCAGGTCTTGATACACATGGAAAAGGCAAAGTTTTACTTGCTGTTGAGCTTATGACTTTTGTTTGGCCCGTTTTCCTCTGTCGTGTCCACGTTGACCTCTCACGACTATTCAAAGGAGGATGTGCTCCAAACTCGATGGCAAATACTAAGCAAGACGGTGGAAGAAAGAAAAAAGAAAAAGAAAAAAACCTCATATTCTTTTTCGACGTGTTCTTGTCGCACAGTCTGGTCGACCGAGGGAAAGACCGGAGACAGAAAAGGACGTCCGAGGGTAAGCAAGCCGTCGGGCTGTCCGAACCCACCGACCGGGTGGACGGCGCGGGCCAGGCCGCTGTCACAAGCCAATTTCTTTCTGACAGCTCGGAGCTTGAATGAATTTTTCTTTTTCCTTGTTCTCGGCCGGGAAGAAATTTTTTAGGGGCAGTGGAGATTGATCAGGTGCCGCGATTGCCTCTGCATTTTGTGGCTGTGACAAGGCTGTGGTGTGTAGTTAGCATGTAAATTGACGACGACAGGCATGGGTGCTATCCATTGCCGTATTTGCTGTTTTGTACCACCATCTTCAGTGCAGAAGAGCAAAGCAGTTTGCATCTTCGTAATCGACCTGCAATACCTTTGCATTTCGGCGCCGCGGGAGAGCGATGGGGCTCGACCAGAGACGACAGCCTTGCCCGCAGGCCGGACATCATGACCGCTTCCGGCGTGCCGAGGCCGCGAGGTCAGCGGCGAGAGGTGGTTGTGGGCTGCATATGCAAGGCATTCCGGATGGAAACCGTCTGCGCCTGATAGCGCGATTATAGATTATGGTTCCTGATAACAGTTCATTCGGGCCGGGCTTATGCACCTCCTTGCGGTAAGTGTGGCGGGATGTGGTCAAGGTGAGGCCGGAGAATAGGGAAAAGAGCGCATGTATACGGAGAAGATGATGATTAGGGATGAGATAATGGCGTCACATGCAAGCCGTGTTCGATTGCAGCCTTTTCTGCAGCAGCATGCATTTCCATCGAGTTTATTGCGGTGTAGTCATACTGCCCTCGTGCTGCGAGCTTTTCCTAGTGGTAAACGCGAGGTACCTAACTTACCTATCCGTACCTTATCAAACGGTCTTTTCCAAACCTTCAGCTACCTATCCGTAAACGGCGGCGCGACGCTTGAAAACGAAGAAGCCAATCCACATGCCTAGCGCCATCCGGGGATCATCCCTTGTGCCTTGTCTTGCCATGATGGGCCTGGTTGTCCATTTTTTTTTTTGTTGCTTTCTTTTTTCCAATGGCTGATGGCTGGCAGCAGCAACAGAGGTCTCCACTCGATGACCTAGAGCTGCAGCTGGGCGCCGCCCAACCATTCTCCTCACCAATCTTGGCCCTGCGCTCTCGAGTACTCGACATTTAAAAACAATACAACCACTTGCCTCCATCCTTCTTTCCCCGTTCCCACCTGACCGATCCGATTCGAAACGACATTTTCCGTATCTTTACTCGTTAAATATAATCATTCGCGAGCCGGGCCCTGCGCGTTCAAAAGATAACGGCAGAGACGCGCAGACCTTTCATACCTAACTACCTTCCTCGACCCTCACTCGCTTCCCCCGCGCCGACGCCCGACTACAGAGATGGCCTCGCAGGCCACGGCAGAAAAGCCCGCGGGCCCTGCCTCCGCCGTCGCGGGCCCCAAGCACAAGCAGAATCAGAAAAAAGAGCTCTACCCCATGGTCAACTGGAAGTATGACCTCTTTCTTCACGTCATGGGCAACGTCGCCGACCTCTTCTTCCGCGAGGTGGTCTCGCGCGGATCATGGAAGGTGCCGCAGTCAGGTCCCGTCCTGTTCGTTGCTGGACCTCATGCCAATCAGGTACGGAACTTTTCTCTACAGTTGAAGCTCCGACAGCTTGCTGCCACGACGGCGACGCTAACCCCTCTCCCGCTCAGTTTGTCGACGGCCTCATCCTCCAGCGCACCCTCCGCAAAGAGGCCGGCCGCCGCGTCTCCCTTTTGATCGCGCAAAAGTCGGTCCACGGCTTCATCGGTTGGGCCTCGCGGCAGGTATCGTCGGTGCCCGTCGGGCGCGCCCAAGACGCCGCTACGCCCGGCTCAGGTACCATCTACATGCCGGACCCGATCGGCGATCCGACGCTGATCCGCGGCGTGGGCACCAAATTCGGCGAGGGCGAGGGCGAGGTCCAGGGTATGCTGTTCCTGCCCTCGGCCAAGGGCGTCAACGGTGAGAGCATGAATATTGAGCGCATTCTCGGTCCCGACGAGGTTCGCCTCAAACGGCCCTTTAAAGGCCGCCTCGCCATGCAGCAGCTCACTGGCCGTGACGACATCGACGACGACGGTCGCTTCACCAACAAGGGCCTCCGCGGCGTCGCGCCCGGTTATAAAGGCACAAAGTACAAGCTCGCTCCGCATACGGACCAGACGAGCGTCTACGAGGCCGTTTTTGACCGCCTCCGCAACGGCGGCTGCGTCGGCATCTTTCCCGAGGGCGGCTCCCACGACCGCACCGAGCTGCTGCCGCTCAAGGCCGGTGTCGCCATCATGGCCCTCGGCGCGCTCGCTGAGTCGCCCACCTGCGGCCTCAAGATTGTGCCCGTCGGTATGAACTATTTCCACGCCCACAAGTTTCGCTCCCGCGCCGTCGTCGAGTTTGGCAGCCCCTTTGAGATTCCCCCGCGCCTCGTCGACATGTACCGCAACAACCAGCGTCGCGAGGCCATTGGCCAGCTGCTCGACACGGTACATCAGGCCCTCGGGGCCGTCACCGTGTCGGCACCCGACTACGACACCCTTATGATGATACAGGCCGCGCGCCGCCTCTACAACCCGACCGGCAAGAAGCTGCCGCTGCCGCTCGTCGTCGAGCTCAACCGCCGGCTGTCGCAGGGCTACGAGCGCTACAAGGATGACGAGCGCATTTTGGCCTTGTCGCGGAGCGTCAAGGAGTATAACGCCCGTTTGCGCTACCTTAACCTCAAGGACCACCAGGTTCAGTACGCCAAGCTTAACTTTTTCGTCGTACTTGCCCTGCTTCTCTACCGCTCCGCCAAGCTCATCCTTCTTTTCTTCTGCTCTCTGCCGGGTCTCATCCTCTTTTCTCCCATCTTTGTCGCCACCAAAATCATTAGCCGCCAAAAGGCCAAAACGGCGCTCGCCGGCTCAACGGTCAAGATTCGCGGGCGTGATGTCATGGCAACGTGGAAAATTCTCGTCGCGCTCGGCCTGGCGCCCACAGTCTACCATATCTACTCTATCTTGATTGTCGCGCGCGTCTGGTACGACCGCTTCTGGGGGTTGGTGCCGGCGGCGCTGCCTCTCTGGCTCGTGTACCTGATGGTGTGGCCCACTATCATCGGCATCACGTTTGCGGCGCTGCGCTTTGGCGAGGTGGGAATGGACATCTTCAAGTCGCTTCGGCCGCTGGTGCTGTGCGTATTTCCATCGTCGGGGTACAACATCCACCGCTTGCGGGAGCAGCGGGCCAAGCTGAGCGCGCAGGTGACGGACGTGATCAACGAGCTGGGGCCGGAAATGTTTGACGACTTTGAAAAGACGCGGCTGGTGCCCGATGCCAAGCACGAGCCCCCAACACCGGCGGGCGAGGGCCGGCGGCGCGACAGCGAGGCAAGCATCGACATCTTTGTGGATCCTCCGGTGGACGGGGTGTCATCGCGGACGCTGCCGCGCAACGACTCGTTCAGCAACATTGGACACGTGGGCATCTTCTCGACGCGGCCGCCGTCGCGGTCGCGTAGCCGGTCGCGATCGAGCAGCGCCGGGGGTGGGCTGGGCCAGAGCGCGTTTCCCATAAGCGGCTTCACGACGCTCGACTCGGCCGAGGGCTTCAACGAGGCGACCCGTAAGATTCGGCAAGCAATGAAGGACCGGCGCAGAAAATCGGACAAGATGAAGATGGAGACGGGTGGGGACGATCAGGCTGATGATAGTGATGACGAGGGCTACGATGAGGCGAGGAAGAAGGATATGTGAGGGCGTTTTGAAAAGTGGCTTTATTTCTCGAGCTTTCGTATTTGTCTACTTTTGGTTCTTTGGAACTGAGTTAAGCGTCTGACTTTGGTCCTGGTTTTTTTTCTTCGATTTCATTTTACATTTTTGACAGCGTATATTGTTTTGCTATAGCAAATTCACAACGTATCAAGCGGCACATGGTGTTCCATGTATCCATGTACCTTGTGCCACTCACTCCTCAGCAAATTTTATACGGTGACGACACATGGCAGCACCATGTCGTCAAAGCTTGGTGGGCAAGAAGAGCTGCACAGGGTGTGGTGGGGTGGCGAGAAGCGAAAGGCAAGGCCACCTGGCCCTATCAAGAATGTCGTAATGCAACTGACGCAAGGCCACAGGGGAGGGGTTCGTAAGCTCGAGAGAGTGGTTGGCTGAACAGGATGGGCGGATGGCGGCGCTGCGCCCGCCAGTGCGGAGCAAAACGCGGAGGGCCGAGATGGCGGGTTGCAGCCCAACGTTGGCGGCGGGCAATTGGGGGTGAAGGATGAGGGAGGGGGTACTGCTTAAACTTGGTGAAAGGGCCAAGTTCGGCTTCAAGGCTCGGAGATGGCCAATTGCCACGGGTCGTCGCGCGCGTCACTGTAATACACGCCAACTATGGGTATGAGCATTACGTGTTTAGTTGGCTTTTGCGCAGCGTCAATTGGGACCGAGATTTTTCAAGAAGCTCGGGGTCCGACCTGCAGTTGCCTGTTACAGTTGAAGACTTTTTATCGAAACAAATCGACGTCAGAGTATATATACATCTCTACTGCATCCTTCACTTCCTCTCTCTTCAACACTTTTTTTTCTCCCCCTCCCTCCTTTGCCTCATCATTTTGAGTAACTATTTTACTCACATTCGACCTCTATCATCTCCTACCTCCATATCCCCGCTGACCTCATCCATCGACCCCTCCCCTAGCGGATTTCCCGGGCTCATTAGCCGACCACGTTCTCCTTCGCTCATCCCACCCCAAACCCGTTGGGCCGGTGCTGATAGGCTGGAATTATTTGATCTGATAATTCTCGCACCCACCACGGTCCCATCACCATTCACCACCACCATTCAGGGCCGAGCGTTTTGCTTTCTGTAATCGGCTGGCCCTTTTCGATTCGGCAGCCCACTTTAACGCTTCTCCGCATGACCACCAAAACGATTAACAATCCAAGCAGAATAAGAGGAATAAAAGAGTAATCTGGGGGACCGGGTACATTTGTGTTGGTGCGGAACTTCGGAAGACCCAGACGCCAGTTTATTTCCTATATCTACCCAGCCCACGCACCCACCTTTTTTTTTCCCTTCTTCTTTTTTTTTCTTCTTTTACGATGGCACCGACAGCCACGCGTCGCAAGCCCGTCAAGCAGAAAATGGCCGTCTCGTTCAAGTCGCTCATGTCGTCGGTCCTCGGCCGGGGTTCCGACGGCGGGCCCACGCCCATCGAACAGCTCTTCCCCAAGACGGACCCCGCGGTCGACGGCGACGACTGCCTACATGATTGCGAGGGGTGCAGCGTAAAGTACCCGCGCGGCTTCAAGATTGAGACCGAGGACTACCTCTATGGGCAGGTCAAGGAGTGGGCGACGCATGTAGTTGTCGCCACGGGCAAGTCGGACTGGGTGCGCGACAGCGCCGATGAAAAGGGCAGCGTCATGGAGGCGATTGAGAAATCGGCGCCCAGGCCCGCCAACGGGGTAAAGTCTCTTCCTATTCATCTCCCACTGCGCATCTGTTGTCTTTTATCAGTATGCGCCGAGCTAAAAACCTCTCCGCTAACCACTTTTCCATCTCCAGAAAATGAAGTTTTCGGCGTCCAACATGCCCACCCCCAACGACACCACCGACTACTCGGAGCCCACCACCGTCCTGCTCCTCCCCGCCTTTACCCTCGTCCGCAACGTCCAGCCCGCCAACGTCTCGCAGCTCGTAACCGACATTATCGACAAGGCGCCCACCAACCGGTCCCCCATGGCGCCCTTTTCCCTACCCGCCTCGGTCCCCGGTGGCGGCGGCGCCACGCCCGATCTCATCACGAGCAGCTGCCCGCACAGCGCCGTCATCCTGCTGTGCAGCCAGAAGACGCGCGACGCCCGCTGCGGCCAGAGCGCGCCGCTGCTGCGCAAGGAGTTTGAGCGCCATCTGCGCCCGCTCGGGCTCGCCCGCGACTTGCACGACGAGCGGCCCGGCGGCGTGGGTATATACTTTATCGACCATGTCGGCGGCCACAAGTACTCTGCCAATGTCATGATTTATCGCCGCGCCAACGCCTTCGATCATGACCAAAAGGCGACAGTGGCGACGAACGGCGCGGGCGAGAACGGCACAGGTGAAAACGGGGCCGTGCCCGTGACGCCGGACATGGGCGCCGCGCAGTGCATGTGGCTCGCGAGGGTCCGGCCGGAAGACTGCGAGAATATCGTGCGGTACACGGTCCTCAAGGGCAAGCTGGTCAAGCCGGAGAGTCAGCTCAGAGCGGGCTTTGACCGGTGCAAGGGACTGATGAGCTGGTGACACATGCGGAAGGGGCCTTTATCTGGCATTTGTTCTGGGCGTTTTGGGAAATTGTTTCGGATAGATACCGAATGGTTTGAACGGTACATTACATTGACACGGAACCTTGATTCTTTGAAGCAGCATGAAGAAGGATGCATTTCGACGAGCATCGTCGTTGCTTATACACGGTTGAAGTAGGGGTGGGAGCCACGTCTACGAGCCAGTGCTTTATCACATATTAGAAGAGAATGGCATTGCATGACATAGATAACAAGTCGGCCGTGGTTGAACAACAATATATTATGGTCAAGCTAGCCTGCATCTCTTCAGCATGTATAATACATGACATTGCTTGTCCCCATCTTATCCTGGCTGCCACCACACCACCGAGACAGACTTGATCACAATAACATGGCACTCGACAGAAAGACTGAGATGAGAATTAAACGTTTGTTTAGAGAGGGTATATATATTGTTCATTTTATTACACATGAGCCATTGCTGCGTGCTCTCTTTCCGTCCATCTATATACCAAATGCTTTCCGGGCTTGTCAAGCTGAATGCTGATAATTGCAGTAAATGACAAAAAACGCCGGTGCTCCCAAAATCAAGTAAGAATAGTCATCCAGACGAGAATCATGACCAAAGAACCATAAAGATGTTTATCCCAGATAAAGATGATGAAAAAAAAAAAAATCAAAGACCATAAAGATGTTTGTCCCGGATCAACGATGAAAAGCAAAGACCATAAAGATATTTGTCCCAGGAAAAATGATGACTCCATCCCATTTATAAACGCCATAAACACGCCGCTGGTGATAAAAATGTTTCCGATAAATGCATATTCATGTTCGTAAACATGTCCTTTTTCGTTTCCATGTCGTCTCGTCTTTTTCTTCCCCTCTTTCTTTCGCTGCATTTTTTTGTTTGCTTTACCCAACGCGCGGAGAGTAGAGATTTCACACGCACTCTCTCTCGAACAGCCTGCCTGCCACTCGGCAGACTTGGACAAATTCTGCTGCAACGATGGGAAGAAAAAAGCAAAAAAAAAAAAAAGTGAACTCCCCCGCCCCCTCCCCCTTCTGCCGCACAGCTTCATCATGAGACTTTTGCGTGTCCGCGGCAGAAAAAGGGGGGTCCGCCCCGGGGACTAGTCGACAATTTCCTGGCTGGAGCTGGAGCTGGAGCTGGTGCCAGACTGGACGCTCCAGCCCTGACGGACCATGTGGATCAGCTTCCAGATGCCAAAGGATACGGCGGCGAGGACGGCAAAGAGGATGATGATGATGATGGCGATGACGTGGTTGCGCTGCACCATGATTGCTGTTTGTGGGATTTGGAGGGCAAAGGAGCCACTCCGATGTTTTGAGATTGGTGTTTGTGGTTTTTGTATGCGTAGCCTTTCAGCGCTGATGACGATGATGATGATCTTTGTATTGATGCCCAATACAATGGTGGTGGTTGTGGTGGTGGTGGTGGTGGTGAGGCTCTGCTGTAAGTGGGCAGTGGATAGTAGAATGATCCAAAAAATAAGTAACGCGGTTACTATCTTGAGAAACAATTGGAATGCTCGAGTCTGTTGATCAAAAAAGGTATGAGATGGAATGTTAGGGAAAGAAATGTTTCTTGTAGCATGTGCGCGCAGTGAAGAGTTGATATACGGCCGTTTCCCGCCACCTCTTTTGCGCCTCGAATCAGTGCCAAACAACACAAAAATTAAAATAAGAGGCTGGTGGTTACACGTCCCCCCCGACGCTTGTCTGGGTTGTGTGACAGCGTGCCTGACATGCCCTGTAATTCCCCTGAGATCCACTACAAGTCTCTGGAGAAGAAAGGGAAAAAAATCACCCCAACCTCCCCCCCAAAGAGAAAATGGCCGCTAAAAAAACATTTCCCAGTGTGCCCAGCCCCCCCCCCCACCCTTCCGCCCAGTGGGGCGCATTCCAAATGGGCGGATTTTCAGGCACCCGAGGTCTGGGCAGATGCCAGGAACAAGGACATTGTCTCTCGGCAACCAGTTCTTCTTTGTTTTCTACAAGCTGCTCCATTCAAAGAATTGCATTGTATTTGTCCCGAGTTTATTATCTTCTTCTTATTTGATAAACACTACCATCGACGCCGTTCAGCTATAAAAGGGCAGACTACCCAGAGATTTGCATCCATCGATCCAATACCGCGATCATACTCCCTCACTATGAAACCGACAATATAAAACCAGCGGTCAGGAGAGAAGTCGCTGACAAAGTGGAAATAAACAGGTACAGAAAAAAGAGGAATTAAATGTCCAAGGCAGCATCATCCATAATCAGACCAGCACCTTCTCGTCCTCGTCCTACTCCTACTCCTCTACTTTCCCATCCACCGTACCGTACACATGTTGTCGAGCTTCTCAAGACTCCTCGGGTTTGACAATCTTAACGTGGCGCTCATAGAATTGGAGCATCTGCGAGTCATCATTAGCAATCTCATTTTCTCTCCCTCTTGTCCGTCGCCCGCGAGCAACCCACCTTTTGCGGGCACTTGGCGTAAATGACGCTCGTCGTGTGCCGTGTCTTTTTGCCATTCTTCCACACCAGGTACACCATCAGCTGCCCCGTGCCCTCGTCCTGGCATGCATCAATCGCATCAATGTCGTCTTCCCACGAGCCGGCCGGCGGGCTCCATGGCTTTGACGACGCTGGCGGGGATGTCGCCCCCGGATGGCCCGCCCCGTTGCTCTTGCGCGATCGCTTCACCGGCGTCGGATCCGCTGAACCGCTGACGCCCGCCTTGCGTCCGCGCTTCTTGCCCGACGCCGCCGTTGCCGTCTGTTGGAAGATGCTGTCGCGGCCGCCGATCTTGTTAAAGTATTCCTCGAGCACCTCGTTGGCCGATTCCCTGCCTTCGCTGTTAGTACCTAGCATTCGACATCGGTTTCGCGTCATGGTTGGCTTCGTACTCGAGATTCTCTTCTGGCTCCCACGTCATGTCCGCCTTCTTGTCGTAGCCTTCCCACTTGACGTGAAACTTCAATGAGCCCTGTATCGCTTGGTCAGTAAGATAACCTGCGCGACCGGATCCCGCACTCTGCATTGTCGCTGCGTACATCTTCATCAATCATGTGTTTCTTGATGGCCTCGACGATGAACCTGCAATAGCGCATGTCAGTTTTGCCCTGCGAAAGCGCCTCCGTCGGCCGTGTAACCTACACGTCCTCCTCGCCCTCCTCCTCCTCATCCTCGTCTTCGTCATCGCCGTTTTGGGCGAGGCCGGCCTTTTCTTCCGGCTCAGCCTCATCCTCGTCATCGACATCGACATCAATTGCTTGTGGTTTGGCTGCAGCTGCCGATCGTCGTGCCGAACGGGAATCGCTATCGTCATCGTCGCGCCAGCTCGCTACGGGCAGATGGGCATCGACATCCGAGCTCTCGTCATCACTAATCGCTACACGGCATCCCACCAAAAAATATGTCAGCAAAAAAACTCGACTAAATCACCAGAATCGTGCGCAAAAGAAGCGCGCGCGATTCACACACGATTGGCGCAATTTAACGCGGTTGACTTTTGCCCAGCCACCTCTCACGGCAGGGAAACACGGAAAAAAACTAAGACGTACCCGGGGGCATCGTGGGCGATGTATTATCCTTCGAAAATAAATTTCCAAAAAGTCTCGAGAAGCTCATAGAAAGACCTGGCTTGTTTGAACAGGGTCGCGAGGCAGAGTGGTGCTGCTTCCGGGTCGCAACGGAAGGAGGCAGCTTCGTCGCATCGCGCCAGCGGGTTGGCTGGGCAAGCAGCGTGAGGTGTTGGCGATGCGACTAGGTCACGTGCGCGTCGCTGCGCGTTTTGGCGCCAACGTCCGCCGCCAGCTCGCCCTTGACTCTTCAAACCGTTATAACAAGGTTCTTCTTCTATGAAAATGAAAACAAATCGGCCTTTCCGAAGTTGAGTAAGATCGATGCTGTGTATTAGAACTTTCGTTCATGATCGAATGTGCTGCCGATGCTCTCAGTCACCTGGTCGTGAGCATTGACGCGCATTGGGGCGCTATGAAACACAGAACCGCTGTAAGTGACGGGCCACTCTGCGAACATCTGAGCCTTCATGTTGCAATTCCAACCCGCATTTCTGCTACGATTCAGATTCATATACTCTGCTTGTCGGTACGACTCGCAATGAATTCGATTCTACCTTGACGGTCCGCGGCGGGCCATCCCGGCATCAGTTTCTGCGGCTCGTCGTCACCTCTCTCCTGTCCTCTTTGGACTACCACGAATGCCTTTCCGTACCGCAAGCATCTTTCCATACCATAAACATCCCTTTGACGCAGAGAATGCCAGTGTTTGCTCTGGAAATGAACAAAGACGTGGCATCTCGATCGTGTCCATGCATCCGCTGGTGGCTAACCCGCCATGAACGGGTCCGCTTTGACCTTCAGGTAATGACTGTCCTGCACGTCGATAGCCTCGGATGAATCACATTTAATGACAAGAGTGATGCTGTTTCAACTTGTGCTCGGAACGTAAAAAGGCAAACGCCTCGCAGCATGCATGCCCGGCTCTATTGGCCGAGCACGCCGCGAGCACTACACTGCCACATGGATCACAGTTACAACGGACCTTGGCAAATGGCTGGAAAAAGTGCTGTGCCCGAGATTGGCGACGAGTCCTGATAATCAAACCTTGATTACTTTTGGCCGGCACGATCTCCTTTCCTGTTGCCCTCTTATTCGCCGCATGCAGTGTCCTTACCTGTAGTTAGTTTACGCCCCAGCTTGTTTCTGCTAATACTGGGACTCGGCCTGCCCCTGGCCCCCTGCGTCAAGCCACCAACGGGGAACCCAATTGTCCACGCCACTCCGCGATAACGCTTTCGTTTCGAAACATTTTTATCTCTTATTTGATTTCAATGGCTGTTTTGATTGACGTGGCGAATCTGCAATCAACCTTTTCGAGCATCCGGACCTCTTCTCTCGTAGCGAATGGCTCCGGAGCTGCCTTGCCATGCCATGCTGTAAAGTCTGGCCCCCTGTAATACCCAACTATTCATTCCTAATAAGCCCGTTGTCAGACGAGGCTTGCAGCAACCGGGGCCAGGATACTCGATCTTTTGGACGTTGTCCCCGTTTGCCGGGCTTGCCGCCCACCGACTGGTCCTTTTGTCTGCCCGGCGCTGATCTCTAGCCATTGTTCCTGACGACGAATGTTGCATTTATTTGTCCCCGATCTACATGTGGGAGCGCCCTTAGCCACGGTATAGGAGTATTAGTCGTTCCAGACCCAGCGTTGCTTGTCGTTACAACCTCAGCAGCGTTCAGGCATTGGCTGACTGTAGTAACCCTTGCTGCGCTTCCGTCCATGGCTTGCAGTCATTGGTAGCGCGACTATAAACTGCGGTCTTCTTGCATGCTGAATCGATCACCTGACTGCTTCACAATCAAGTCGCCGCCTTGGTCGTCGATGTACATAGCTGCCTCGGAGGCTCGATGCACAGTAAATCACGACTTCACCCTCGCCATTCAGACGTGCGAATTGGGAATATACCGATCTCGAAGAAAGTTTCGTAGTGCAACAATCGCGACTTTGATTAGCAAGGTTGTTTCTGAATGCAATCTGGTCCGCTTGTATGCAACTCGAAGCGCGCCAGCAGGGGTGCTTCTATACTTGGCATGAAGGCACGCCTGCGCTCGACTTCGACAGTAGCAGTGTACGTCTCTATTGAAGCAGATCATCATCACGGCAACGAACAACGGTGCAGACTCGTCCCCACGTAGTCAGGTCATCAAGAAATCTCTTATCCGTAAGCAAGAGCCGGTGCTACAGTGGCATGGCAATTGGCGTCTGCACCAGTAAGGGGCAGCTGCGCCTCACCTTGGAGTCTTGGACTAACACCCGCATTGCCAACTCCAGTTAGGAGCTATCACTGTGAAAGCACCGTAGAGACGTGGTCGGTGCCATCCATGCGCGTCGTTAGCCCACACTGTACGCCGCTAGTGCCAGGGGCCGACGCAGGTGAAAGCGTCCTCGGCCAAATGCAGTGAGCTAGGTCTTGTGAGAGCTTCCACGTACGGTACAACGGATAGTTATGCGAGTGTTGGTGAGAGTTTCAATTTTCAAAGTTTGTCAGACGGACTGTGGACCGTCCATGTCGTGCGAATGGTACTAGTATTGCCAAACTCGCCAAGAATCTTGTCCGGAAATATACTTGTAGAAACATGTTTGAAAAAACGGGAAGAAGACGGGAGCAGCACTTCCGGCGCATGTTCTCCGCAGATCTGTCATGCATTCTTGCGGCATTTCAAGGTAGCCAGGGCCGACTTCAAACACTGATCAGAATAGTTGCATGGCTGTGGGCCGAGCTAATCGAAAGAGCACCATCCTAACCAAGGTCGTGTGTTCTCGATTGATACCTAGCTCGGGCATGCAACCAGCACCATCTGGACACTGGCTCGGATTAGCTTCAACGCGGCTCTTGTGTAGCTTGCTCATTCTCTTCAGACTGCGGTCTGAGGCGATTACACGTCCATAGTACTGATAAGGTTGTGCGGCCGAGTATCGTCACAGCGCGTTGCACACAGCTTGTCTGTATAGACAGGTTAACTGATATTAGAGGGACAGGCGTACATTTGAGCTTCGAGGCTGGCCGGGGAATGGCTGTGAGGTGCGAGTTTGCCAGCTCGCAGTGTAGTCTGGCTTTGAAAGCACGGTCGTTGGCCGCGACCTTGGCGAGTCGGCGACAGAACATCTGGACATTGTAGCGCCATATTCCCGCAAAGCGCCCCCATACGATGGTCCTTGTTAGATACATACAATCCGCATAGGAGGGGCACCGGCCCCTTGTAAGATGATGGAGGCTCGACTCTTCTTTGAGGGCTCAGGCGTAGCCATGCGGCCCGTATGCAGGCGGGCCTGCAAGTGCAGGTGCAGCAAATTACCAGCATGCACAGGCAGGTGCATATGCCAACTCAGTCCAGGGATGTGGTTGAGGAGCCTCGCTTTGAGATGGAAGCAGGACGAGGACAATCTGAAGACTCCGTAGCCGTGCATGTTGCCTGCGCGAGAGCTGTGAGGGCGGCAAGACGAGCGCGGAGAGTGGTAGATTGGGTGAAATTGATCGAGGCAAAGCAGCCTTGCTGGAGGCGGGTCTGGAGTTGGAAACGAACGGCCGAAGGCTATCGGCAACTGGCGGGTGTCTGGCTGGTGGCAGGGCCCTAGCGGCCGTTCAATGGGCGGCTTGTTGTGCTTTGCTGTACAAAAGGTTAAGTAAGGGCGGCCTATTTTTGTCACCAGCGGAGTGACAAAGACGTGCATGAGGGCTTGCCAAAGGAAGCATGGTATTTGCCAGGCAAGCAAAACTGTTCATATGTGATCCATCTGCGATCCACTCGGTGTGAGTGGTGTCTCTGGAGACATGGCAAGGTGGCCGGAGGGGAACGAGAGCCTGGTGAGGGGAGGGCCGACGAGGTCGGGGCCAGGCAATGGCGATCAGCCACGCTGGCGGGCGTGCTGCATATGGCTCGCTTCTTTAAATTGCAATATAAGCAAGCTGCAGCCGGGCATGTGGCTTATCGATGTCGCAAGAAGGCAGCCCTAGTGCCTGGCCGGACCAGGAATCGTGGTCCAGCAAGTCGGGATCGTTTGAGACGGGAGGCGGGAAGGGAGGGGCATGGTCAACTTTGAGACCGTCCAATCCATGCCACGTACTTGCAATTAAGCGAGCTGAAAATTGAACATGATCCGGAAGCGCTTTCTCGGGACGATGCATGTCTCTGCTGTGAAGCAGAACATGTCATGGTGTGCAAGGCCACGAGCCGCGAGACTGCGCGAGGGGAAAAAGCCTTTGGCGTGCGAGACAGACAACGCTGGATATTGGCTGGCCGCTGTTGGGTCGGGCCGGCAGGCAGGCGACAGGCAGGCAACATGGCAGGCCACGGGTATCAACAGCTCGTCATGCAGCACAAGAGGATAGCATACCTACCTACTGAGTATGTAGGGATACGTATGTAAGCAGCATAATAAACAGACAGCTTCGAAGCATATCAAAAACAGCGGCCCGTTTTGGTGGCCATACATATGTCATGTATACCTTTACCGACTCGCACTTTGCATCTACCGCTGGTCAGACAAGGTGGCCAGGGCCAAGAAGGCGACCACGCATCATGGCTGCAACAAGCACACCAGCACTGGGTAGGTATTCTTCGCGCTCGCACCCACCAACAGACAATGGGCTTCGTCTTTGCACGCGTCTCTGCTCTCGAGACTCTTGGCTTCCGCTCTGGTGGTAGTGCCATGTAATAGCTAGCGCACACAGCGAATGCCCTTTTCTGCCAGTGCTTTTTAGCTGCATTTGTGCTGAAGGAGGGGCTCGATACGGCGCGGCCCATTTTGCGCCCCGAGAGGTTCCACCCCTGACCCGGAGTCATTATTTGAGGAGAAAAAAAAATGATTAAAGAGGACTTACTTGAACCTCCTCATCTTCCACTCTTTCGCTCTCTTTTTTTTTTTCTTTTCTTCGCCGAAGGGCAACGGCTGCTGGAGGATCTTGTCACGGCGTGGAACTCTGCTTGATGCTCGCTCACCTTCGCTAGTCTCTGCCCTCTGTCCGCCTTGTATATACTAGCCATTGGAGGATCTCGACCTCCTGACGTTCGTTACCTACCGTTCTGCCTCTTTCCTTTTGCCTTTGGGCAGCTTCTTCGCTTACGCCGCCTTTTTTTCTGCCTTTTGTCTCTATCCAATCGTACCCAGGTCCAGTCCACCGATCTCTGCCTCCAATCTATCCTGCTATCCTTATGATCTTAGCAGCCACTGCTCCAGCCGAGGAGCTGTCCGAGTACGCCGTCTTTAGAGGCATTGACTCGTAGTTCCGGCTATATTTCCTCTGTTTGACACCGCAAGCGAGTCTCGCAGGCCCTGTTTGCTCATTCCACTAGTCGACCGCCCGTCAACATGGCTTCGCCCTCTGCCCAGACCCCTGAGGCTGGCACCCCCAAGCTTGGCGCCCCCAAGGACAAGAACTGCCCATTTTGCGGCCAGGCCTTCACCTCTTCTTCCCTCGGCCGACACCTCGATCTCTATATCAAAGAAAAGAACCCGAAAGCACCCGACGGTATCCACGATGTCGACGAGATCATGAAATTGCGTGGAGGAATCACACGACGGCAACCGCGGGGCTCCATTGGCAGACGAGAATTCAGCGGTACGCCTACGGGCACGCCCAGGCCTTCCAAGAGGAAGATACGGACAGCTTCGGATCCCGATGCTCCCAGAGCGACACAAATACCCAAGGATGGGCAATATGCCGTGGATTCGACCTTGAGCAAATTTCCCTACGTCGCCAGGTGGGAAGCAACAGGCGTGATGAATGACATTCCGCCCAAGGGCTCTGCCGACAGCGAAGCCAGTACGGAAACCGCCAAACGTCCATCGGCCGGACGCACATCCAGCAAGCAATTAGTGCAAAAGGCTCAATTTGACATCAAGCAAAAGCTAGCAGATGCCATGGACACTGCTCGAGCTGCCGAATTGGCCTTGCGAGAAATTATAGGCTCGTGGAGATCTGCAAAGTAGGCGCCCCTGCTGCGACCAATCCATGCCCTGTTACTGACCAGGTATCAAATCACAGACAAGAAATTGACAACAGCTCTAATCCATTCGAGTTTGACCCTTTATCTCTCGACTTTCCGGCCCTCACCTTGCAGTGTCTGAAACCGCCACCCACACTATTTTCGTCAACCCAGCATGCCACCTCAACGTCTTGGTCTGTTCAGTCGCCGGGCCAGCACGAGTTCAACGCCCTTGAAGCCTACTTTGAAGAGACTTTTAAAGCCTGGAAAATCACATGCGCTTCCGCAACTACGGCCGTTACGGAAGAACTGGTCACGCTTCCCACTGGAAAGTCCGCCTGGAACGTTCGGGATGCTGTGCAGAAAGCTGAGCGTGCTGCTGAAACCCTCGAAAAGCAAGTCTCTGAACATTTGCATTCTGCCTTTGCAGCTTGGGAATCAGTGCCGGAGCAACGCCGAAACGAGCTCTGGGTGCTAGAACTGGCACGCGGTGTCGGCAAAAAGCAAAAGGACGTTGATAAGTGCAAGAAAGAGCAGCACCGCCTCAAGCAGGAGAATACCAATCTGAGGATGCAAATCGACCAGCTGAATCGACTGCAGCAACCCCGCGAGTTCAAGCTCCTTTCGCCCACCACGTTCCCTTTGGATCAAGATCTCATTGCAAAAGCATATGGGGCAGGAGTTCAAGGAGCCAAAAGCATTGGCTTCGACGTCGAAGACCGGCAGTTTGATCTTGCTACCGTTGTTTCGAGATCTATCGGTCGTTGGAAGAGCGTCATTACTTCTACTCGAGCGTCGTCTTCGGGCATGAGTGCACAAAAACCCCTAGAGACACCCGAAAGTCCTGCTGCATCGGGCAGCGCTGCTAGCCCGGCCCAGTCCCAACAAACAGCATCTCAGAAGCCATCTGTGTCAGAACCAACTCCTCAACCCGGTCCCTCTCAGAAGAAAAGATTATCTGTTGCCAGCACAAATGACCAAGAGAGCGAGCAAACAGCACGATCAGCTACCGATACGGCTCCGCCGTCCGTGGCCGAGACGAGTGACCACGACGCCGACGCTGACGAAGACGCGGATGCCGAGATGGAAGATGACGACAGTTTTGCTATGATGGCTGCTTCCTCTGCGAAGCAACCTTTTCCCATTCAGCAGCAAGCCCAACTCGACGTGCCAAGAACAAGGGCCCAGGCCCAACAGCATTCTGGGGATATGCGCTTCTTGATGCCCAACGCCAGCGCTAGCCCAGTCACACGCAGTGCTATGAATCGCTCTATGCCTCAAATAGCCATGACTTTGCCAACGAACGCATTGCAGGAGATTGGCATGGCTATGCAAGGCGTCCGAGGCGACATGTACAAAGAATGACATATGGTAGTAATGAAGAATAGGAAAGAGTAAATGCATCAGTGGAAGGAAAGGAACCAAATAATCCGCAAGGAGTACCATATAGTGAAGTGGTCTTGAAGCATAAAATGTTTCTACGTGTTAGTAAAGGTAAGTACGTTGGCGAGTTGTAAATTCGGTCACGTATGGCAAAAAACTTGTAATGACTACGACTATTACGGCGCACAGCGCCGACGATGTGTTAATACGAATCATTCATATTTTCTCTTGTTCAATTCCGAGTTCTCTCGAAGTAACTAGTACAGTGTTATATATATTTTCTCTACCCGTATCCAAAGACGCAATTATTCATACAAGAAAATACTGAGGTGAGAATAGATAAACAGAAAACCCCAGCCGTGCCACCACTTTCGTGTTGGTCACATGGCTGATTGTAGCAGAGAGCATGTGATGATTCTCGGCGCATAATTAGACCAGGCTCGGCTATTGAGGCTTCATATGCTTGAGCTTCTGTTCCAAGGCGCGGACGGTGGACTTGGGCACGTGGAGACGGTGAGCGAGCACGAGGGCGCCAGACAGCACGGCGAGACTGCCGGCCTGGTGGGCAGCACCCAGAGGAATGGGTACCATGTATATGAGGGTAGTGATGCCCAGCGCAACCTGCATGCAAACGAGATGCACGAGACCGAGGGCGCCTTTTCTGGCGTTTTGGGGGAGGGCAGCGCCAACGCGGCCGCGGCGGGAGTAGACAAACAGGGCGAGGATGGCGCAAAAGGTGCTTACGGCGAGGATGCGGTGGTCCATCTGCACGGTGCTGGGGTTCTCGAGCATGTTGCGCCACCATAGATCCGAGCGATCCTCGCGGCGCGAGTAAAACTTGTCCCAGAGCTCCGAGGCGGGCGGGGTCAGGCCAAGGCCCATCTTAGGAAATTCGTTGTAGATGAGGCCGGCGTCGAGGCCGGCGACGAGGGCGCCGGACATGGCGGTGACGAAAATGAGGGCGGTGACGCCGAGGACAGTGCGGCGAAAGTTGGTGAGGGCGGGATTGTGGATGGCCTTGATGGACGCGAGGGCGGCCCGCGGATCGGCGGCCATGCGACGGGCTCGCAGCACGGACAGGCCGGACAGGAGCATCCAGGAGTAGCAGATGAAGGCGGTACCGAGGTGCGCGGTGAGGCGGTACTGAGAGACGCGCGGATGCGAGCCCTCAGCGAAGAGATCGTCCTTGAGGCCCGACTTGACCATCCACCAGCCGATGAAACCCTGAAAGCCAATCAGAGATGAGATGCCGAGCAGGTTGGCGGCCATCTTGGCGGAGACGCGGCGGCGAGCCATAAAATAGAGAGTTGGCAGTACGAAGCTCATGCCAATGACACGGCCCCAAAGACGGTGGCTCCATTCCATAAAGTAAATCTTTTTGAACTCGTCAACGGTCATGTGGGGGTTTAGGAGCTTGAACTCGGGCGAGGCGCGGTACAGTTCGAATTCGGCTTCCCAGTCCTGCTGGGATCTCGGGGGCATCGATCCGGTGACGGGCTTCCATTCTGTAATACTCAGGCTGGGTTGAGGTTAGTCAAATCCTGTAGGCTTGTGAGATTTGAGCATGTGCGACATACCCGGACTCTGTCAATCTGGTCAAACCTCCCCAGACGACAATACCAAAGACGCTAACAGCGCTACCAATGAGCCAGTACCCGACAGCCTTGGACGTCGTCTTGGGGAAGACGTATTTGGCTCGGGCAGATGCCTTGGTGGCTGCCTCGGAAGCCTCGGCGGCCAGAGCATTCACGGGACCGGTGGCATTGGCAATAAAGAATCGTGACTGGGCGGCGTTGAGGATGCGCGACGGGGGCGCCGCTCGAGGGGCCTGTCTTAGGCATTGGTTGCAGACAAAGAACCTGGAGGGTGCCTGGAAGGCAACCCGCCGAAAGGCTGGAAGAAATGCCGACATTGTCGCTTCTGGCGATGCAGCACGGCGGACTGATGTCTGCAATGTCAATCTTGGATGGTGGCGTGATGACCCCCGGCGCTGCAGCCGCTAAAGACAGTCCCTGAGCTGTCGAGGTTTCGGGCACTCTCGCCTGGCCAAACTCAAATACACGGCGCTGATAGGCCTGGCACATGTGGGTGCCACGAGGCGCACCCCACTGACACCAAGAGCTCTCTCACCGCCAAAATGTTGTGCGGCAGAAAAATGAAATGTCGAGATAGGCTTTGCGCTTGAGTATGTGGATTTTGTCACGACTACGATCTTAACCCATATTCGGCACCTACACACACCGTCGCCATGCCCGGACGCCAATCACACGGGAGGCCGCTCCTGGCAGCGGCTAAGACCAAAAATATCAAAAGATCAAAGTCTCGGTCGCAAAAGAGCGCGCTGAATGCCTTCAATACAGCATCGGAGCAGTACCCCACCAGAATAAAAAAGACGCCGCGTGTGCGCGAGCTCGATGCCGAAATTGAGCGAAAGCATGGCCGCGATGATGAAGACGATGACGACGGCGACGACGATGAGGAGCCTACGAGGAAAAAGACAAAGCGACCAGCTCGTGCTCAGAATACCGACGCCGAATTTGGAAGCGATAGCGAAGGAAATGAGTGGCAGCTCGGCGGCATGGCCGAAGATGACGAAGATTCTGAAATTGATAGTGACGACGCTTTTGGCGATAGCGATAACGAAAAATTCGAGGAGTACCAGTTTCGTGGTAGCAAATCAAAGTCAAAGGTGCGTGGAGGTAACGATAATGACCACCGGCGGAAAACTGACTGCGTGCCTAGGATGAGGACTCTGATAGTGACGACTCAAACGATGACGAAGGAGAGACCCTTGGAGCCGAGGCTATTGATCTGGCGACTGCTCTAGACCAATTCGAAGAAGACTCTGACGAAGAAGAAGGCAGTCAGGACGGCTCCGACGATGAAGATGAGGACGAGAATGGCTCCGACGATGACGATGACGATGACGACAGTGAATATGAGGACGCAGAAGAAGCTGATCCCGAGAAGTTGGACGCTCTGCAAGGCCTCATTTCCGGTTTCGGTGGAGAGGAAGACGATGCCGCCGAAAAGCCGTCTTCCAAGCAAAAGATCAGCTTTGGCGATCTCGGTCTTGCAGGCCTCAACGATCCATTGATGCGAAAGTCTGTCAAACTCATGAATAAGGAAGAAAAGGAAAAGCGGCCGGGCGCTTCCAAAAAGCTCGACGTGCCGCTTTCCCGACGAGAGCAGGGTCGCCTAGACCGCAGCGCCGCCTACGAAACAACCAACAAGACGCTTGACCGCTGGACAGAGACTGTCAAGGCGAATCGTCGTGCTGAGCACTTGGTGTTTCCCCTGCCCGAAAATGCCGCGGACGCTGGTGTCGACCGCACAGAGCTCCAGCCGCTGTCGACGGCCAAGCCCGCCAACGAGCTCGAATCCACAATCATGTCCATCATGGAGCAAAGCGGGCTCAGCATGGCGAAGCCTGAGAAGCCAAAAAAGGTCGAGTACGACGAAGAGGGCAACGAGCTGTCGAAGCGGGAAATCGTCAACCGCCGACGTCTGGAGCGCGAGCTCAACTCGCGCGAAACCAAGCGCGCCGCGCGTGTCAAGAAGATCAAGAGCAAGGCATACCACCGCGTGCACCGCAGGGAGCGAGAGCGCGATGAGCTCGCGACCAAGGAGGCCATGGAGGAGGCCGGCGAGCTGGACTCGGACGCGGAGCGCGAGGCGCAGGACCGCCGCCGCGCCCTGGAGCGAGTCGGTCAGCGCCACAAGGACAGCAAGTGGGCCAAGCTCGGCAACAAGACGAAGCGTGCCGTCTGGGACGACGACTTCCGCACGGGTCTGACGGAGATGGCGCGACGAGACGAGGAGCTGAGGCGTCGCAAGGAGGGTAAGCGCGGCGGCGGGGCGGACGACGACTCGGATGCGACGAGCAGCTCAGGCAGCGACAGCGACGACGATGACGAGAAGTTGCGCCGGCAACTGTCGGAGCTGGAGCAAGACGATGGCGAGCCGCAGTCGAAGCTCATGTCGATGAAGTTTATGCAAAAGGCGGAGGCGGCGCGCAAACAGGAAAACGATCAGCTGATCAAGGATATCCGAAAAGAGCTCGACGGCGAAGAGGCAAGCGACGACGACGCCAACAACGAGGAAGCTGTCGGCGAGGTCGGCCGCAGGTCGTACGGCGATCCCAGCACCAAGATGAAGCCCGTTGCCATTGACCTCTCCAAAAAGACCAGCAAAAAGTCGCGCGCGCCGCCAACGCAAGAGGACGATGAGGACGTCGTCATCACCACGTTCAGCGGCGCCCAATCCGCCAATTCTGCGTGGGCTGCTCCCGCCGAGCCTACCACGTCCACGACGGCGGGCGCCTGGTCGCGCGGCGAGCCGCGTCGCAAATCCAAGAGCGCCCGCGCCGAAGACCTCAACCTCAACGCACACATTGCCGTAGCCCGACAACCCAAGTCCAAGTCCAAGCCCTCTTCCTCCTTGACCGACGTCGTCGCCAAACGCACCACTAGCGCCACCGCCACCACCGCCACCACTGCCGCCGCCGCCGCCGCCGCCGCCGATTCCGAAGACGAATCCGACGACTCTGAGCAGCACCTCCCCATGGCCATCCGCGACCAAGCGCTCGTCGCACGCGCCTTTGCCGGCGAAGACGTCGTCGGCGAGTTTGAGCGCGAAAAGGCAGCCATCGCCGCCGACGACGACGACAAGGTCATCGACAACACGCTGCCCGGCTGGGGCGCCTGGGTCGGCGAGGGCGTCAGCAAGCGGGAGCTGAAGCGCAACGCGGGGCGCTTCCTGACCAAAGTCGAGGGCGTCAAGCCAAAGAATCGCAAAGACGCCAAGCTGGCCAAGGTGATTGTAAACGAGAAGCGCATGAAAAAGGTACACAATCTTTTTTTTTTTTCTTTTCTTCTCTCCCATGTTCTTCCTCTTCTTCTTTTTTTTTTTTTTACCCTTTTGCTTTTCAAAAGGCACATTTGATTGAAGTTTCTGCTAACAAAAGATCACAACAATTACAGAACAACTTATACATGGCCTCGCAGCTACCGCATCCTTTCGAGACGAGGGAGCAGTACGAGCGCTCGCTAAGGATGCCGGTCGGGCCCGAGTGGATGACGAGGGAGACGTTCCAGGCGAATACCAAGCCGAGGGTGCTGGTGAAGCAGGGCATCATCACGCCCATGTCGAAGCCGACGAGGTGATTGTGGATATATTTTGCATGGGCGGTGCTTCTCCCTTTTGTTTTCTTTTTTTGGCATATCAACGCATCATTCTGTGACTTGTACACGCCTCCAAGATCAATTGCAGCATTGACGTCTTAAGATGGCTCTGAATCAATATAGAGTGCCTTACACGGTCAAGATACATTGCATTGCATGATCCATTGCCACGTCGTTGGACAAAGGAATCTCAAAACATTAATTTTCACTTGGTACCAATGCGCCGTATAGTACATCAATGCTCATCATACAACATGATGGGAAAAAAACAAATACCGTAGGAAACGCCGTCAAAGCGGGAATGACAAGCTTAAAGTAACAGACGCACTCCAACGCCAATCAGTCGTAGCTGATACCCCAATGATCCGCCACTCTCCCAAGTTGCCCATTTTTCTTCCCTCCCCGCCGAGGTTCGAAATGTTACACAGTGAGTAGTTAGTTGCCAAAGATGAGGGCCTTGGCGCTGTCCATGGCGTCGCCGGGGGTAGCATAAAAGGCGACGGCGATTATTGTGTAGAGACCAATCAACATGGCGCCTTCGAGGTAGTTGGACTTGCCGTCCTGAACAGTGTATGTGACAACGAGAACTGAAACGGCAAACGAAACAGTTTGGACTACAGTGTGTTAGTGCATCATTCTGGTAGTATCCGCATGTAGTTGGAACTCACAAAGCTCGAAGCGCAGCGTCATGTCCTTGTCCATGATCCAGCCAACAATGACGAGGAACGGAGTGACGCCAAGAGCAATCTGGATGCTAGAGCCAATGGCCACACCCATAGCGAGGTCCATCTTGTTGCGCACGGCGACAACAACAGCCGTGACGTGCTCGGCGGCGTTGCCGACAATGGGGAGGAGGATCAGACCGATGAAAGCCTTGCTCATGTTTGTGGAGGCGACAATGTCGTCGATGCTGCCGACGAGGTAGTCGGCGCAAATGGCAACCAGGACGGTGGTGACGACCAGAACAGCAAGGGCGGCAATGGGGCCCATAGCGGGTTGCTGGTGCGCAGGAGCGGCGGCCTCGATCTCGGGCGTCTGCGTGGTGTCATCGTCGTCGGCGGCTGCAGCGGAAGTATCGGCCTGAGATTCAGGGTCAAAGAGGTTGCTGTGGGTGCGCAGCTGAAAGATGAGGTAGAGGACGTAGAGGAGGAGCAGAATGATGGCGGTGCCGCGGGAGAAGACGAGGATGGATTCGCGCTTGGCGTTGGAACCGTTGTGATCCATAACAGCATAGAGCTGAGAGGGTATGTTAGTACGACGAGGAAGATTCTACAGGAGCGAAGGGTGTTGCCAACGTACAGCAGCGGGAAGGACGAGCGAAGCCGAGGAAAGTGTCATGAGAGAGCAGGTAGTCTGGGCGACAGCAGCCGAGAAAACCTGCTCGCTGCCGTTGTGGTTGGTACCACGGTGAACAAGGCCGCCAAAGAGGAAGCACATGCCCATGACGAGCAGTAAGTTGGAAAGGATGGAACCGAGCATCGACGACTGGACGACTTCAATCTGGCCGTCGCGGAGTGCCACTATGCTAACCTGTGAAGCTGTTAGTATTGCAAGAACCGCGCTTGCTTCCATATGATGGGGGTAGGAGAAAAAAGCCTACAATTAGCTCCACGGCGTTGCCAAAGGTGGCATTGAGCAGGCCTCCTAGGGCGTCGCCGAGCTTCTCGGAGATTTCCTCTGTGGCAAAGGACAAGACGGCGGCGAGGGGGATGATGGCAAAGAAGTTGATGGTGAAGATGGCGGTGGCGCTCCACTTGAGCTTGCCGGCTGCGATTCCGAGGGGGACCATGATAAGGAGGAAGTTGACGTAGTCTGGGTAGTGGCGGCGGTCAGTTTCTCGGTTTCTCTCTCGATACTGGCAGGGTAGAACTCACTGCTGAGAAGAGTCACCTTGGTGATGTGCCAGACGTTGGCGGCGCTGCGCACGGCGATGCTGCCGTGGTCGGTGCCGGGCGTGTAGCGCTTATTGATCAAGAAGTGCTTGAGGTTTGAGCCGCTAGTCGGAGGGTGGTGATGGGTGCGGCCGGCGGTGTCGTTGCCGTTGGAGCCGCCCTCGCCGTTGAGCAGAGGCGTGCGCTCCGAGACATGGTTGGCTGGTTTGGTAGAATCCATTGGTTCTTGTTTGTTTACCGAGACTTGTCGGCGAGAAGGTTGTTGGTGTTTTTTGCGCAGAGAAAGAATGGAAGGAAAAAGGGTCGAGAGGACCAAAAGTAGACGACGGTGTGTATAAACCAGCCTAGTCTCGTCGGGTTCGAGGGTAAAAAAGTGCAGCTTTGCCAAAGAAGCTACCAACTTGGCTCGTTCAATATAAGAAAGATTTAAAGAGTGAGTGCAATAAATCTCGGAGGCTTCGGTCAGTAGACGGCAATGGCGTGTTTGCGGTAGTGCGTGGTGTGGTGAGAAGAGCAGTGACCGTTGATGTATTATGCCGATTGCAAGAGACGAGACAAGAACGAAATGCCAACAACGAAGATGGACAGATGAAGAAGAATTTCGGGATGAAGGGAGAAAAAGAGGAGAGGAAAAAATGGCTTGGGCGCCGTTTTACGCTACTTTAGGCGCCAAATGATCAAGGTTCGTGTGCTTGACGGATGGGGAGGAGGAGAGAATGAGCGGGAAGGGACTGACGATCTAATGCCAGAGCTCGATACCCAGAGAAGCCTAGCGCCGCTTGCTGGGACAAGGTTGCTTGGTGTGTACTACCTTACTTGTGGCGCATGTGGCTGGGCTTTGGCCCCGCTCAAGAAAGCTTGCTTTTGTACCTCCGTCAAGGGTATTTTTACAGTTTGTCTTCTTTTGCTCAACAAGTCATTGCTCTGTTAATCCGTACAGAGCTCTCCGCATCCCTAGCCAAGGTTTCGGTGACTCCTGACAACGCACAAATCACAAGATATTGCGTTGTGATGGCGACTGGAGGCAACTTCAAAGCGCTCGTTCAACCCTAAAATAGAGTAGAAGCTGTCAGGCCCTTGTCCACCGTATAAAAAAAAAAGAGGCACCACTTCCATGCTCCACAACCGGTGCTGCCGCGCGCAGCCTGTGACGTTGTTCATTATTTAGGGACCGTCGTACCTGTTCTACGGACCGATAAGTCCAGGCAAGACTTGTTTCACCAGGAGCTTTGTTTGCCTGTTAGCTCTGACTTGCTCGAGACGCTGTTAAGACCATCATCAAATAAAAGTGTAAATTATTTATGTTGTAGCCGCGCGCGCTCGTATTGTCTTCTTCCTTTTTTTGCTTACTTTTAAACTCTGAAATATGTTATGAACATGATTAAATTCCCTCCCCCCTTGAAGCGAAGCCTTGCCTATGCACAACTTGTGGCGCTGCGTTTCGGGGGCTCCTTTTTTTTTCTTTTTTTGAATACTACCTAGATAAATCTTGGCGCCCACTGTGCCTGCCAGCTGCCAAGGGCTTTCCACTTCCCAGCGATCTGGGACTCTGGGAGCTTTGGGAGGCCTCCTCTTGTCGTCTCCCACGTTCCCGCTTCCAGGTCCACCAGCCTCGTTCCTACAGGTACGCACCGTTTTGTTTCACATCTCAACGTCGTGCAAAACAACCACCTTCATCACACATCACCAAGCCACAAGCCTCGCCCTCATCAACAACGTGCGCATCCGACAGGCTCCTCGCGTCTGCATTTTCTAACCTTAATCACGTCCACGCAGAATGGCACCCGTCACGTAGACTGTGCGACTGCACCATCTCTTTCCATTTAGTTACCAGCTAGCGTATGCCTCGCTGTCTGCCTGACTCGAAATCAGCTTCTACCCGCAGCATCCGGACATCCTTCGTAGATAGCCCCATCACATGGTATCGTCAACGCACTGGCACGCATCTGTTACCTGCATCACATTCAAGCCTGACGTAACTGGTACATGGCCCAGTTGCCCAGCTACCCTTGCACCTGGCTACTGCAACTCCGATGCAGCTAAAAATTAAGAATCAAGACATGCACTGCCTCCCCCGCAATCGCCAAGATCTAGCTTATTTAGGCAGCTCGCCTCGCCTGCGGCCCCTCTTCTACTTCTACCAACAAACCTACTAGATTTACACAATTAAAAGTCAAGAGAAAAGATTCAGTCTTGCACTGTTCTAGGTCTAGTCTAAATTACAATCTCGAAAGTAAAAAGTAAAGCGTATTAAAGAATGTATACAAAGTCCACTCACCACCTTCTGCCCCTTTCCCAACTCCCACCTTGTCCTCATGTTGATAGCTTCGTCTACGACTTCATTACAGTTCGCCAAGAGCTGGAGTATCACGTTAGCCTTTATACGCTTCATTCACATACTTATGAAACTTACCGGCAGAGTACGCAAGCAGCCAGGTCAGCGAGACACCGCCATCCAGCCACCTGCTGTCAAACTTCTTCCCGCTAAGCACGTCAAACGCCTCCTTGGGCGCAATCGTCGCGAGGTTACCAAGCAGAATGGACTTCCAGCCATTGTCAATCCCGTCCAAACGCCCGTTGCTGAAGAACATTTCCCACTCTTCCTTGACAAACTTGGGCGTGCGTGCCACCGTAGTCACTGGCAAGATCGGAAGCATGTGAATACCCTGAATGTATTCAATATTATTGCCAAAAAAGGTCGTGTGGTCAATCTTGTTCTCAAACAAGATGCCTGCCACCTTGTTGCCAATGAATTCCGCCGGCTGCACTGTGTTGTCTTCTTCATACAAATAGTAGTTTTGCACGCTTCGTGTCAGGATGGCCAGTTGCAGGTTCGCCCTGTTCAAAGTCGTCAGTGCCCGCCAATGCCTGCCTCTAGACTGCTTCATCTTTACTTACCGAGCTTCCAGATACGCGTTTCCAGATACCTTGCCCCACATCTTCAGACCATATGAATGCATCATATCCTCCGAAGACGATTCCTGGTTCTTGCCATCCAGCTGGGCATAGAGGCCAGTGGCCCAGCTGTGTCCGTGATACCAGTCAAAGGACCGCCACTCAGGGAAGATTGTGTCCTTGGGGCTCGGGTTCGAGGTATCTCGCACCAGCATGTTGACGTAGTCCTTGTTCTTATCGATCCACGTCTTGTCCAAATGACCAATCACAGCAGCTGCCAGAATGTGATAGCCATAGTGGAAATGGTGATCATTGTAGTAGGTGTTGCCAAAATCCTCCAGTGGCTGTCCGGTTGTGTAGGCGCCCGAAGATACAACACCTCCCCAAGCCGTCTCGTGTACCAACGGATGCTTTTGCTTGTTGTCGGCAAATCTGGCAAAGGCTGTCTTCAACTGACCCAGCCCAGTCTGTGCAAGCGTCGTCTCTCCAAGCATGTCATTGATGACATAGAGCATAAACGCATACTTGGCCAAGGCTTTGCCACTAAAGTACATTGAGTTGAGGTCAGACGCCGCGATCATGTCTTGCAGAATTTCCTTGGAGGCGGCAGCCTTGATAGTCGACTTTGCGCTCTTCGAGAGCTTGCTCACGCTGCCCTTCTGGGCGTCGTAAGGCGCAAATCCGAGCTTCACAGGCATCGAAGGCTCTACCATGGTCCATTTAGTACCCTGCACCAATGTGGCTCTACCCTTGGTCGGTGTCATGAGTGAAACGCCCTTGGCCAGTTGACCCGAGGTCGCCGCGTCAAATGATTGGACATGATGGGGCAGCGCAAACATCAAAAGCTCTCCCTCGGGATGTCCAGCCTTCTCAAAGTTGAACTCGTAGCTTCCAGAGGCACCCTGCACACCTCCAGATAGGTTCATGGTCACGGGATAGATGCCGGCACCTTGATCCAAAAGCTTGCTCTCCTCATCCGAGCTGCTCGTAGCTTCCTTCACAACTTGGAGAACACCGTAGAAAAGCTTCGTCGACGTGACCACACCATTATTGGTGACTTCAAGATCAAGGTCGTCGCCTTTGGTCTTGTAACCATAGACGCGCCATGTCGTCCCATCCTCCAAAATGAAAATATATTTGGTGACATTCTTCTTGGGCTTCTGAGTGGACCGCTTGACATCTCGGAAGAACACGCCAGTCTGCAGAAGAGGTGTCGCACCATTGTACTCAGCCGTAATGTAGGCCATTCCCTGAACAAGAGGGAATGAAATGAGAGGCTCTGAGGAGCTGCTTGAGCTCAGGTGGGCACGGACCGAAGACGCAGTCATGCTGTCCAGGGTCAACTTGGTTCCCTTGCCAAGCTCTCTCGCCGAAAGAATCATTGAATGGATACCAATAGGATTGATGAAGTAGGACGCCGAGACATTATGCTTGGGCGGTCCAAACACACGTTGCTTCTCGTCGATGTGCGAGCAAGTCAGACCATAGCTGCCACTTACTCCGGTACCGTCGGCCCATGACACTGAGTACGGGTAGGTAAAAACTGGGTCTCTTTGGTTTCCAAGGAACATGTTGGAGTAGAACTTGTTGGTCTGAAGCGGCCCCTTGGTCTGAACACCGATACGGGGAACGGGATGATCAGCCCGAGAAGAAAACTGGACTGGCAGTGGCTTGGTGTCAATGGCAACGGCAAAAATGTTGCCCGGCGCTATGACTGGTGTATTTGTTTCCTCCTTTGTGGCATTTGCGCTCTGAATAGATGTCGAGCTTGCAATTGAACTAGTTGTGTTGAGGCTGACCGAGGCCGACATGGTCGCCTTTTCGCTAACGGAGCTCACTGAACCTGTAGGTCTCACTGAACCTGTAGGTCTCACTGAACCTGTAGATCTCATTGAACCTGTAGGTCGAAGTTGACTTCCGCTAATGCCTGTCACGGATCCTGTACCAGTGGGGAGGGACGAGTTGCCAATGGGAAAGGGTGCTTCAGAGCTGAAACTGGACTTTGCAGAATCGGAATTGGACGATCCAGAATCGGAATTGGACGATTCGAAATCAGAATTGGACGATCCAGAATCGAAGTTGGACGATTCAGAATCGAAGTTGGACGATCCAGAATCGAAGCTGGACGATCCAGATTCCGGGGTAGTCTTTGCAGTGGTTCCAGACAGAGTGCTTGCAAAGGTTGGTAGAGATGACCGGGTAGGGATAGCGTTAGTTAGCAGAGGCTGTTCAGTTGGTTGGCCAAGTTCGCCAAGTTCAGTATTCAAGACACCATCAGTCTGCGGCGTGACGCTCGTAAGCTCCGGGAGGTAACAGATGGTTGCTGTGTCGGTTATGGTGGTCGTCACTACGACAGTATTCGACACGTTGTAGACAACTGTGGAGGGCGTTTCCGATATAGTGCGGACACTTGTGCTCGAGCCAATATTGAAAGGGTTCAGTTCGTCATCAGGACAAAACGTAAAAGTGGGAGCAGGGCAATTCGACACTGCAGTCTCGAGTATAGTGACGGTGCTGGTGATTGTCGGGCGATTCGATTTGAATAGTGATGAATGGCCCTTGGCGAGACCCGATGCTTTGATCAATGTCAGCGCCTCGGAACCCAATAACACGGTAGAGAAACGCATGGCTGCTCTTCTAATCTGCCTCTCACGGACAGAAATTATTCAAGTACAGCGAGATATGCGATCACTTCAGAACAGGAAACAAGACAATCTCCCCAAACAGCAGCCAATTGCCCATATATGAAGACGATGGATGATCCGCGGTTATGGGCCAAGCCCCTCGTGGCAGCCCAAGTGTACGAAATAGACCCCCATTCCAGTCGAGGGCAGAACAACGAGTCTCACTACGGTGGTAGTCCAAAACCCCCGGCCGACCAGGATCCACGCGATAATACGTAAAGACGCAAAGAATGTGGGCAGCACATAATGACGAGATCCATACTCCGTATAAAAAAAAACCTGTCACTCACAGAAAAGTTTTCGGGGCTGGGGCCGAGACAACAGGGTCCAAAATAGTCAACCTGGCGGAGAATGGCGTGGCGTCTTGCTTTTCGGCCCGGAGAGGCAGACCCCTGGTTGCGATGGAAACAAACCTTTTTTCCTGCCCCTGTTGCTGCGACTACTAATAGAAAGGCTTTTCGAGGTATGATAGGGAGTGGATAGGATGGATTTTAGGTTTGCAAGAGTCGAGACGAATTGCTTGCGCGGGGTTCGAAAGGATGCACCATTCGTATGTCGTCGCTACCGCACCTTCCGTGGAACTAGGCACCTAGGCGATGGTAGCGGCTCGGAAAGGCAGATTCCGCGATAGGCTATAGCTATGTATGCGTCAGAGATAAATGCCACACTTTATTAAATTAAACCGTCCGTGGGGATTCAATATGGTTCATCGCCATGGAGAGGATCCTGGAAATAAAAGCAAAAAAGGAGATTGCAGTTCCAATTTTCTATTGTGATTTATCCAACGGGGTATCAGTAGATGCCAAGTCCCATCCTAGTCCCATCAAATTCGTCCGGGGGCGTCACGAGTCCCGTCAATAATAATATTATACAACTTCCCTCAAAGCCCTAAAGCGTTATAGCCTCCCTTGGAGCTTGCCAGGGCTTTCAGAACCTCAACTCCTTCTCTGCTCGGCTTCCTGCGTCTTGCCTCCACCGCACCCTGTCTCCTATTTGTCTCGTCTCCCTTTTGCACGTAAGCGGCAGCCTTGAGGCGCTTCTTCTTTCTCTCCATCTCGGCCTCTGACCGCTCCGCCTCCCTACGGCACTTGCGAAGCGTCTTGTCCGGCACGACCCAGGGCTTCTCGAGCACGTCCGTCCGAAAAGCGCTCCTCTTGGCCCAGAGCCTCATTTCCTCCGCCGTTCCGCGGATAGCAGCCATCTTCTCCACCCTGAGCTGCTTGACATCGCGAAATGTGGTCAGGGCCCCCTTGACGTCCACGACGGAGCCCACGTCGACGTAGTCGTATGGTGCGTTAGGCTGCGCCGCCAGGCCTGTTGTCGCTTCTGCGGGCTCCATCCCATCCGGACATAATGTCGGGATGGCCGACGAGGAAATCACCTCTATGCAAGCACCGCTGCTGTCGTCAATCGTCATCGCGCGGAGGCCGGCAAAATCGTCGATCGCCACAATCACACCGACAATACGAACCCATTTGATTGGCAAATTGCGGTGGAAATAGAAACCCTCGCCTGCAGTAACGCCGGTCAGCAAGCATCGGAGTTAGTGGCGAAAAGGGGCGCGCATACCTTCAAAGCCATCTGGCTGTTCCAGCGTAAATAGGTCCTTGACACGTAGAAAGCACCACCCCTTGGCAGTCGGGGCCAGGTGAAAGCAGTATCGCGGATAAAACACCACTCCTAGCCTGTCGCTCATGGCATGATGACGCTCAAGACAAATTGGCCGCTGGCCATGCTGCGTCGCGAAAAGAGGCCGAATGCCGGAGGATGTTGCAAGGTCAATATTTAGTCGCGGGCGCATTCACGCAGCGCCGTTGCACCAGCGACTTGGCTAGGCTGCCCCGCCATACTGAGTCGCCCAGCGATTATTATCTAATTAACATCTCGGGCACGCATGAGGTGAAGCAAAATTTAGAAATGCTCAGATCTATCTTTAATAAATTGATTGAATCTATCCCTTTGGGTTTAATTAGCCAACTGCGCCAAGCTTTGTTTTAATTTCACGATCAAAGTATCCCAACGCCATGCTTAAATGAGATAAAGACCAGTCAGAACCATCCGCTTATTTACGGCGTTTCTTTGAACCACCCTTCAGTTTGGCGGCGGCGGCTTGGAAAGCTTCTTCCGACGGCTCCTCCTCTACATCTCTCTTCTTCCCCTTCTTTCCCTTGCTTGGTGCCGCGTACTTGGCCTCGAGGTGGTCAAAGAAGCTCTCAGAGCGATTCTGCTGTCTCTGCTGGATCAGGGCCGCCAAGGCATCTTCCGAGCCAGCCTTGTCGTTCTTCTTTCCCTTTTTGCTGCCAAATATCTGGTCATGGACACCCAGCTCCTTGGCGTAGTCTTCAGCCTCGGCAGCCTCGCTGCGGGCGCGCTTCAGACGGGCGGCGCGCTTCAGCTTGGGCTCCTTCGTGTAGACCTTGAACGCGGGTACGTCCTCATCCTTGATCGCCTGGTCGATGATGGCGCGGAAGCGCTCCTCGTCCTCGACGACGCTGCTTAGGATGACGTGCTCAAAAAGAGCGTCCATGTCGCCGGCGCACTGCTCGTAAGCAACCAGCACATCGTCTTTTTCTTCGTCGGAGCCCTTGTACTTGCTGGCAAACTTTTCAATCGCGTCGGTCGAAATGGCGTCTTTAAACTGCTCGCGGTAAAACTCGCTCCAGTTGAAGCCATCCGAGTCGACAATGGACTCTGCCGTGGAGCCGGTTGTGTCGTATCGCTTCCTGCGGGCAGGGTCTGACAGCACCGCGTAGGCAAATGCAACAGACTGGAACGTTTCGTGGGCTTTGGCGCGCTCGGAATCTGCAACCTTGTCTGAAACGTGCAAACATAATCCGTCAGTTACACTGGCGGCAGTGAAAAATACAGGCGATCCTCCTACCTGGATGATGCTTTAGCGCCGCCTTGCGATAGGCCTTCTTGACGTCGTCTGCTGTCGCGGTGCGCTCAAGCCCAAGGACCTCATATGGCTCAATCGTAGGGGGGGCGCCCTCAACGCTGTCCTCTCGATCTGACATCACGGGCGGTATTGTGATGGTGCTGGTGATGTAGGTGCGAGATTCGGCTCGGCTTGCTGCTCTTTACGCGTGAACGCGTCTTGAGGCTTGGGTGAGCCAGCGCAGCTCTACAGCTCTACTTAGGTACATAGTGGAGTCCTCAGGCTGCCCACCAGAAGCTCTTCACCCGACACTCAGTTTTCAAGGGTGATAAAAAAAATCTAGAGTAGCCTGGCTTCACTATTCAACGCGAGAATTATCTCGCTATACAGAGATATAAAGAGATTATCTTGCGGTATTTTTCGTCGCTTTTGGATGGCGTCGCTGCCGGACATCCGACTGCCACAACTTGCTCAAGTCTGCTCGAATTCTGGCGGGGCTTCAGTGTTTACCCTAACTAGAAGCTACAACGGCAGGAGAGCATTTACATTACCTGGCATAACCCATCTCCCAATTGTCTTGTTCCCCCCTATAGCTGCTTCTGAATCGACATGTACTCAATATGAAGACGTTTCAAAAGGACGACCACGTCGCTGCCATGCGATACGCCATGGGTCTGGCTACCAAGTCTCCGCCAAAGCCGACCAATTTTCGAGTTGGCGCTGTGCTGGTCAAGCTCGACGATTCATCAATAACCACAGACGGCTTCACCTTGGAATGTCCCGGAAACACACATGCCGAAGAAAGCTGTTTTATAAAGCTTGCCGAGCATCATTCAACCTCCGAAGAGCATCTTGCCGAGGCCATGAACAGCCCCCACGCTCTCTACACCACAATGGAGCCCTGTTTCAAGCGGCTGAGCGGCAAATTACCCTGCATCGAGCGGGTGTTACGGCAAAAGACTTGGATCACCAAGGTATACGTGGGAGTACAAGAACCGGAAACGTTTGTTGGACAAAACACGGGCCGTCGCGTACTGGAAGATGCCGGAATAGAGGTCCATCTGGTACCTGGGTTGGAGGCCGAAATTCTCCAGATTGCTACAGCTGGCCACCTAGCACCAGAAGCATAGGCAGCGAAACCAAGAGTTGTGTGTCTACACAAGATGCTATGTCATGCAATGCATTTTACACTTGTGTTGCACACTTGTGTTGAAGACAGGGTGTTTTCTGGTTTCTGTTGGACAGCATACGCTGAGCATTCATTTTAGAAGAGCCGCGAGCAAGTTGGGATAGCTGTCATACTATCATGTGCAACCTTGACTTACGCTTCAGTCATGTGCTATAGCCTGGTGAAACGGATACGATGGTGCGATTTGCCTCTTGCGCCAAGGCGCACCTCAGGCACGGTCCGTACGTACCAAATCTACATATATACGAAAGTCTGTGTCAATATGAACCAGTGCCTAACAACACAATGACAGTACTCGTACTCCGTAGAAAGCGCAGATTGCCAAAGAGCTCTAGAAGACATGCTACGTCGCACAACATTCGGTGTGGCCGCCCTGCGGTTGCACTGCATACCCTGCCCTCGACAGCCAGCACAAGAAACCTTCTAAGAAACAATCATGGTTCTTCTGATTCATATCATGTGGGTCAAAGTGATGCTTGTCACATTGTTGGGCGAGCACATCAGCCATTCTGCGCCCCTGCTCCAGCTTAATCGTTGTTATTCATAAGTCAAAGCAAGTGATGAAGACAAAAGGATTGAACAACTGACGACCAAGGTCTCCCAGTGCCCAAAGCACTGATAACTCGTCGCTTATGTGGGGGACGGGATGGTGATGTTTGCCTGCAACAACGGGCCACTCAGACATTCCTCAGTCTATCCATCTGGAACTTCCCATGCAGACAGGCATTGCTATGCAGAATAGGATTGGTACGAATTCGGGCGCACGTAAGACTCATGAGACAAAAACGCATCGCCAGTCCAATGCCCTACAGCATCACAGTCGCACAGCATGCGGCGGCTGGCATTCCGCATCACAATCTCAGACAAGCCCTTCTCACTACATGAAAAACCACGAGCGCACGAGCGGTCCTCGCAATGAAGAAAACGCAAACGCTGTGTGACATGGCTGCGTTGTACAGCGGTTAAGTACCCGCCATGACACAATGCTGCCTCACGATATCCGGGAAGCACAGATAATACCCGCCCATAAACAAGAATGTAAGACACAACGAGTCATCTCGAAAGATCACGCCCGACAGTGGCGACGACGAGAAGGCGGCTGGAATTGTTTGCTGAATGGCTCAGGCCGGGCGTGCAAATTCTGAAGAAGCCGATAGGCGTCTTCAAGGCTTCTTCAAAGAACAGCGTATACGGCGGCAAAATGCGAGGCCAAACAGAAAAGTGCAGAGTTCGAGGACAAGGACGAGTGATTGACGTATAAGTTCATCATCGAAAGCTTGTCTTTCAGTGCTACTGGTCGCCTAAGTGCGGGCGCCAATAATTTCTCTCCACAGCAATCCCAACTAGTTCAAATACTTGTCCGCTTCTTCATCACTACACCACGCCCAGGCGTGAAGACCTCCTGAGCAAAACAGCACTAACTAAATCGATTCATCCTTCGTTTCATGCTAGTCTTACGCTTCACAGACTACCCGCTCCCTTGCTTCTCATATTTTACTCGAGGCGCTTCTGCCGTTGCGGGTGTGCGCGATCGTTGACTGCTCCTCGCGCCTCTGCCCCAACGCTTTGCACATCTCACCGCGTGTGACCCCTTGGGTCGCTGTGCAGTATATAAAGCCCGACTGGCTTTCCGAAAGTGCTGGTACATCTAGCGGATCTGCAAACCAGCCAGCGATCCTCGTACAAGGGACACTTGAACGATATCTAGCAGCGCCTTTTCTTGGCTCTGGGCAGCTCATTCTCAACTATCATTCAGCAACCATGTCTGACAGCCGTGGAGGCCGAGGCCGCCGCAATCATAGAGGTGGCCGAGGGGGCGGTGATGTCGGAGGCGGTGGTGGCGATGATGGCCGTCGCAACTTCTCGCAAGGGGACGGACATCGCGGAGGCGGATATCGCGGCGGCGGAGAGCGCGGTGGCGGATATCGAGGCGGTGGAGAGCGCGGCGGCGGATATCGCGGCGGAGGAGACCGCGGCGGCGGAGAGCGCAGCAATGGACAGCGTGGTGGTGGACAGCGTGGCGGTGGATATCGCGGAAATCGTGAAGGCGGCAACGATACTCCGTACCAGGGCAGCTTTTCTGCTCCAAACCGCGAGCGAGGCGGACGAGGTGGTGGACGGCCCTACCAAGGGGGTCGCGGAGGCGGAAGAGGTGGAGGAGGCAATGACGATCGGCGTCCTGAATGCTTCTCGTGAGTTCGACCTATATAACTCAAGAAATCGACGCTAACCCATATACAGTGCCCCAGACCAGAGTCCGGTACCAGACTCCGAGGTGACCAAGTCCGAGGACATGCTTGTCAAACCGCAGGGTGATGCGCTTGTCAAGCGCATCGCCGCTGGTAATGGAAAGTCCTCGCGCGAGTACAAGTTTGACGAACCTCTTCCTGCTCGACCTGCTTTTGGAACCGTAGGCAACAAGGTTGTCGTGTGGGCAAACTTCTTTGAAGTCAAAGCTCAGCCCGTGATGCTGTTCAGGCATGGCCTCAAAATCACCAAGGTCAATCCTCAAGATGAAAAGAACAAGAGCTTTTCACAGACCGAGGTTCGTGGACGGAAGCTGCATTTTGTAATTGCAAAACTGCTGGAGCAGATACGTGCTGCGCCGGCGCAAGCCCTCGAAGAGGCCGAAACAAGGCTCGAACGGGCGAAGCAGGCTGAAAAAGCTGCAAATGGCAGAAAGGCAGCTGCCGAGGCCAAGGAGGAAGTCAAGAATGCCACGGAAGCGAAGCTCGATGCGCAGACGGCGTTGAATAGCGGCAAACTGGTCGTCAGCGAGTTCAAGAGCCAGATCATCTCCTTGAAGGAGCTGCATCTGGACAAGGGTCCTATCCGAGTGGTTTTATACGAGGACGCTATCGAGGATGGAGCGCCGCGTCGTGAGGAGCTTTTCGATGTTCAACTCACGGACGCAGTACCTGTGAAGCTGTCCGAGGTCCTCGAATACGTGACACATATGAAAGTGGCCGAGAACGACCTTGTGTTCCCTCGCCACCCTGAAGTGGTCGATGTCCTCAACATGGTCCTCAGCTTTCGCCCGCGATCCAGCACCGATGTCAGCGCCGTTGGATCGTCCAGACTGTATCCGTTTGGCGATGGCCCTAGCGCGGACATTGCGAAGCTTCTGTGGGATCAGCGTCCTCTTGTCGCTGCTCGAGGATTCTTCCAGTCAGCTCGTCTGGCATCGGGCCGTATTCTTCTCAACACTCAGGTCACGCATGGTGTCTTCAAGTTCGGTGGAAAAGCCATAGAATTATTTAAGGTGATGGGTCTTGGTCCCTATGGCGCCGGCAAAATCGACATGCAAAGATATGACACGATTGCAGCCCTCAAAATATTTTCCAAGTACATCAACAAGGTTCGGGCTGTCGTCACATTCGAAACTCCGAGTGGCCGTAAAGTGGAGCGTTTCAAGACGATTCAAGGCCTGGTGATTCAGTCCGCAATGAAGAAGCAAAAGAGCGGCCCGGGAGAACATCCTGATCGATTTGCAAAGGGCTGGGAAGTTTGCGGTCCGGAGCATATCGAATTCTGGAATGCAGACGACAAAAAGTACGTGTCAGTCCGGCAGCACTACAAAACCAAATACGGAAAGCAGTTGGGCAACTACCCGGTTTTCAGGTTTGGTCAAGGTGATAAAATCTCGTACTTTCCCGCTGAAAATGTCATGATCCAGCATGGGCAGTCTGCAAAACTCAAACTGGATGGGGGTGAGACCAAACTGATGATGCAATCTGCTTGCCGGCCCCCAATCTCCAATGCCAAAACGATTGTCGAACAGGGTCGCCAGTTCTTGGGTCACGACGACCCCCTGCTCGAGCAATTTGGAGTGTCTGTTTCCAAGCAGCTTCTCGCTGTGCATGCCCGGGTTATGCAACCACCAATGATCCAATATCTTACAGCCGGAAAGACGAAAAAATACGTCGAGCCCGCCAAAGCCAGCTGGAACATGATCAAATGCTGTGTTGCCAAGCCTGGTCGAAGCATTCAGAATTGGGCGTATGTGCAGATTGACTGTCATTGGATCACACCAGAACAAGTCGACGCCATGGTTTTCGCTTGGCAGAATATGGGTATCGACATAGCGAATGAACCGTGCTTCAGTAAGAAGTTGGATGCGCCCGATAGCATCCAGAGCATGGACGCAATCTTCAAACAGAGCAAGAGCAAGGACGTGCAGTTGATCATTTTCATCTTGCGCGAGAGGGACTCTGGGCCTCTGTATAACCGCATCAAGACTTTGGGCGACTGTGTCTACGGTATTCACACCAGCTGTATGGTAAGCCAACACTTGACTAAGCCCCAGATTGGGAATTTTGCGAATCTTGGCATCAAGGTCAATCTCAAGTTTGGGGGGGTGAACCACAAGCTTCGCGATGAGCTCGACATCTTGAAGAAAGGAAACACCATGTTTGTAGGATATGATGTTACGCATCCTACCAACATGGACATACCCAAGGGTGCTACTGGTCCTCCAAGCCTGGTCGGCCTGGTCTCGAGCATCGACAGCGAGCTTGGCCAATGGCCGTCTGTCACCTGGGAGCAGGCGTCGAAGCAGGAGATGCTTGGCGCTGTGCTCGAGCAGCATTTTGCCTCTCGCATTGACCTTTGGCAAAAGAATTACAAGAACAAGGGCAAACCTTTGAAAAACATTGTCATATATCGCGACGGAGTCTCGGAAAGCCAATTCGCCACAGTGCTCACGGATGAGCTGCCGCTGATCAGAAAGGCCTGCAAGAAAAAGTTTGGCGACAAGCCGCCGAAGCTGACCATTATTGTCTCGGTCAAGCGCCACCAGACTCGATTCTATCCTGCCCAGGAGCAGCACATGACCCGCTCGGGCAACATTGAAAACGGCACTGTTGTCGACCGAGGCGTGACCCAGGCGCGGTACTGGGACTTTTACCTCACGGCTCACGACGTCTTCAAGGGCACGGCGCGCCCGGCACACTACACCGTCCTGCTCGACGAGGTATTCCGCCCAGAGTATGGGCTGCAGGCCGCCAATGAGCTGCAGAAGCTCACCCATGAGCTTTGCTATCTGTTTGGCAGGGCCACAAAGGCCGTCAGCATCTGCCCGCCTGCCTACTACGCCGACATTGTCTGCGAGCGCGCCCGAGCCCACCGCCCCGAGTATGCGGTTCCTGATGATGCGGCCAGCGAGCGGTCCGGCTCGAGTATGCACGGCCCTGCTGTGGCGCGCGAGATTCACCCGAATCTCAGAGATACCATGTATTACATTTGATGCGCACTGCTGTTTGGAGCGCGTGCCTGAAAAAAATTTGGAGGGTTTTATTTGGTGGTTGAATCTACGGGGAAGGGTTAAGATTGTGCATGAATTGAATATTTGGAGGATTTTATTTAGTGGTTGAATCTACGGTGAAAGATAAAGATTGTGCATGGATTGGATATGAAAAGGATCCAAGTTGACGGGCAAAAATTGTGCATGAATGTTGCAGATTGGATATGAAGGAAAAAAGCATTCACACATTCACACATTCACACATTCGTTTAGTGTCTGCTCGCTAGTCTGATAGTACTTTGACTCTGTCATTTTTTTTTTATATTTCGAGGTCTTACTGTCAGTAGTGTTGCACGATTTGAAGGGCCCGATATCATGAGATCTATTTTTGGGACGCAAAACTCCTTGAACTAACTAACTAAATGAATCCCCAAATATTAGAAAACTAGAAACTGCCAGCTCCCCCCCCCCAGAGGCTTACATCTTGGGCTTTAGAGCTTTGGCCATGATGTCGAGCAACTCTGGGCGTATCTGCGACTTTTCCGCCAGCGGCTTCCTCGTCCACGCCTCGTACGCGCGCTCCTCGACCTGCCATCGCTTGACCGTCTCTGCCGCGGTCTCTGCCGCGGCCTCGGCGACAAACGCCGGGGCCTCGAGCGGGATGAGATGGCCCCAGCCCTCGCCGACGACGTGCGTCACGCGCCCGGCCGCAACACCGCCGCTGCCACCAACGCCGGTGCCGGTAGCTTTGAGCTTCTCGCCGCGCATCGCCTCAAACGACATGTAGCTGTCGCCGCCAAACACCCACAGGACATGCGGCCGCAGGTGCGGCAGCCGATTAAACACGAGGCTCGGCTCTGGGCGATAGATGGGCGTCAGCACGCCATGGGTGAGATCCATATCGGGGACGAGGTCCATGTCCGCGATGCTCTTGCCGTCGCTGGTGACCGCGTGGTAGCTCGGGCGCGCAAACGTAAACACCTCTTGGTGCTTGGTGGTGGTGAGGGTGACTTGGGGGTTGTCCGGTGCGCATTGGGTGAGGCCGTACGCAACCCAGCGGTCAAAGACGCGCGGGTCCCAGCTCTGGTAAAAGGGGCTCTTTTGAATGGCGGCGGCGGCGGCGGCGCGGCTGGGCCAGACGTCGCGGCGCTTGGCGCTCATCGAGGGCGGCTGCATGTAGCCCTGGATGGCGCCGGGGTTGTGCATGTTGATGACGGGGTCAATGAGGACGAGGGAGCTAAAGAGGCGCGGATGGAACAAGGCGAGGTTGACGAGGGCGCAGGCGCCAAAGGAGTGGGCGATGCCGAGGAGCGGCCGCGGCATGCGGAAGTGGTTGATCATCTGGAGCATGTCTCTGGAGTAGTCGAACCAGCTGGCTGTGTTTTCCCCGTCATGTAAGCTCTTTCTGACGCTATTTTTTTTTTTTTTTGAGAGTGAATTGAAGAGCAAGGCGAAACTTACGGTCGTCGCCGAGCCTATCTTTGTTTAATATACCGCTCTGGCCCTGCCAAGCACAGTCTGCTATCCAGATTGAGCCGATACGGACGCCTTTGCTGGCAAGGCTCTTTGCCAATTCTTCCCACAACGGTTCATACAATTCCTATTCTACACGTCAGTTGCTTGATTACTGGTGGCCACGATGAACAATGATATCGCTCGGCACTGGGGGTGAAGCAAGTCGCCATACTTTGGGAAAGCCATTGGCGTGCGCGCCAATAATGTTTAAATCGCCTTTTTGCGGCGCGCCGTTGCCTTTGGGGGTATATTGCTTCACTTGGAGAACCAGCGTCTCCTCCTGAGAATTGGCTTTTGCGCGCGCATATTCGCGCGTGTGCTCGCCGGGGATGACGTGCTCCTTGATGTCAAAGACTGATGAGGCCATGGGTAAGTTTCTGGCAAAAAAGGTACGTTCTTTAATTATTGATGGTCCGTTGGGCCTGGGCTGAGACACGGGCGCAGACAAGTTGGCTCTGCGTTCAATGAGGCAGCTGGTGAGAGAGACGACAGCGAAGAAGCCCTTTGAAGGATCTTGGTAGCGGGAGATGGCAGGAATCGTTTACTCGGGCAGCGTTGAATATTGAAGAACGTGGGAGCTGTTGCAGATGAAAGTCTATCGCGCTGTCAACCTGGCGGCTAGGTAGTTAGCCGAGGCTAGTTAGCAGCTAGTTTGGGAACGAATGTGGAGAAGTTCCGCAGCCTTTCTGGGCCGTCATATGTGTATATCGATAATTATGAGACATCATGAGGGCGAATGTAGCGCAGTGACAGAGCTATTGTAGCAGTGTTACGGTAATAAAGTGGCTGACTAAATTGTGCTGGCGACTGAATCCTGCAGTCGTATCACCAACAGAAGATGCCCTTGTCATGGCCATGCAGCCATTTGATGGAAAAGTGTAAAAATAATTTATGGGCGCATTCGATGTTACGAGGGATCAGACTGCGTCGCATATATTCGGCCGAATTTCCTTGTAGCATTGGGTGTTGCTGTGCACAAAGATGAGATGAAAGTACAGACAAGCTCACGCTGCTGCCTATACTACAGTGGGCAACCCACTGTAGCGGAAACTAATGGCCGAGCGGTGAGCCACTCGGCGAGGCCCGGTCAGGTAGTTAACGGTATACAGGGCTGAAAACTAATGAAAGGGTCGGCAAAACGGCAAGCTGCAAGGCTTTGCTATTGCCGCGTGAGTCACTGCCGCCATCTCGAGTTTGGTAAAACTGTATTCTGCTCGCCGAAAGTTGGCAGTAGCGCCAGACTTGGTCGAGCCAGTGCAAGGCAATCTTCATACCTGGCCAACGTCTATAAAGGTTGCAGTAGCGCAGTCAAACAATGGGGTGTGCATCAACCTTCAGCGCAGTTTCCGCAGCTGCTAACTCAAGGGTTTTGAGCAACCACCCACCAAACAAACATCTTCCCTACTTCGTCTCTTTTCTAGTTCATCGGCAACCTCTACAGCAGCCATGGCCAACGCCGCTTCCTCTTCAGCAACGATCCTGTCTACCATGAAACATGTTACGACAAACAAATGGGACAAGGCAGAGGCTCGCTTGCAGGACATCAAAAGCCATGTAGGCGAAGCAGAGCGGAAACTGGCGTGCAAGCCAGACATGCTCGATGCCAATCAGCAGCATCTCGAAGCAGATGTGGCCAACTTGCTCACTGCAGTACGAAAGGCCTATGCTGGCGCGCCCAGCATAGATGTCAGCACCCGTGCTGGCATCAGAGCCAAAGGTGGCCACACAAGGGCATTTGCTGGTGCTTTCGAGGGTCTTCAAAATCGCCTCAACACCATCGAACGCATGCTATCCAATGCCAAGTACTCATCGGGGTTTTCTGCGTCGGCCGCCTTGTCATGGCGCAATGAGCTCCTCGCATATCTGCATCAGTCCCAGCGCCGTATGGAATACACCATACTGTTTGGGAAACTGACGAATGAATGGGCCGACTTTCGCTTTGGCGAGCTTTCGGATACGATTGCGTCGGCAAAACAGGTGGCAGGCCAGTCGGACGCCGCGTCGGAAGACGAGGGTGCCGTATCTGTCGGTCGCAAAGAAATGCACGAGCAGAGGCAAGTCTGGGAAAGCTTGGTCACGAACCTTCGGACTAGTGACAAGGATCAGATTGTTGAATTTCTGGACGAGCTATTCCACTCTGGCCCGCTTCACAATAAGCCAAGCAGCTCTATCGAGGAACTGGCAGACTTGCGCACGACACTGTTGCGGAAAATGCGCAAATCTGTCTTCAACAGCTCCAAAGGCGCGATTCCTGTTACCGTGGCTACCGTCAAGGCTGCTATCAAAGCCATTCTCAGCGCTGACCAACTGACCAGTGAGAAGCGCCGCGCCATGATTGATCTCGGCAACAGAGAAGACGTGCTCAGCGAGATTGCCGACATCTTGAAGATTGATTTGAAGCTGGCGGCAATCGAGCGGTGGTCCTGGGGCGACAGCCCAATCAAAGCGCAGATGCGCAAGGCAATCAATGGCAAGTACCGTGTGTACATGGACATTGAACTGCTTGACTCCATTTTGATACAATGCGTTGGGCAAGCCATCTCGGTGACTATATCCAACGCGCTTGAAAAGGCTTGGAGTGAGGCTGTTGCTGGCGTCTGGAAGGCCAAGGAGGACGAAAATCGCACCGCGGCAATCGAAGCGCAAATTCCCAACTTTACCAATCAAACAGCAAACAACTCGACTAGAGAACTACGGAATGGCATATACAAGAAGATCTTCTTTTCTCCGCGACTGCCCACGAGCATGACGGATGAGAATAGCGGAGTGGGACGCTATGATGGCGATGGCTCAGATAACGACGAAGATCAAGTCCAGGCGAACCTGACAGATCTTATAGACGGTCCACCTAATGTCGTCAATCTGAAAACTGACATTCTTCGTGTTTGTTCTGCTGAAATGAGTGTTCAAAAAATTGTTCATGGACAGTTTTGCCTGCTGCAGAGCGACTTTGAGTGGTTTGGGCCTTCTCTTCCGCATTCGACTCTCACCGCGATAATGGAGTATTTCCACTTCCCCAAGGAGCTTGTGCAATTCACCAAAGCATTTCTCGATATGCACATACAGTTTCAAGAAGACGGCAAGGATGGAGCCGTGCTCACTCGAAAGACTGGCATCCCGGTATCTTTTCAGCTTACTGACGGCATTTCAGAGTTGCTGCTGTTTGTACTGGACTTTGCAGTCAATCAAAGGACAGGCGGATCCCATCTTTACCGTAACCACGACGATTTGTGGTTCTGGGGCCAGCCGTCCCAGTGTGTGGCTGCATGGGAAACGATACGCGAATTCACCCAAATCATGGGACTGCAGTTGAACAAGGACAAGACTGCTTTTGCCCACGCTATTGACGAGTCCAACCCCCGATATAAGCCAGCATCGAAAGAGGAACTGGCGCGCCTCCCTGAAGGAAAGGTGAAATGGGGGTTTCTGCTGTTCGACGACAAGCAGTGGAAGTGGATGTCCAACAAGGCTGCGATTGAGGATCACATGGATGAGTTGCGATTCCAACTGCAGACACGCACGTCCGTCATGTCGCACGTGCAAGCTTACAATGCATACATGAAGAATTTCCTGCCAAACAATTTTGGCCCCGTGATTGTGGGATTGGGCGATGACCACCCCGTCATGGTGTTGGAAGCGCTGCAGCACGCGCAACGACACCTCTACCGCAGCGACGGCGTCGAAAGCTCAGCCGGAAACGTCGCGGACCACGTACGAAAAACAATCAAGGAACGGTTTGAGGCTAATTATAGTGAGGACCAAGTCCCCGACTGCTTCTTGTACATGGGCGTCGAGTACGGTGGCCTGGGCTTGGCGAACCCGGCACCTGCATTTGCGCAGTTTATCCAGCTGCCCAAAAACGACATAAACGACGACCAGAAGCCTCTGCCCCCTATGCAGGAAGCACTGAAGCGACTCAACACGGCCATTTCAGAGAGCTACCGCAAGGAGAGCAAGCAGTTTATCGCCAGACTCAACAGCAAGAGGCACAGGAACAGGATAGGTTCTAAACGGACCGAGGGGGTGGAGGAGGAGGAGGACTCTGAGGAGCAAGATGATGGAAATTTGCCGGATCTCGCCAGATCAGTCAATGGGGTTCCGCAGTTTATGTCGTTGAGCACCTACATGGGCACAACGGAAGAGCAGAGCGCGGCCATGAGAGACTTTTACGAGACGCTGCTGACGGAGCCGTGCGCGGATTGGTCCGTATCGAATAGAACCTGGGCTGCCAAAATGTTTGACGGCGAGCTGGAAGACTTGTTTGGTGGGTATATAGCCGAGGAAGAGTTTTTGTCGCTGGGATTGTACCGCACGTTGGCTGAGGAAAAGGTGCGTTGGAGTGGGTGAGTGTGTATTTACAAGACGCGGCTCTCGCTTGCCATCCAAAAGCGTCACTTGATTATACTATTTAGGTTGGTAGGGCGGAGAGTAGTACGCACACCTCGTAATCAAATCCGTCTAGGATATTGTCCAATACATCGATGAGCATGAATTGCAGTAACTCAACCACCCAGGTCAGGAACCAGCCAACCCTGCTCAGGAAGCTTATCGCACACGCTAATTAGCCAGGGAAGGATAGAGCTCCACTTACACCTACTACCCTACAAAGAAGTTACACATAACTAGTTTATAAAATAACTCATTAACAAAGATTAAGAAAAAAAAAAGGGGTAAAGACTTTTAGATTCTTTATAAAAAAGATATTAGATATAGTTCTTTTTAATATATATATATAATCTATAGTAGTAGGTTTATTAGTAAATAATGCTTTAATTCCTGTAGATGCTGATAAGCCTGGTTCCTGGCCGGGGTGGCCGGTTCCTGATATGGATGTGGATGGCCGAGTTACAAAGTAGCGCCTGGGCGGCCCGAGTAAGTACCTTACTTACTTGCCTACGAAGTACATACAAGGTGTTAGCATGCACATCGGAGAAATTAGGGGCAGACGTACCTACAGTGGTGTAGCGTTGGACATGCCCTGTTGGCCTCCCCGTTGGACCGAATTCTTCACCACTTCCGTCGATTGATCCTGGGACCAATTTCCATACCAGAAGCATGCTTTTTTCTACTATTCTCCTAATTCCCACGTTTTTGTTTATGCTTAAAATTATACTTAACACAGATTATCGATTTCTCCATGTATATCATTTATATTATTGCATCTTGTTTTATTATAGATTGGGGCAACCATGTATTTTCGAAAACGTCACGTCTTTTTGTTTCTTGATGTAACAAGCCAAGGTGACAAGTGACAAGTGGCTTGGATGAGGGGGTGGCCCAGAAGTGAGTTGCCGACTGCCGACGTTTTTTCGAGTTGAATAGGGGGCGCTAAATACCAGCTTCCTCCTCCTCAATACCGATAGTCAAAAGCATAAATTCGACTTGAGCGCTGTGACGGCGCTAATTTGAGCCACTACAAATTCCCCTGCAAATTCCGTCATGAGTTTGCTCAAATCCTCTCCTCAATAACCATGGGCGAACTGGAGCAGCAATGACAAAGCTCAGCACAACATCAGTCTCTTTCGCCGTGGCACCTACTGTCGTCACGACACTGTTTTCACATGTGAGTCTTGTCTGCACCACCTGCCCTGAGAAATCAGCTTGATGCCAAGCAACTGCCATGTGCTGCGCCTCGATCTGCGGCATGCGGGCCGGCAATGGTTTCACCTTTTTTTGCGCGATGAACTGCCGTCCTACGTGCTAACTGTGACCTGTCGACTGGCAGTATCTCAATAGAGAACTTTTGAAAGAGAAGCCGACCGCGCACCTTTCCTACGACGAGGGGCTGCGTTTGGTCCGAGCATTCCTCAAGCACGCGGCTCACCACACCGTCGAGGATTTGCAGGCATTTACTACCCAATGGGTACCCTCGCCGCAATGGGTGAAGCTAGAAAACATTAGGATACCTGAACAACAGTTGACGCGGTCCGCTGGATTGATCAATGAGGAGCTCGGTGACGACGGCCGCGCTCTGGTCGGCGGCGGCTCATGGTGGCAATGGCGCAAACCGGGGAAGCCCCTCGAGGCCGAGTGGATTGAGATGCGCGCCCATGCTAATGAGAGAAAGAAAACTGGCGATCCAGGCCAGCGTATTATTCTGTACTTTCACGGCGGCGGCTACTACTTTGGCAGCGTCGACGAGCACCGCTATCAGATGCAACGCCATGCCCGCAAGTTGAAAGCCAGAGTCCTGGCGCCGAGATATCGACTTGCTCCGCAGTTTCCCTTTCCCTGTGGCCTGCAAGACTGCCTGGCAGCATATCTACACCTGATCTCGTCCAGGGATCCTAGCACCATCATTCTGGCGGGCGACTCTGCTGGCGCTGGCATGGCCTTGGCCGTCTTGCTGATTCTGCGCAACCAGGATTTACCGCTTCCAGCTGGAGCTATTCTGATCAGCCCTTGGGTAGATTTGACTCACTCTTTCAAGAGTCTGACTGGTGATGCCCCAATGGATTATATTCCTACGAATGGCTTTCACCACAGACCATCCAAGGCATGGCCTCCTCCAAATGATGATGATATTGCCGAGATCAAGCGAGATGCTCAGCAGTTGAAGCGTGTACGAACAGGAACTTCCACCCCCAATGAATCCAAAGACGACGTTACCCCGGAATTTGAGCACAAACCCGATGAACGGCAGTATATCACTCTTGACATTGATGGCAAGCCTGTCACTATTAAAGATCAAATACAGGTCTGTTCAAATACATGGTTCAAATGCTCACAGAAAATACTGACGCTGTAAATACTCAGCTCTACACGACCAACGCACTTCTAACCCACCCTCTTGTTAGCCCCGTACTCCAAGCCACGCTCGGAGGGTTGCCGCCATTATTCGTCATGGTTGGCGGTGGGGAGATCTTACGGGACGAGCAAATCTACTTGGCTCACAAGGCTGCCAACCCGCAGAAATATGCGCCTCCGATAGAAAGGTTGTCGGCCAGGGAAAAGGAGCAGCTCAACAAATTCAAGCCTACCGATGTCCAACTACAAGTCTGGGAGGATCTATGCCATGTCGCGCCTACTCTAAGCTTTACCAGACCCGCAAAGTTCATGTATCGCTCAATTGCGCAATTCGGTGCATGGCTACTGGCGAGAGCCCAGCGCCGTGGGATTGATATTATGGACGATGATCAGATATCTGTCATCTCTTCGTCGGGGACACAAGAAAGTAATAATACCGGAAAAGACGAAAGTCACAAGGAAGAGGACACAGCCGGAACTGCACCCGGACACATTGGAAAAGCTGGCGATCCTCTTCCACCTTTCAAAAACCACATGATTCGACAAAGAGTCACTCGTCATGGCGTAACGCTTCCGCTTGTGCCGGAAGAGGAGCTAGATGCATGCACCATAGAACCGACCGACGTTGGAGTTTTCAAGGCCGGCACAGCAAAGAAGTGGCTTGCTACTCGTCGTGAATACGACACTCGATACGCTCGTGCCAAGTCCAAGGTTCACAGGCAGCTAGTGAGTGATCTTGCGACTGGATTTGAAGACTTTGGGCCGGGAGAATTGCCACCGCCCGCAGCTCTGGCAGGCAGACGCAAACTAGAGTCTTATATGGTGGAGAGGAAGCCGAAGAGGAGCCTCGGCCTGTCTCTCTGGTCACTTTGGGGATCCAAGCATGACGAAGAAGCAATCGAGCGCGAGCAGCGGGCAGATCAGCAGCCAGAAACGGAAATTGTTGAAGAAGATGCTGGAGGCCGCATTTCTCACAGAGAGCAAGACGCCGAACAAGGAAACCAAGTACAGACCCCCGACGATGTCACGAGTCGAAGCCGCTCTCGCCGCAGGACCGTTGTGGACGAGCATCAGACAGAGTCTGGCGCAGGCAACGAAGACACGCCAGTTGTCCAGTTACTGCACAAGCGACAAGAACAGGAAGCGTCCAACCCTGGCTTACTTAGTCCAAACTACGTGCCTGAAACTGGCGTTGCTGGAAAACGCCCCTTCATCAAGGGCATGGCTCTGCCGTTCAGCCTGAACAAGGAAGCCGACACTGCCAGCATGCTAACTCTGACGTCTCATGCCAGCCCTAGCACGGAGGCAAACAAGCAACTCGCCACCACCCCGCTCTGTGGCCATGATAAGGGCGACGAAGATGCTGTGACGCAGGAAGTCTCTCCAAGCGAGGCGCCAGCACTTTTGGTACAAAATGGCGCCGCAGCTTGACCTCTAGTTTGGGGACTCATCTTGGAACACGGAAGGCAAATTCATCTACATTCAGAATCTATTGGTAGACTGAGCATTTTCGCACAGTAGCATTAGTAGACTGCCCATTTTCGCACAGCAACAGCAAGACTTGGCGGTTTTTGCTTTGTAACATCATATTGTTTGAAACTCAATAGAAGTCGTATTGTCCCAAAAATATGCTCAACTTGATACATGGTAGTGTACATTCGGAAGGGTATATACAGCCCTGTCGCAGTTCCCGATGGCCTGCGGCAGCCTTTCATCATTCTTTCGCCCTAGTATGCTCGGTGTGAGAGAAAAGTGTCGTTCAATCGCACAGATACGTCGTTACGGTAGCAAGCCCTTGGCCGCTTAGTCCACGCCGTTGTATCGCTTCCATTGCTCGACGTAAAAGTGCGGGTCGGCCGAACCCTTTGCCAGGCCTTTGTAATCACCAGACTCTGGGTAGACTTGTCGGCTCACGAATGGAGTAAGCTGCATGAGAGTTTGCTGTCAGCGATAGAGTGCAAGAGCAATCGATAGGCGGTTTAGTTTTACCTTGAAGTCTTTCAGATCCGGTACAGCATATGTGCGCACTTTGTTCCATTCAATGACGTATCCTCCGTACCTCGTATGGCGACCCATGGAGCCAGTGCGGTTTCCCTTGTAGAAGCCCTTGTTCACATCCTTGGTCGTCAGCTTCAGGTGACGGTAGCGTCCGACTTGAAGGGGTAGTGTCGGCCTCATGGTGTCAGATGTGATGCAGCACTACCCTCGAGGCGATTCGGTAGAATAGGTCGTTAAAAAAAAGAGGATTGCGCTAGTGTCGCACGCGCAGTTCCGTACTCCAAAGATGCAGGCGTGGAATGATGATGGGCGGCTTGTCAAGCGCATCTTAAATTTCCCTGGAGCTGTTCCAGCGCAAACATGTCCCGGCGGCTGGCGTTATTCCGGTTCCGAAGTGCGGCTCTAGCCGACCCACCCTGTCCCTGGCTCGCGGAGCTATGCCGCTGTTGTGTCGAACGGCGATTGCGACTTGGAACATTTCCAAGGTTGCGAAATTGATCATTTTCAAAGGCAATCATTGTTCGGCCAAGGTTTGATTTTTTTAGCAAATACACAAAGATTCGTGACTCACGTTGACCCTAGCATGGCTTTCGGCAAGGTAGCTATCCAGGCCCTACCCACCAGCTCGGCGAGGGGCATGAGCTAACTGTAGTGGTGGACTGTACCAGTAACGGTATTCGGTGCTCTCCTCACATTCTCAAAGAGCTCTGGGCGCAAGTCGGCGCACAAGCAGCGAAATGGACGGATACCCGCTAGGAAGTCTCGACCACAATGTACCGCTGATAATTTTCTCGGGCTTGACGTCGACGTCTCCCGAGATTGAGCTCAATGCGACCTTGCAAGAGGGCGCGGCGTTGCTTCGCTCCGATTTACCCCCTCTGGACAGTAAAGAGGCAGAGCTCCTGGAGCAACATTTTCGAGATGTGGACAGCGAAGGGCAATCATGGACCGGGGTCTCACGAGAAGAGCCATACCGCCTTCGCATCAAGACCGTAGGACGTGTGAGTGGCATGATGGCGATGGTTGCAATACTCGGCGCTAACTTATCCCAGACCTACCCGCTGCCACCGAAGCGCGCGTCCCTTCCAGAAGATACCGAGCCAATGAGATTGAGTCCTACACTACACTCGCCATTCTCACCTCTCAGCCCAGTCTCAGTATTATATCCTGATGGTTTAATGAATGCGCAGTGGATACAAAAACATCAGGAATTAGTGCCCAGTGTATTCGCCTGTTGCTACTGCCTAACGAACGATCCGGCCGCAGCAACCCTTCAGGACAACAAACTCAAGACGGATATAAACAGCATAAAAGCGAAATTGACAGAAACTGGTTACAAAACGCGACTGGCGGTCATTTTTGTGCAGCGCGAGGGAGACGGAAGCTTGCCGTCCATCACCGACCAAATTTCAGAGCGACTCGAAAATATTCGAAAGGGCACATCTATGGACCCGAAAGCGATATTCTATATCCATCCCCAGGACTCGCCCTCGGACTTGAAACAAGTTGCCGACAGTATTCTGGCCAGTCTCTATGGGACTGCTATTGAATATTACAGAGACCTCGGCCGCCACTCGCGCAAGAAGCGATCCCGCGGCATTGTACCACAACCAACAGTCCCGCCAACATCTGGCACCTCTCAAACTCTCTCAATGCCGGATTGGAATTTTCGATACGACTTCAAAACTGCCATCTTTTCAGAATTTAGACAAGAGTTTGACCCTGCTATTCGATCGTTTGAGCAATCCTATGAGATTCTGCTCGGCCAAGATGTCATGGACACGATACCCAGCTGGAGCCCTCGCTGGAACGAGGCGCGCTTACTCGCCGATGTCATTTCAATACGCTGCCTGCGGTTGCATCTTTGGATGAACCAGCCCAGCCTGGCCGTGCGTCGCTGGCAGGCACACCGAGACCGCATTGGTGACTTGGTTGATCGCAGAGGAAAAGGAACAAACAACTACGGGTGGCAAGCTTGGGAAGCGCGCTGGGCGCTGGTTATGGCTCAGCTTATAGAACGGGTTGAGCTGCCTGGTCTTGCGCCGTCGACTATGAACCTCTTTTTGCAGCCGGAAAAGGCTGTCCTTGGCGAGCGGCTACATCCATGGGAGTTTCTGCATCATACAGGGTACTGGTATCGAATTGCCGCTCGTCATCTTGGCGCACGTCGAACTCTTGCCCTGATGATGCCAGATGAAGATCGCGCGCCGCCAAAAGGCTCAGATACTACAAGCTCACAACATTATGACACATATCTGTGCCCGCCGCCCTATAAAGAGAACCCTCTGGAAGGTGAAGGAGTGAACCATGCGCAGCTGATCATAGACTGCTTGATTGCGGCTCGCACGCAGTTCCAGGGCCGAAAACAACTACGTATAGCTGCCGAGTTGTCCCTTGAGTGCGCCCGTGAGATGGCCAGACTAGAGAGCTGGCAAGAAGTACTAGCAATGCTGCGACCTCTATGGGAAGATTTGTCGTTTCGCAGCGATAACTGGATTGATATAACGGAAGATTTGTGTTGGCTGATGCGCCGGGCTGCCGTTGCAGCTGGTCGAGGCGAGCTTGTTATCGCTATTGACTGGGAACTCCTCGACAAAAGTAGGTTCAGATGCGACTTGTGCAAAGTTGGGTTGAAACTGACGCATCTCAGAATTCACAAAACGCCCTTACTGGCACTATGACCTCAGCAAAAGCCTTGATGGCATGAAGTTGGAGGAGAGGCCCTCTGTGGATGTTTCTGACGGATCAGCAACCGGCTTCATCTCCACTTCATTTGTGTTTCGAAATAAAGAGAGCAAAGCGGGAGACTTTTGTAAAGCTCAATTGTCTCTTGTGTCTAATGCTATGCCCGGCTCGGCGCCTATTACTCTGGCGAATGTACGAGTTGAGTTTGAGGGTAGCCTGAAACCGATAACGCTGGAGCATACACCATCAGACGAGAAGCCAACGGGTCGGCCGATATCAATCTCTCTCGTGACACTGGACGAAGAGTTCCCTGAAGAGTCTGAAGATGATCTGCCGACAAAGCTTCACGGTAGCTGTAACCTAACCTTGGAGGCGGGACAGCGACTTGTCATCGAGATGGCAATCCCGTTGCGGGAAGCAGGTGATGTTGAACCGTTCTCGGTTGCGCTCAATATGGACACCAAGACATTCGCCTTGAGCCTGACTCTTCCATTCAGAGACACGGATGCGGCAGTGGGGTGGTTTACCGCGGGCTCAGCCAAGGCTCGCAAGGTGCGCGCCGATTCTAGGACGTTGAGCATTCAACCGCGTCCACCAAAGTTGGACATCAAAGTCGCGCGACAGCTACAACAATACTACGCAAATGAGCCAGTTGCGTTACCTATGGTGCTACAGAACAACGAGGATGAAGCGGCCACAACGAAACTGGACATTCATGTATTCGGTAAAGTGATACCAATATTGCACGTTCAAGCGGGCGACAAAGATTATGCTACCGAGGCTCAAGCTGGAGAAGAGACTGAGCTAGGCGGTATTAGCCTGGGCAAGATTGAAAGCTCGGCATCACGAGAATTCGTCCTAGAGATCGAACCTATCAGTGGCCCGATGACGTACGAGCTACAGTTCAGAGCAACATACCACCTGGAAACCGATTCAGCTACGCCCATTATACAAGTCTTCTCGGTGCAGCTTGATCTGGTGAATCCTTTTGAAGCAAATTATGATCTTGTTCCGAGATTGCACCCTGAGTCATGGCCGAGCCTTTTTGACCCGGAGGGCTTGGACGATATCGATGAAGATGGGAAGCAGCGGACGGCCATTGGGCTCATTCAGCGTTGGTGTCTCTTGTCGCACTACGCTTCGTTCGCGCACGAAGATGTTTTGGTCTTGGGTACAGAGGTTGAGGTCACTGAATGTGTTGGTCAGGCACGCTGCCACGTGAGAAAGCTCGAGCCCATGACGGGGGACGATGGGCTTTTAGTTGAGCCGAGAACGATGCATGAGTCGCGTTTTGAGATTGAGGCACAGAAGATGCAACTAGAAGATCGGAGCCCCGTGTCGATGAGATTGGCTTTCAAGATCAAATGGCGGCGAACAGACTCGAGTCCTCAAAGCCCGCCAAACACTACAACCATGCCAGTGGGCCGATATATGGTTCTGGGAGCGGAACCGCGCGTGCTGGCTACTTCATTTCACGGCCAGCCCGACGAGACAAGCACGACGCAGCTCGACATTACGATTGAGAACCCATCGAACCATCTGCTCACTTTTGGGCTGACAATGGATCCGAGCGAGGAGTTTGCCTTTGCGGGAGCCAAGCAGACGACGTTGCACATGCTGCCCATGTCGCGACGCACGGCAACGTACCGGCTGCTGCCACTGAAGAGGGGCTGCTATATCCGGCCCGGACTGGTGGTGCGGGACAAGTACTTTCAAAAGGTGCTCCGGATTATACCTACAGAAGGCATGAAGATTGACAAGGACGGTCTGTTGCTGTGGATTCCGGGACTGGGGGAGGATAATGATGATGATGATGATGAGCAGGATGAGGAGGAAAAGGAAGAGGAGCAGGGGTAGATGAAGGATATGCATGAACGATAAGGGGGCATGAAGAAGGGCGCTACATGGAATCGGTTATTCTACATGGATGGTGTACAAGATGTTTTATGAATGCTTTTCAGTAAGATTCTCATGTGTGAGCGAAAACATGGTAGAAGTGAATAAGACTTTTGGTTTGAAATTAAACTGCAAGTCTTTTGAGAATGATAATGGTGGCGCGAAGGTGGGGCTGGTGCCGATGTGGGGCGCCGGTTTAATGACGAGGCGGCGCTGACAGAAGGCAACAACAGCCCAAGAGCCAAGGTGAATGTGACTGATTCTCATGATGAGTTTGATGTGGCAGAAAATGTTTCGATGACGTCCAGCTTTGGGCGTAGCCGTGTAAGTGAAGCTATAAAAGCGGGTGTCATACATATGACATCAGCCGACGGCGTGAATTGAGCCGGCCGCCTTGCCAGTTCAACCGGGGCATCAGCGGCTCTTCTTTGCAGCCGTGGCGGGCTTGCGAGGCATTGTAAAGTTGTGCATCAACTAATCCCGATAATTCCTTGACCTGGATATTATCCGACATCCATTAATTCCATCTACGACCCCCTGTTCCTTCCACCCGCCCCCCCTGTCTCGGTTTCAGTGCTCACTGAGTCACTGGCCACGTTTGAATGTTGAATGTCTACCGAATGAGGAAGGCCCCACATTGAAAGTCGGACATCGGTAAACTTCTAGTCCGGGATGGATGGGTGTCCCATGACAAGGCTTGGCGATTTCGGCGTCGGACAAACTAACAAGACAACTGGGCTCATTCTTTTCGATGCAGTCACAACTTTTTTTGACCTTGGCAGGGGACTTTGTGGGACGTCTTCAGCCTTGCGGGTGTAATAGACGGACTTATGATGCGTCGGTCGTGACCCTCCCTCGGCCGAAGCAACGGAGAAAGAGGGCGTTAACATTCAAAGTACGGAGTAGGCTCCCCTGATCGGGCATCGGTCAAGCGCAATGGCAACATGGGTGCCGAAAAAATGCCAGCCCAAAGGTCGAGTGCTGATGACGACTTGTTCAGCCAAGGCAACTAAGCTTTTGCATACTGCATGATGATCAGGCGCGCGCGCAGGCAGACAGGCACAATGTGTATTGCAAAGAAGAGGTCAAAGAGCAACCGAGATCGAACTCTCACGCAGCCATGTATCTGGATTGACGCGACCCTTGACCCTTGCTTTTCTTGGCCTTTTTTTGTGACCGTATACGGCTCTGGAGTGTGATATGGCGGGAATGCCGCCCACCTTTTTTCCACTCTTTCGGGCCGGCGCATCAACGAACCTGAGAGGCGGGGGGGGTCCATCTCCAACAAAGCCCGCCACAACTGTAACCGGAACTCCCCCTGTGCTGGCTCGTCAAAGAGCGACTTGGGGTCTTTTTTTTTCCTTCCCTTGAACGAACCACTGCTTCGTCTCAAAGACAGCAAAAACGTCTATTGGTCCGTTTGGGGGAATCTACCCATTAGAGCTGTAAGCGTTGGAGGAGCTGAGGTGGAGTAAACGGCACAACTTATCCAGAAAATAAAAAAGCGAAGAAAGTAATGCTGCAAAGGACAGACACTAGCGGGCGATTACTCACGATGGCCGAGCAACGTTTTGCGGTAGCGTTCATCATCGGCCATCGGTTACCGTGCCCGTCCGTGCAGAGCCACCGTAGACGTAGTCTTGAGTTGGGGAGCAATGGAGAGGAGAGGGGAGGGGGGGGGGGGGGGGTTGCGGTGCGTGGGCTTGCATAACAACTCCTGGTCGCTTTTTCTTCTCTTCTTGGGTTTCTAGTGATTTATTAATATCTATCTTCCGTGCTCGGACCTGGAGCAGTGTTTCAAAAATTTGTTACCCATCAACACGTTACATGCTTCTTTACTTACTTGTTTTCGCAACGGGCCGCTCTCTCGCTCGCGCACTTTGAACGTTGATTGCCTTGCAACAAACGAACTTGGCCAACAAACGGGTTTTTGCAACTCGCATCTCACCTCGGGGAAACCTCCTTCCCTCTAATAAGCGACCATAATCACCAAACACTGGTCTTTTCTTCTTTTTCCTCTTTCTTCCCCTCTTTTCCCTCCCATAGTCTACTCTGGAACTGGTTGCCACTGCAACTGAAAAGATGGAACAGCAGCGACCTTCTTCGTTCAAGGATCCCGAAACCACCACCAATACCACCACTACAATGAGCGTCGCCACTGCGGCGGACGAGAAGCAGCAGCAGCAGCAGCAGCTACAGCCAGACAGTCTACACGATGCCAGCGAAAAGCAGCAGCACCAAGAGACAGCGACCACGCAACTGCCTGCTTACGAAGAACCAGAGTATCCTGACACTGTCAAGCTCTCGCTGACCATATTTGCGCTGTGCGTCTCCATCTTTCTCGTGGCCCTCGACCAGACCATTGTTGCGCCCGCACTCGGCGCCATTACGACCCAATTCGACAGCACAAAGGACATTGTACGTTTTCTTGTTCTGTTTTCCTTTTCTCTCTCTCTTTCTCTCTCTCTGACTGATAATTTTCCAAGGGCTGGTATGGATCCACCTATCTCCTAACGTCGACATGTCTGCAACCCATCTACGGCGTCATATACCGACACTTCAACATCAAGTGGACTTTTCTCACAGCCATCTTCGTCTTTGAAGTTGGTAGCTTGATCTGCGCCGTCTCCCCCACGTCGGTCGCCTTCATCATCGGCCGCGCGATTGCTGGCGTGGGTACGGCCGGTCTGTTTTCCGGCGCCATCGTGATTCTCTCCCACTCTCGTACGTGCCCCGGTTGTCCAGCGCCTTGTTTGCTGGGGCCCCCATGACACTTATAGTAGTTCATTCCAGAGAAAACATTGCAAAAACTGACCGTTGTGTTTTCGACCCCAGTTCCTCTCTCGAAGCGTCCTATTGCTTTCGGCATCATCGGCGGCGTGTGGGGCATCGCCTCCGTCGCCGGTCCGTTGCTCGGCGGCGCTTTTACCGACCATGTCACCTGGCGCTGGTGCTTCTACATTAACCTCCCCGTTGGTGGCGTCGCCATGGCCATTGTCGTGTGGGCCGTTCACATCAATCGCAACACCAAGCATTCCGAAGGCCTCTCCATCGTCCAGCGCATTCTCAAGCTCGACCTCGTCGGCACCGCCATCTTCATCCCGGCCATCGTCTGCCTTCTCTTGGCGCTGCAGTGGGGTGGCGCCACCTATCCCTGGAGTAACTCTCGCATCATTGGACTCTTCGTCGGTGCCGGCGCCATGATCGCTCTCTTCATCGGCGTGCAATGGTGGCGTTCGGACCAAGGCACTTTCCCACCATTCCTGTTCAAGAACCGGAGCATTGTCGCCGCCATGTCATTTTGCTTCTTCTTCGGCGCTGGCTTCTTCCCTTTGATCTACTACCTATGCAAGTATTTCCAACCCCATGGTATCTGCAACTCCCTGCTGACCAATTCCCACAGCTGTCTACTTCCAGACTATCCAAGGCGTCAGTGCTGTTCAGGCTGGCATCAAGGTCCTGCCTCTTTTGCTTGCCACCGTCATCTGCTCCGTCGTCTCTGGAGCCATGGTTTCGCGCTTCGGCACCTACAATTACGTCATTGTCCCTTGCATGGTGCTCTTCTCCATCGGTGCCGGCCTAATCACCACCTTCGATGTCCACACTCCCCTCCGTGAGTGGTTTGGCTACCAGGTTCTCGCCGGCCTCGGCGTTGGCGCTGGCTTCCAGATTGCCGCCGTTGTTGTCCAGACTGTCTTGCCCCAGGAATGGATCCCCGTCGGTACCGCATGCGTCCAGTTCTTCCAGAGCCTGGGAGGCTCCATCTTCATCGCCGTCGCCCAGACTGTATTCCAAAACGGCCTCCTTGAAGGCATTGAAAGTGCTAACCTCGGTATCGATTCCCGTATCTTTATCAACAGCGGCGTCTCGCAAGCCCGAAATATTCTCCAACAATTACACCGTGAGGATGCTCTCCCACTCGTCCTCGACGCTTATATGAAGGGTCTGCGCAACACGTACTATATTTCTATGGCCTGTGCTATTTGCGCATTTCTGTCGGCGCTAGCACTTGAGAAGAGGTCGGTCAAGGAGAACAGGCAAGAAAAGGGGGATGTTGAGGCCATTGCGACTTAATTCAGTTTGGGCTTGGCCAAATTGGTAGGCGTTTTTGGATCAATTTTCTTTATAATTCTGGGTCCTTTGCATCATTAGATGAAAGACTGCATGATAGAGCCACCGTAGATACCCCTACAACAAGCCTCTGAGCTTTAATTAATGTACATGTCGCAACTCTTTCCAACAACACACCACGTAAACCATGATTTTTCGTATTGATGAGCGACAATGACTATTGAGTATCGTCAGGGGGCCGATCCCAGATATCATCCTTGTTCCTAACCCTAACTTCGGGATCGGCGCCAACAAATCGTATCACCCAATCTCGGACCAACCTCGTTTTCGCAATCTGTGGGTTCTCTACTCCCGCATCATTACGAGCTGCATTCAACGCTCTAGAGCTGTAGCAAGCTCTTGCATCCATTCTCTTGCTCCAGAGCAGATGCACCTTTGTCTGTCCGCGTCGCAAGCTCTGCCCATAGACCTTGCCACGGGACACGTGCAGCGCCACATTTTGCAACAAGACCACATCCTGACGGCGCAACCCGCCGAGCAGACCACCATCACCACCACCACCACCGCCCCCCACCATCGTCGCCGCCGCCGCATCTCTTGCTAGCCAAAACGTGACTGCAAAGCCCGATTTCGTGTCGTCGCCGAGGAGCACCTCGACGAGCAAGAGGGCGGTGCCCCACCGGGTCGTGACGGAGCGAGGCTGCGCAATGGATAAAACCCCGGCAATAATGTTGAGCGTAATGGTTTGTGGCTGCAGAGAGATGACGTGCTTTGCAGAGGGCACGTCTTCGAGGTCGGATAGATGCGCGGCGGGGGCAATGTTTGGTGCTGCTGGCCGCTGCTGTCCGCCGACAGTCGGGGTGGTTAAGCTGGAGAGAAATGACGTCTCGTCCAAGAATGAGGTTGTTGTTGTTGCGTTTGCGTCTTCATACTGAAGCTGAGATGAAGACAATGAATGATGAATGGCGAGAGACTGTTCGCAAAACTCGGTAAGCACTGCTTCATCCTGCTCGATCCTGTTGGTCTCGCTCTCGTCATGCGACGACGACGATGACGACGCCGCCAAGGAAGAGGGGCAGAAGAAATCACCATCCTGATGGTTTCCGTAAAGAGATTGGGCCAGAAAGCTGCGTGTCTGGCTGAATCCTGCATGTAGTGGCTTTCGGTGCAGTGTAACCAACCGCCACGGTGCGATGCTCGCTGGCGACGAGCCGTGATGGCTGCTGCTGCTGCTAGTGCTGTGCCTTCCGGCAGCGTTGATGTATGCGTAAAATGGCTCGTCAAAATGCTCAACGGTGCACTTTGATTCATCCATAGCAGACGGCGGCGGCGCACCAGCCAAGAGTATGATTCGTAGAGGCATTTGCGCAATGTTCCGCGATTCACGCCCCGGCTCTGTCGCAGACAGGTACAAGCCTGCAGCGCAACGCCCTTGACTTCATCAAACAAGATGCAAAGGTTGTAGTATGATCGATATTCAGCAAGTAACAAAGGCAAATTTCATGTATTTTTGCACCATGGCGTCTCAGTCTCACTGGAAAAGATTAGTGCGTTGTAGTTGTTTTGGGAAGATGGTTGCCAACTTAGCGTGAGCGCCAGCCGTGGTGCAAGTGATAGGAGGTTTCACGGTCTTGGCCCTGCTTGGTCTCAACGAACCTAATCGCAGAATTATGAAGTAGTCCAGAAAAGCTCGAGAACAGAGCAGGAAATATTACAAAATGCCGAGAAACGTTTCTTGCATTCACATCTTGCTTTGCGCGTCAGATTACCTGCGACTGTACGATTATCGCAAGAGTTGGTTTACTTGTTGGTGCAGTGACTCACTTTGGCATTCATGTTCAGAGTTATGAAAGTATAATAGTTTTATGTTTAGCTATGCCAACGGCCGTGAATCAAAAGATTTTCGCTATTGGCAGAAAAGATTTGTCCGTGTATAATGTTACATTGCGCTGCGAATTCCAGTACGGTCATGTCTAAAAATCAACAACTAATCTGAAGGCCGGGGCGTCTGCGCTTATTTAAAATAATCAAAACCAGGCGCTCTTTATACAGTATCAGCACGTCAGCTCGCCACTAACGATGCAATCACTCTCCCTTCTTCTCCCCAACTCTATTCGCATCGCCATCATCTCCCGCAGGTTCTCCACTCAGAGGATGCTTCGGGTCGTAGCCTACGGACTTCACTATACCCAAGCCTTTTGTTCGACCCTCCCGGAACAGCAACCTGTCACCGGGAGCCAAGTATTCAGGCCGCTGCACAAACCGAAACGCCACGGTCGCTCGATCGCCCGTACGAATGAAATCTCTATCGATGTCGATTATAGCACAGGTCTGGGAAACAGGTCCCACGTGTAGCATTGCCTGGTACTTTCTCTTGATCGTGGTAGCATGTGAGAGAATGAGAACTTGAAAATCCATGTTAGCCATCATGAGTTTTGACAGCCAAACTTGGCGCGACTCACCTTCAGCAACAAACTCTCTATGAACCACAGGTGGCACCTCGCCTTCGAGGTGAGGAAGAACGACCATTCCTTTTCGTACATCCTTTCGTTTCACCTTTTTCAAAGCAAAAGAAGCAGACTGCCCGGCAGATGCTGCCGGCACACGGAGCCTTTTGCGCTCGATTGAACGAATCGCGGTTGGCGAGAATTGACCAAGTGAGTCTGGGCCGATGAGCACATTGTCACCCTCGTGAATAACACCTGATTTAATGATGCCAGATACCACTGTGCCGGTAAAAGGGACGGAGAATGTATCATTCACTTGAAATTCAAAGGGACCCTCCGAGTTGTACCTTCCGTGGTGTGGAAGAATATTGAAGAAGAGGCGCACCAGGTCAAGATTTTGGCCAGTAACGTTGGACACCTGGAAGATGGGACATATCCTATGACTGACAAACTGTGTCGCAGTATTTATGCAGTCTTCTCGGCTATTGATAAACGTTGGGATTTTGCGCGCCCCAGGACTTTTCATGATTCCGGTAATCTGCTTGACGCTTTCAGCGAGAACATGCGGAGGGCAAATATCAATTTTGGTAATGATGACCATGACTGGAACATTAAGTGCCAGCGCAATGCCGAGGTGCTCTTTGCTCATGGCAGTCAGGCCGTGATTTGCTGCCACCATGAGGACACAGTAGTTGGGGCTCGACGAGAGCATACCAAAGACGGTCGTCCGTAGGTATTTTTCGTGGCCAGCAAGATCAGTAAAAGTGATGACCTTGGCGCTTCGCTTTCCAATCTCTTCCCAAGATAGTTTGCCTAGAAACGCTGTTAGAATGCGACATCAACAAGGGACTAGTGAGATGGCTACATACGTCCGGGAGTGTCAGAAGTGACCACTTTGCCTGCCGCGTCAAAGCCCAGGATTTCCATGCCGACAGAGCTGGTTCGGCCGCTCTCCATCTCGTGTTTGTGACGAAAGAGATTTACACGAGCCTTGCCGCGTCCATCGTCAAGATCTCCTTTGACAAGAACACCTAAGAGTGAACTCTTACCAGCATCAACTGCAAGGTCATTAGCAGTTATCCAACACGGCCTCGAGAGAGTTCTTACCATTTCCAACAACGGCTATTCGCGTCTCAATTGCATCTTCAATTTTCTTCGGGGCCCGCCGAAGAAGCACCTTACCGGTGCAGCTTTTGCCCTTGGCTGGAGCCGCAGGCGTGCTAGCCGCCTCAGCTTCACCGCCGACGTTGTTGGTCAGCAGCAGCAGGCAAACAGCATCGATATTCTTCGCAGCGAGCTCAATCCTTTTGTAAGCAATATTCCATAGGCCCAATGTTAGGTCCATCGGTTCGCCGTTATCCTCGTAGCCCAGCTCCAGGATGGCCTCTCCAAGGCCCTCGATTATCCGCTCGACTAATATATTTTGCAACTGTTCTATCGATTCTTCGTCAGAGCCGAGAAGGAGAGGCTTCATTAGTCTTCTGGAAGTAGTATCTGCCAGGTCGAGGCCGTCGAAAAGGTCGTCAAGCTCTTCATGATGCTCGGTCGAGTCGGCAGGAGTTGGGTGCGCAGCAGGGAATCGTCTGCTTTGTTGCTGCTCGACATATTCGGCGAATTGACTAAGAGCCTGCTATGCGTTAGTTCGTCCAAGAAAAATCTGGTGGCACACTGTCATACAGATTCGCCCTTGCGCTTCTCGTGGGGTAGTGCTTTTGTTGCTTTCGTAGCCATAGTGCAATCCGGACCTTGCGCGATGCGCTGACTTCAAAGGTATATTCGTGTGATCATTTGTTGTCTGTGATATCGAGAATGTTAGGAATAGGGGAAACCCGGGTTTATCAGAAAATAAGGCAGAAGGTTGCCTGTGGTTGCTGGGGGCTGTTGGCGTTTACGAAGAGTCATACCCGTCCGAGGTAGTCATAGGAAGACTACGTGGGGTGATAGAGCCACTCGGTGACCTCAAGTACCTATTGAGAGGGTGGGGAACACTGGAGATTGTCAAAACAGCAATCCGGTTGATCCTTCCATGCCAAACCAAAACAACTTCATCTAGATGTGCCGGCGCCCGAATTTTTTGTATAATGATGTCGATTGTCTAAAAAAAGCCGAGTCTATGATATTTTCTCAGATACATAGTCGTAATCCTGGTGGGCTGTTTGTGGCGCGACTAAAGGACTTTGCACAGCACCCTGAGTCTAGAGCGTGGAATTCGATTTCATGGAACCTTCCACAAACATACCCGGTGCGGAAAGCGGCCCAGTTGCAGTCGCTTATTAGGGGATTGGTACTGCATAGCAACGAGCTACCGCGTCGTCGTGGATGGCCAAGCATTCCTGACTGTCGTGGAAGATGCAGCAGGTCCTGAACAGTCATAGCATGACTGATTGATAGATTTGCCAAATATCTCTCAAAAGGGAACCTGAGGGGAAATCAAGACAACGCTGTCACCTGTGTTTCGGTTAGTCCGAGCTGAACTCCGACACCACCATGCTGTCCTTACGTACCTCGCACGAAAAGCATCTCTGACTTGCGGCTGACGCTCTAGATTCAGCAGACAGTTGTTAGAGGAAATGGAGTACAGTCGAGATGTTTCGGATACACCATACCTTGGCCTCTTCCTCGTCGTCCTCCTCGACACCGTATATGGTCTCTTCTACCTCACCCAGCACTAGGTTACAGTGGCTATCGTAGGCCTAGAAGTGTCAAAATTGCCTATCATCCATAGATTGATAAGACGCGACTCACATGCAGCTTGCCCTTGAGCTCCCTGTCGCCTCGTAGCTTGACAAACACAACTTCGTTGAGGAGCAGACGCACGAGGTCTAAAGGCTCCGACACGTGGCTTGATCCATCCGCGTCGTCAGCCATTATCGGTTATTGACTTCTGTTCTGCGTGCCACGCTCTTCGGGACAGTTTGGTGACAGCAGATTGCAAACGAACGTCTTTTTAGGCGGCCTGGCGATTTCTCGTATAACAGCTGTTAAGCCCAAATTGCGTTCTCATGCCAAAGCTGGAAAATCTTCGGGTGGATTATGCACTGACCGAGGCGATTGAGGAATATGCACATAACCAGTAGCACGCCTGTGCCCACCCATCCCGTCTACCCCAACTTTTCCTCGTGTCCACTGGTGCCACGACTCCGCTAAATCAGGGCCGATCTATCTAGCCCTCTGGGTAGCAAACGCTTCCATCTACAGCGACGAGTCCAGCGCTGTGCGGCGAATATTGGCCAAGGTAGTGAGGGCTATTAGGCTTATTTCCAATGACTTTGAGATCACCGCTTTTGGCACGATGTTGTCTCATTGCCCGCTCGGCGCTCGTTTCCAAGTGTCAGCTTGGTCAGAGCACGCGAGGGGTCGCCCCATCGGGGAACCGATCTCTAGCTACGCACACAGAGTCGCCCATAGTTCGGCAACATTGTGCTGAAGTGCAACCGCCATCGGAGAGAACCGCGTTGGACATACTTCTGCGCGCCATACAGAAGAAAGACTCGTCACAGATTTGCTCTGCCTTTATAAAATGGACGACTCTGCTGGCCGACCAGGCATCCCCACTCCACCTTGGCGCTGTCGAGGAGCTGCTCCAGCTCTCCACGCCCACGCTCTCTGAGATTCTACGCTGCTTGGATCCTTTCAATTGCTCCGGCGATGCGGCGGAAGGCCTCAGAGTCAGCGCCGGTGAGGCACAATATACTGCCACGGGCAATTTCTTTGACCCGTACGGTGTCCGGAACCGCCATCGCCAGGTGCTGGCGGGCTTGCAGACCCTTTTTCGCATCCGCACCTCTTTGACACTGCCCGACTACGAGATCGCCATGCGAACCGCAGGCGCTGCCGTCGACTTCCATGCTGCGCGCGAATTTTGGGGCAACATGGCTGAGAATGGCCTGCAGCAGTGGCGCACCACGCGGGCCTGGAACGAGTTTCTCAAGGCCTTCTTCATGACGGAGCCGCTATACTACCAGTTCGATAGGGCGCGTGTCGCCGTGACCGCGCGCGACCTATTTCGCTCTCGCAATCCTGTGCACGGCGCCACACTCGAGGCACTCGACCGACAGCGATTTAGCGTCAACGCGCTACAGCACGAGCCATGGAATCGCATACTAACGGATATTGACAAGGACGTAATGCGAGATATGCGAAAACGTGTCCAAGACCGTGGCTATCGTGAGCACTGGCGACGTGGGCTTTTATATGGCGTCGGCATGAATGAAGAGCTCCTCTGTACCTCGATCAAGGCATTTGCACGGTCAGCCTCGTTACACGCGATCAAGGAGCTCATTTTCGGCCATTACTATGGTATATTGATCGAAAATGATCGAGACCCGGCACAGACCACCATCACCGGAGGCCATGACTTTCCCCACGACTCGCCGCTACGGCCGACCGCTGCTCTACTCGAAGCCATCGCTGAAGGGCTCGGCGCAATGTCACACATTGCACTGGCCTTGCAGCTGATCAACTTTGTCTCGAATCGCTACAGTATAGCCATCCCACACTCTGTCTGGTCAAGCCTCCTGAACTGGGCGTACATCTTCTCCTCCAAGCCCTTTGGCGACGCGCGTCAGAAACTTGGCGACTGGCCAGCCACGACTCAACGACCGGTCGATGTCATTCATATCTGGGAGGCCATGACTTCACCCTCTCACGGCAACATCACACCGACCTTTGAGGACTACGACGTCTACATCAAAACGCTGCTCGTCCAGCGTTGCGTCGTCAAGGCGTTTAGCACCATCAACGAGTACGCGCTTCCATACTACACTACGCTCGTGCAGGAGTACGAAACTGCCTTTGCAGATGAGGTTCTGCAAGCAGACGCCCTCCGCGCAGCCGCCCCCGCGCGCGCCACGCTGCGCCGGCAAAAGGCCGAGACGCGCAAGGACCACGCGCACCACCGCATCTCGCTCTGGTTCAAGCAGCTGCTCAAGGTCATCTCCGCGAATCGCCACTACCGCGACGGGCCCGCGGGCCAGGAAATGGTGCCCAACCTAGTCCGCGACTATGGCTACTTCCTGCCGGCCTTTGTCAAGTACCGCACCGCGCAGGGCACGGTCACGCTGGAGCGCAACGGCGACGAGAGCCTGACGGAGCGCGTGTCGTGGGAGCGACGCTGGCGCACGACGCTGCCGATGAAGCGGAGCGGCGTGCACATGCGCGTCCGGCCGGGGTCAACGGAGCCCGAATTTGACTGGCCGGCGGTGTGGCCAATGAGAGTGCTCGAGACGCGCCCGGTGCCCAGGGAGCGGCTGGCGAGGGTGCCACCGCCGCCGCCGGGCCGTAAAGAGGGCAAGTGGTGGGAAAGGCTAGAGGAGCAGCTGATCATGTGATGAGGCTATGTTGTTTTGTGTACATTTGTTTTGGGTATGCGTACATGCATGTGGATGATTGAAGTGAAGCAAACCCGAAAGATTGATGGACAAGGAAGCGAGCAGTGATTTGCAAGTCATGCACACTACTGTAGACTTCGTCTGTAGATATAAAACCGTCTAATCATGGTCATCAATGTCGTTATTCGTTATATAAAAAGCTACTGATATATAGTACGCGTTCCACCTGTACATGTTTAGAGCTCAGATTGTTGATTGTATATGCCATTTTCCGCCTTTGTCATCGCATTTGTGTCGTTATCATAAAAGTCCATGTTCTGTATTCCAAGGCAAAGAAGAAGAAAACAAAGAAAAAAAAAAGAGGAAAGAGGGGCGTCCAGAATGGAGCAGCGTCGGCATGTTTAAAAAGCCCCGACGCCGCCCAACAGCAGTGCGGCGCTGCCAATGCCCACCGCACCGAGCGTCTCGCCCCACGACTTTTTCCTCCTGTCGCGACGTTCCCTGTGGCTGCGGTGTGGGCGGTCATAGTAGTCACGATCGTGATGGTCCCTGTATCGGCGGGACGACGAACTACCCTCTCCGTGGTAGTAGTCTCTACGGCGGTCGTTGTTGTATGTACTTGGCGCGCTGCTCGGATGCTCGACCTCGTGCGGCTCCGGGTCAAAGTGTACGCGGTGTCTGTTCTTGTTCTTGAGGATGGGCTTGGGCTTGACCGTTGTTGACGGCGACGTCTTGTTGGTCTTGGAGGGCGCGCTGACAATGGTGGGATAGTTGCGATCGTCCTTTCCATAATAGCTATCGTCCTCGTAGTCTGTCGAGTCGCTCGAATCGAAGACTTCATCGTCATCGCTGTGGTGCGTTTTGTTGCCCGATTTAGGCTGTGTCTCGTAATCTGCGCGTCGGGGTGGCAGCGGCGGGACAGCGGCGCGAGCGGCGCGACACTCGACACTCTGACGGGCGAATTTGGCAATCTGGTGGCGGCTGAGGCGACCGAGGATGGCAACGTACTCCGGGCGCGCCTCATAACGTACACCGGCACGGTCGAGGACCTCTAAGCTGAGGAGGGCTCGGCGGACCTTTGTCCATTCTGCGTCGGGGGGAATTTCCTTGCCATATCTGTCTGGCGCCAGCCGCAATGGACGACTGGGGTTAGTGCCTGTATGAGCGTGGCTTCCGGCATCTGCTGGAGTGCTAGAGTGGTATCGCGGTGACCCAGCTATTGTTTGGGAGTCTGACGAGCGGGACGGGTCACTGCTTGGATTGCCCGACTGCGAGTGCAATCCTGTGTGCAGTGTCATACTATGCATGCCTTTATTCAGGCTGTCCAAGGCCATTAGCTCCTTGGTAGAAACGAGCGCCATGGACAAGTCGTCGCCGTCTTTTTTCTTGTCCATGTTGGCTGCGGAGACATCGAACGAGTACTGGATTGGGAGAACTGTGGGCGAGGGGTTGTCGGCGCTATGTCTCCGGTCGGCCTTGGTGTTGGGCAGTGGCTTTGCCTTCCTAATAGACTGGGCGTTGTCCTTGGGCGGGAGGATGGGTATCTTGGGTGGCACGACGGGAGGCTGAGAGGTATGTAGGACTTGGGGCGCCGTATTGGCCTCAAATTCGGCAACGCTCTGATATGTGGGCATTTCACCGCACTTTCGGTTCCATGACGAGCCGAGTTGCTGGATATATGCTTTAGCTGAAGTCTGGGGGATGTGTTAGTACCCGAGATTAACTAGCGTAGCCTTGGGCATGGCATACCTTGTGAGCATCGATTTGCTCAGCAGAGAAACCACGACGCTCAAGCTCCGACCTGAACTCGCGCCAGAGGGCGTCCGAGTTACTGGGAAGCACGCCAGAGTGGCGACTGAAGACTTTGGAAGCCATGCTATCAATCTCGTGCTTCATCTCAGCGAACATGTCATGCTCTGGCGAAGCAGTGTTGCTCTTTGGACGTTCATGGACGGTATCCAGGAAAAACGCAACATCCATCTCCTTTTGGGCAATTCTGGCTGTGATGGAGGCGATGCGGGAGTTCAGTGCGTCTTTGTTGTCAGCAGCATCGAAGCGATCGAGGACCGTTTCGAGCTGCCTGAGGGCAAACTCGCAGTGGTCGACTATGGGCTCGAGCTCGGCGGCGTAGACGGCGCAAGATGAAGACTCGGGCTTGTTGAGGGCAGACTTGGGATTGGCAGCTTCGGTACGCAGGTGGCGGAGGGAAATGTGCATCTGGCGGACGGCGACGGCGGCATCGTCAAAGGTGGGCGAAGGCACCTGCTTGGTGCGCAGGTAAAGTGTGCGGGCAAAGGCGTCGACAGCGTCGATGCGGAGGGCAGTAACGCTCCCGTTCATGATGACAAGAGGGTTTGAGAGTGTAACTGGCCTTGACAGGGGCGGCAGTGCGCGCGAGCCTGCCTGGTTGGGCGTGTTTGTAATCCAGGTAGCGATGTGGCGTCCAAGTGGGTTTGGTGATGTTTGGTAGCTAGGCGAGTCTGGGGTGTCGCGTTTTTCCAATAATGTAAAAGGAGATTTTGACAAAGATCAAGCAAGTCTGTGGAGAGAAGTCCCGAGGAAGAAGAAGCTGGTCGACAGGCCGGGCCAAGGCTGCTGCGGCCAGGGCAGAATGGTAAGTGTCTTGGCTCGTGATGTGGTGTGGCCAGCTGACAGCGGGTCGGGCGTGTTAGTGAGGTGTAAATGCGACGACAGATGGCCACGTCGATATCATGAGAGGTCTTACGCAGAAAGGCTGGTGGATAAGATGTTGATGAGAAGAGAGAAAAAGGAAGAAGGAGAGGGGAGAAGCGGAAAAAAGAAGGCAGGAAACTGATGGACAAGTGGCTATACTGTTATGCTTCGATGCCGTGTTGGATGAGCGGCGATTCTGGCTTATCTGGCGTCGCACTGTAAAAAGCGAAAAGGGAAAAGGCCATGACAGCAAACGGGAAACGGCAAGTAACGTCAGAGTGGAAACGGGCAACTACTGGGGCGCATGAACGCGGCGGGTAGGTACCTAGTCAGGTACAGTGGCCAGTGGGCCCAAGTATTTCCCAGCAAATCACTGCCACAATTGCCATGCATTGTTGCTTGTGAATACCTACGGCGACGCCTTGGGACCCCAGCCAGTACCTGGGTACCTCGTACCCGGCCATGGCCAAGCAGCCAAGGAGCCCGCCGTTCGTTTCGCGTCCTTGACCAGTCAACAGACTGATTTAGTTTTTTATTTTTAGGTGATAGCTTTAATGTTACCTTTGACTAAATACAACTAACTTCAGGTGTCTGCTTGCTTGTCGTAACCTTTGAAACCTATCGAGATATCTATCAACTTTCCAGTGAGCCACGGAACTTTCCCCTTCAGCCTCGGCGCACTGCTCTTGTCGCATTTCGCAGGCAGCTTTGCCCTCAGCCATGCTCCGTCATGGCATCATCATTGGTCCTCGCTCTCGCTTTCATTCTCTCTTGTCTCTTTTCCACAAAAATTCCACAATTCACAGGGCTGACCAGCAGTACCGCCGCTTTGCGTCTAGTCTCGGGCGCTCGAGTGCTTGATTGCTTGATTGCCTTCCTTGAGTCCTTGCTCCTTCTTTTCGCTGCAAAGGGCCAAGCCGACTGCAGGGCCTTCCCGCAGGGCCTTCCCGCAGGGCCTTCCCGCAGGGCAAGACACGATTTACAACGTAGCGCGTCCCATCCCCAACATATGAATCCCTCTGAATTATGGAATGGCTCTTTGATACGTGGCGTGAGATTTTTGTGCGGTTCGTTTTCTCAGTCGCCGCACTCGTATTTCGCCCCATCGCCGGCCAACTACGTCACTGGCTCAATAGCGCTGGTTGGCCGTGCACCACAGAGCTCGACGACAAGACCGGCAAAGCACAAGACGCGCCTTTTCACGACAGTCAAACTTCCTTCCCCGCACTGCCCGAAAATTGCATGACAAGCCCATCGCTGCCCAGTCAAACAAGGCTTTGCGGCTGAGCAACAAGATGCACAGTTTGAAACCCCCAGCCAAGTCACTGCCTTTGTGGCTGATGGCGCGCGCTAACACGCATGGCCCACGGCCACGTCTTTTTGCTACCATATCTTAGACCAAACCTGCTGATACGTTGTTTGTCTCTCGCTCACTGCGGCCGAGAGATCCCCATCCCTTTGCACTTTTTGCTGCGTGCGAGCAGCTGCATGATATAGCGCCGTACAAAGTACTCTTCACCCGAAACCTTGAACACTACCCGCAGCCACCTTTGCCACCGAGAACTGTCTGATTGGATCAGACAAACGGGCCCAGCTTGCTGCAGCTATCCGTAACTCCAACTCACTCATCCCAAGCACACCAAGCAAGGTCTCGTGCCCGATTTCCCAATCACTGAGGGGAGCCAAAATGTCGGCGCCGGCCGTGCAACTCTGCCCCCCAGTGAGACTCGCATCTTTTTGCTCATCACTTTGCCCCTTCTCGGCCAAGTCACGGTCCCAAAGTACGCCAGGCAACCATCCGAACCACCTGTGCGAACCAGTCCCCGACGCCAAGGCCGCAGCGGAAAAAGCCAAGGCCAAGGAACAAGAGAAAGCAAAAAAAGAGGGGATGATTGCCGTCTCCATCTTCTCAGGGGACGTATCGCATCGTTTCCTGGTGCACCCATTCACCATTACTTGAAGACGATGCACCCACTTGAGCCAACTAACGAACCTGCGAACGAATACGATGCTACGCCAACCACCCTTCCCCATCTTGCTCAGATATATTTATCCCACATCCTCCCTGCTTATCGAATCACAGGTAATCCTTTTATACTTGACCAAATAGTGTCGATGCAGAATGAGGTGCCGGCGGCTTCATGTATCCCGAAATCGGCTCCCCGGAGTGCGGTTGGTCGTAACGGACTGCCTTGGTATCCATACTGCGATCAAAACAGAGCCTGGATTCGAAGCTTGCACGTGCTTGTTGATTTTATGAAAGAGACTAACTAGTTACATAAATGGAGTGCGCCTGTTGTAGTATATAGTTACAGCGCGAGAACAAAACCTGTTTTCTGACCAAACGGAAAAAAAGTAAAGTAAAAAAAAACAGTAGCCGACAGTAAAAGTCGTACACAATCTGGTGGTATCAGTCAAATTTCAAGTCCTTGCGTAATAAAACCAAAATCAATCTCAATCCATATGGTCTCACTTTTCCATGATCCATGATTGGAAACTCCGCTCCAAAAGAAACTCCCGAAATGAAGAGTCCAGTAGGAAACGTAAATGGTATCAGAAGAGATGCCATCGTCATGTTAAAACAGCCCGTCCGAGATATTAAACGTCTCGTCAAGACCGCACTTTTTAGTGTACTACTTTATTTCGTAGGACGTTTTTGCTGTCGTTTCGTGTAAACCAAACCGCAGACGTTGCAGAGCGTCTTGGGGCCATCTGGGCCGGGCCGCCACTGGGGCGTTTCGACGCGGTGGCAGTTGTGGCATTTGTGTGTCATTCTCTGTTTCTAAATTTGGCATGAGCACAAGAAGCTTGTTCAATCGGAGTGGGTGGGTGGAAAAGACGTACATTTTGCTCTTTGCGTCGTGCCCGCGCAGCAGACGAAATCGGCCTCGTAGGAACATACTTATCCGCGACATGCGGCAGCATCTCGTCCTCATTCTCGTCGGCCCGCAGCGACTCAATCTTGTCCAGACTGGAGGTTATGTCGCGCACCAGGTTACCCATGATCAAAAGCTCGTCATTTGTGACACGGGGCGTCTCGGAATCAATGTCGCGGGGGAGGTCGTCGGCGAACCGGGCGAGGACAGCGAGGTTCTGCTGGATCTAAGCAACGGTTAGCACCAAGTCGCCACGGGGTGGGGAGCAGGGAGGCAAAAAGAAAGCTTACAATCTGCACGTTTTCGCTCTGCAAGAGACCCTTGAGGGAGAGTCGTGATGACATCACCGTGGACTGATGCGTGTCGGCTATGCTGCTCGCTCGCGAGATGGTGGCAAAGACATGGGCAGCGAGGTCACTGGGGGCGTGGCGGCTGTGGGAGGGCTCAAGTCCAATGTGCGGAGCAGCGTGGGCGATGACAGGCATAAACGAGCGGGCCGGATGTCGATGCTAAGTGTCGATGCTAATTATCCAACGGCGACGGCGACGGCAACGGAAAAAAAAAGAAGTTGTTGAGAGAAGATGCCCAAAGGCTCGCAGTGCTGGGGTGGGGTATACGGTTGGGGCAGGCCTGGTGAGGTGAGAGGGAAAAGTACTCGGGTAGCAAAACCAAATTGTAGGTAGGTGAAGGAAGGGGGAATGAGAGGTTGGAAATCCCCAGGTTCAGTCTATATATCAATTTGGGGAATTCTTTTCTTCGGCGTGTGGCAAAGAAAAAAGTATGGACGACAGCAGCTGAAGGTGGTTTCGATGCCAAGTTGGTGTAGCCTGAGGTAGGAATCCCAAAAAGATTCCCATGCTGGCAAAGATGGGGATTTGCAGGACCCTGACTTGCCTGAGTCCCTGACTGACAGACTGTGCTGGTGGAGCCCAGTGCCTCCCTCCACACCTACCTGACCAAGGTAGTATCCATACGCCATACTTACAGTCTACAGAGCACAAGCAGGTTTTTCCGTCTCTCGCCAAAAACTAAAGAGAGCGAAAAAGAAAATAAGGACGAATCAATACCACTTTACGGATGCTGATCGACTGGTAGCACAGACATAATTCTCAAACCCCATATTCGTCACGACCGGAGTGAATGACATGGCTCGCATCACTACAAAAATCAAGCTCAAGTCACGACCAAGTAAGGAGATCCTCTCCAGTCAAACTTATAGCGCACTCGCCCAAATTTGCCGTTGCTATTCGTCGCTTTCGCCACGCTCATTCCTCCATTTGCGCCACACTCATCTCTGTACCTACCCAGAGGCTTACCGAGGCTCACTCACAGACAGGCTGCTAAGCTTTGGCTTCTTTTTGAACGCAACTAACTCTGCCTTTTGCGGCTCATTCTGAAATCCACCTGTATGATACAAGTTGACTATAGATAGACTCAGACTTTGCGAAATGTGTTTCCCCCTATCCGGATAGTTTGTCGTAGTCTAGAAGTCATCGAACCCTTGACGAGCACCCCGACCTTGTCTAAAAACAGTGGTCCCCGGGCCTTTTCCTCCACAACAAGGAAGCTACTTGCAGCGATACGCAGTAAATTCATCTGTCAGTGCATAAATGAGACCCACATCTTTATATGCGTTCATAAATCCATGCTCTGCATTACTGCTACGTGCAAATAAAGTACATGGAAAATGCATCGAGGGTTGAAAGTTTGCCTTCTGTTGTCTACACCACTTTTGCCCATGTCTCTCTCTATATCTACAGAATACGCTGCGGCCACATTTAAGCATAGACCAGCAAATTAGCCCCAAACAGGCGAACGACACCCATAAGAAGTCGCCACAGTGCCACCAGGCCCAAACACACTAATTAAACCCTCAACAGCTGCCCAGGTTCCCATGCCGGACGTGGCTAAACCGGCCAGGGCATATATGGTGCACGGAATATGGATGTACCACTTCTTCATGAAGCCGCGCGACCATCGCTTCACTCCGCTATCGTGCACCACATTTTCACCCGTCTCGGGGTTGAATCCTTCGCCAGGCAGCTCAGCGGCGGATAAAACAGACCAGCCCAGATAAGCAATGCCCGGAAACGAGTAGCTGAAATTGACAGCAAAGAGACCGCCCACGAAGCCCACAATGCCGTTCAAGTTGGGCACTGCGGCCGCGATGAGGAAGGCAATGATCCAGTAGAGGGGCCCAAGAGCATACCACATCCATTTGCCTCGGTTTGTCGCAATGGGTGGAAATTTGAAAATCTCTTGAAACACTTCGATGTAGACAGTCTTCATGCCGACGTGAAAGTACAGTACTGATGGAGATGATTAGTCAACAAGTACGCAACTCAGCGCATCCCAATTACTTACCCGCTGCAATGAGACCAGTCAGCAGATTCAGCACGTTGTTGAACGTGCGCAATCCTGCAGGATTGATGACCTGATAGATGACAGAAGCCGAGTACTGTCCAAAGTAACTGTATACAAAGATGCCAAAGAAAAGATACACGACGCAGATAAAGGCCTGTGCGCAGATCATGCCTTTCCAGAAATCCATCGGGTGTCGCATCTCCGACATGAACGAGACGAAGAGGATCGCGCCGCTGTATGCGTCTATACGGTATGAGAATGGACACTTGCAAGCGAAGGAAGAGGTGTCCAAGACTTACAAACCATGTTGTCGACTCCGTTGAAGATGCCAGCAAAACCATGCGCCTGTTGCTGATATGCATCCGGTACCAGGCCTGCAAACTTCTTGACTGGAAGCTTCTCCTTGGGTAGGATGGTGGATCCAAAGATTGGCGGGTAGTAGATGTCGTACTTTGCCGCAGCAACCATACTTTACTCAGGTTAGCATTCAACCAAGGCTAGTAAGATGGAGAATCTGCCAAGGAAGGGGCACTAACATGGAGATGAAGCTCACGATGTTGAACCAGACTGAAAGATTACAGATCCATCCCAGACGTTGCAAAGATCGAATACTCCCAAATACCATGCCAATGGCCATGATGATGATCATGCACACAATGAAGCACAGCTGCGGTCCGGCGAGCAAAGAGATGATGCGGCCCTTGCTAAAGATGAGCACCATGACTGTGCAAAACTGCTGCAGCGACTGGGCCACGTTGATAAAGTGTCTCGTCTTGGGGCCAAAGATGCGAAAAAAGATGTCGCCATAGCTGAGCATTGGGTAGCGCGACGAGTCCATGGTGGTGAAGATTTTCCAGAGCATAAGACCGCTGAGCGAGGCGGCGAGGCCAAACACGACGTACAAGGCGACGCCGGTGCCGTACCCGACACTGGCAAAGACAAAACTATAAAAACGTGCGAATGGCGCCGCCTAGTTAGCTTTGATCAGATCGATCGGGGACTAGACGTGAGTTTTTGGGGACGTGCAAAAGAAACGTACGGACAACTCGACCAGCCGAGAATGTCGGTGGTGACGAGGAAGAAGACGGAGCTCCAGCCAGCAGTGCGTAGAGCCCTGGCGGCCGTCTTCCACTCCTCGTCGAGCGAGGTGGTGGTGCTGGAGCCGCCGTGAGCTAGACTGGGCGCAGATTTGTCCTCGTCCGAAGCAGACGCTGCCAATACACTGTTGTCGTTGCCGTCACGTCCCGCGGCCGCGTTTCCCGGAGACCTACTCAACATGCCTTTGCGACGGCCTCCCTCTGTGCTGTCATACTCGGAGCCGCCCTTTTCTTCCGTCGACGGTCCGATGCGCGTCGCCTCAAGCTGCTGCTGCTGCTGCTGCTGCTGCTGCTGTCGCTGATCCATCTTCTTGTTGTCGTGGTGGACACCCTTGGAGAAGCGGCTCTTGATCATCTTTTTCAGCGTCATGGGCCCGCGCCGCTCGAGATAGAGCCGCTCCGCCTCGCGCTCCTCCTCGCGCTCCACCTTGGCCCAGTAGCGAAACTCGGCAAAGGAGACGGTCGGGTCGACGCGGTAGTCGATGCCGTACCCGCGGAGAGGCGCCGTCTTGGCGGGCAGCTCCAAAGACTTTTCGCCCTGGCGGGCTCGCGAGGCCGGCGCTGCTGCCTCGATGGGCATATCTGTCGAGGCTGGACTGCCCATGCTTTTTTTTTCAAAAAAACTATAAACAGGCAAGGAAAAACAAAAAGGGGCAAAATTGGTAGATGTAAGGAAAGTGGCAATATAGCCGGGTAAGGAACAAAATGTGGCAAGAATGAGGAAAGAAAATAGAAATTTTGCAGGCGTCATGTATAAGAACCAAAGGCTTATCAGCGTGCGCGGGATTCACATATCGGCCCGTAATGTACCCGACGCGCGAGAGAGAGAATGATGGGGATTTGCCGGCAACTGGGGACAAAAGTCCTTTCAACTAGATACCAGCTAAGTAGGCATAGCAACACAGAGTTGGGAAACACGGTTCATGCCTTGGCCGAACTTGGTGTAAGTGCCCCCAGTCAGTGCTCCATCCTCTCCACAATTGGCGGCACGCGGGGGCCGGCCACGACTGGGGGCGAGTTGTTGGAGTTTATTATTACTGCTATGCCACTTACTATGTATGGACAAAGTCAAAGGTAGCCGGACGATGGCGGTGCAGCCAAGCCGGAAAGTGCGTTGGTGGCGTTGCGCCTTGCCGTGCGCTATTACCGGACACGAACGGGCCACCGGAAACAGCCTACCGAAGTGTAGCCTCATCCTCTCCGGGGGAAATTGCGCCTGAGCAGTTGAGCATGAGCATCCATTGAGGAATTCTGGTGAGAGAAACTAAACTTTGCACAAAAGTACCATTCAAAAAGTAATTAATTACTAGCAGCAAAACACAACTCGGTACGGTACCCGCTGCATTCCCCCAGGTTGGCTTAGCCAGTCCCTGGCTCTCCACTTCGGCCCTTGATTGCTCTTAGTTGTCAAATCATGGGACGGCCACCGCGGGCTGCTCGGATACGCGGGAATAATCATTCGCAGGATAGGCTGACAGTTAAGGTGAACACTCCACGTTCCGTGGCTTCTCATCAGGCTCGGCAAACCCGGCCGTGGCCCCCTGCAACCTTGACATTCCTATATGGGTGAACAAGTTGTTATTAGGTAAGATGGTGCTCTTGCTAACATTCACAAAACCTCCCCTTTCAAAATTGAGGCTTGCCGTCATGGGGACTGCTCCAACATGGATCATCAGCAGCCTGCAGGAGGGGACTCGCAACAAGCGTGCGGACAGTCTTTATTACCCCATCAAACCCATCCTTGCCCGAAATCTGGGGGGCGCCCGCAAATTATTAACTTTTTGTGCAATACTTGTCCTTTCTCATCAGACTAGCCACTGAGGGACTCGTCAAAAACTTCTGGCCTTTGCGTCATGAATCTCATTTGCCCCAACCCAGCATCCAGATTTGGCCATACTCCTCCTTCTTTCAGGCATCCATTTGCGGGACTGATGCGTCTCGCGCGAATTGGGGCACATTGATGAGATTCCGTACTTGTATAGGGGACTAATAAGCAAGCAGCGATGCGTCCGCGAAATCGGACAATGCCGAAGAGGAAAAGGGATTCCAACTTGGGCAACAGCCCCCTTGTACAGGGCCGTACCACCAAGTTTTCATGATCTAATCATCAACAGGATGATGATTAGTTCATGAGGAGAAGAGATGTTCTTCAACGAATCTGTCCCTGGACTTTCGAATGAAAAATTGGAACCCACGATGAACCGTGGGGCCGTCGGGCTGTACGCACTCGCTGCCCATCTCCGGCAAGAGCCGGCTGACTATTGCCTACTGCGGAAAGTTGCTACGGTCTACGGCATAACCTAAAATCACAAGTTACCTTGTAACTCAATAATTTGGATATTGTCTTTCGTGTATGCTCTAATACTAGTAAGTCGACACAGTGCCGTACGCTCAGCGCTGTGGACCAAAAAGTTCCCTTCATGAAGGTATCGACGTCGGTCCTCTGCTGACACACCGCGTGTTGAGAAGACTACCCGATGTAGATGACACCACATGCAACGGGATTCTGTACCGCCACGTCAAACTGCCGAAAGACTAGGCATCAATTCAAGTACGAGCATTGGCCAGGATCCCAACTATGGCGTATTGTATAGCTGTACGTGTTACAACCGCGGAGAGACATATCACCGGCGAGACAAACCACAGATTGCGCTTGGCCTGGGCTCTGTATTTCCCCCCTCAGAGCTGAAGAGTACAACTGCTTCATAATTTAGAGGCTTCCTACACAATGACTTCTCTCTACAAGGCGACGAAACTTGAAGAAAGATTGCACAGTGTCCCTTCACCGAGAAAAAGCCGAGTCAACAATTCGCACGCTCTCTAAAAAAACAGAACAATCTTGGACCAAAATATTCGCAGTGTTTCAACCAGTCATCGTATCACTTTGATATCCTTGCCATTCTTCTGCGAGGCCAGGACCACCTCGCAGTCACCGCATCGCCAAGTCGTGGTTTCCCACCAGTTTCGCCGGCCCGGCAGTGGCCAGAAGAAGACGTCCATGAAGCGCTGCATGCCCTTGCCGCGCCCCTCGACGATTGTTTTGACTACCTGCCCGCAATGCGGGCACTGGACAGTCTGACTGACGGGCCGCATGCGCTCGAGAGCGACCGGTGCCCGCGTCGCCGGCTCTTGTGTGGGCGTGGCCTCCATGGTAGTCGCCATTTTGTATCGTTTGAAGAAAATTTGATGCAACTATGATTCCCGGTTAGCATCAAAAATGTGTCTCAAAGACTTGGGACATACGTACTTATTTGCCTGCCACTGAATTTCTTTTATTCTTTTCGTCAAGTGTGAGCTGATGGTGTTGAATGTATCCCGCTCTCCGGGTGGGATGCCCCAATGCTATATATGCACGCTCAGAATGTCAAGACATTGCATTGTCTGTAAGTGTAGATCCTACCATGACGCCGCGGCTGGAACAGAAATCGCCTGTCCTCACGCCGAGTCCAAGGGTCCCTCCGATTTGCAACCATCTTTTCAGCCTCCGAGGCTTACTTTTCGCTTTTTTTCTGGTCCCCCAGGCTCACAAACTTATTATTGGCCAACAGTATTACACTTCTGCATCGGAATGTCCCAAATCGCGACATGGTTTTGCAGATCGCCCGGCCTTGACGCAGTGGCTGCGCTATGCTTACAGCCAAGCCCGGCCCTGTGTCTTGGCCTGTTGCCCTGTTGTGCTTGTTGGACTGTGATCGATCCACAGTATTCGAGAGGTGCTAACCCCAACAGGCTCTTAATGCGCAAGTAGCGATTAAATACTGTAGTTATCTACACACCTAATTAACCAGATTATCGTTGTGACTTTGCCATGTAGCAAAATGCCCACCGACTGGCGTTGGTGGTAGTTGGACTTGTAGCTAACCACTGAGATGGAGGAACGTAGGGCAAATGATCAGGCTTTGATAGACTTTGTTTGAATCGAATTCCATACGTTCCGAGAAGTCTTTCAGATACATTACGAATGTGGTGAATGTTGCTCAATTGTTCATGTGTAAGCGTACAAAATAAATAGCGTTAGTAAACCCCGTGACAGATTACTGGCTATCCGCAGCCATGGCTGCATCAAGATCGTGCATAACCAAATCATAATAGCTGCCCTTTCTCTCCATGAGCTCCCGTGGAGTACCCACCTCCAACACTTCACCCGAGCCCATGACCACCACTTTGTCATAATCAGCAATACTCTTTAGACGGTGAGCAATGGTGACGAAGCAGTGCCCCGCGTCTTCAGCTACAGCCTTGCGCAATGCCGTTTGGATGCCAGTATCCGTCTCCGAGTCCATGCTCGAAGTCGCCTCGTCGAGAAGCGTCAACTTTGATCGTCTCGCCAAGATGCGACACAGCGACAAGATCTGACGCTGTCCGTGAGAAAAGTTTTCGCCCTTTGATGCGACTTGTGTCTTGAGCGTCAGGCCCTCAGAGTCTTCGGTGTCGGGTTCGCCGTCTTGGTAAGAAGTGGAACACTGTGGTTGTGTCGCTCTGACTGCAACGATAGATTGGCAGGCATCGAGAGCTCTTTGCAAATCAGCTTCGGAAGCTGTTCCCGTTGGGTCAAGATTTTCTGCGAGCGTCCCTTGGAACAGCTGCGACTCCTGTGGAATCATGGAAATGGCCTGTCGGAGCTTTTTACACGAAAGTGTTGTGATGTCGACACCATCGTACAAGATCTTGCCAGATATTATGTGCGTGAATCGGAGCATAGATAACACGAGCTATTGATTCCAGCAGCAGTTAGTAACAATCGACGAAATAGCCGAGCGCTGGCTCTTACAGTGCTCTTGCCGCTGCCAGTTCTCCCAACGACCGCCACGCGTTCGCCTGGGTTGAACCGCAGGTTAATATTCTTCAGGATATCTGGCCCTTCAGGTTCGTATCGCACGGTAACATTCCTGAATTCAATTTCACCACAAGAAGGCCAGTTTGGGGAAGCAGCCTCGTCTACTTCGGCTGTACTGTCTGAAACTGGTGTCATTTGGCTCAGCAGCTCTTCCTCTGGCCGTAGCTTGCCATACTCCCGAACACGATGAAACTGGAATGGATCAAATCAACGCCCGAATAGAAGATGTGCATGCTTTACTTACTGTTTGCAGTTCCAGATTCATCCCGTGGACCTGAAACACGAGCATCAAGATAGCCGAGCTAATATCTGTCGCTTGCGATAGGCAAAATCCCACAATTCCAGCAGATAGTCTGCCACTCTCCCGAATGGCAAGAAATGCAGCGCAAACATTGATCAATCCCGCAATGGTATTGATTCGAATTTTGATCCACTGGTCTGCGTCGATTTGTGACATAGAAGCCCGAGCCGACGTTGAGAGAAGCTGGGCTAGATTTTCCGAGAGTTTACTTGGCAAAGTCGAGGTCGCGCGAATGACCGCCATCCCACTCAGTCCCTCAGAGAATCCAGACAGAACAGGCGATCGGCTTGCTGAAACCAAATGCGTGAGATAGATGGCAATCTGGTTGTACGCCACTCCCACAGATATGCCAAGTGCAGCAAGTAAAACAGTCGGGCCGAGGAAAATGGGGAGAATCAAAGTGATTGCACTCAGCATCATGAGTGAGAGAATGATGACATGAAGGGTAAGATACACCGTGACAATGATTTCATTGTCCAGGGTCCCGATGTCGCCAGACATACGATTGATGACCCGGCCCACGGGATGCTCAGTGTACCATGAAAGAGAGACATTGAACAGGGCTTTAACGGCCCGATTATGAAGCGTTATGGCAGCATACCAGGCTCCTCTCATAAAGATCCAATAGCACGTTGAGCTAACTGCATTTTCCGCGAAATTCAGTGCCACAAAGACGGAGAGGTAAAACGCAGCAGTAGCCGAAACATCGGCGTCATCGTGGTCGACCCAAATCTTCAGCCAGTATTTTGTCATCATCGCTGCTGTCGTTTGGAAGAGCATTGCCACCATTGTCACGATGACAGCGGTCGGGCTGCCGAAATACATTATATATTGCAGCACTATTCGGAACCAGCGTTAGCCGGGGGAGGCCCCTTGAATGAGCGATAAACACTTACCAGGAAAGCCGCCGAGTACACCGCTCTGTTCCACTTCTTCGTCAATCACATTCGTCTCTTCCTGTTCTTCCATGTCCGATATTTGCTCAACTTGAGCGACTGGCGCTGCATGGTCTTTGCCCTCATCACCTGCGACTGATAAAGACTGTGGCACGCGAACATGCCCAATATTATGGTGCGTTGACTTAACGGCACCATCTTCGAGAGTAATTGACAGATCTGCCTCGCTAGTAACCCAATTCAGTTGAGTGACGAGTACTACGGTCCTGCCCTTGACGAGCTCGGAGCAGAAAACGCGGTTCCATAGCAAAACCGTGGTCTTGGTGTCCAGCGCCGAGAATATGTCGTCGAGGATTAATAAGGGGGCGAATGAATAGATCGCTCTGGCCAAGGCTATTCTCGAACGCTGCCCTCCAGAAAGGGTAGCGCCATTTGCGCCGACCTGCGTCTTATCTCCATCTGGCAGTTCGTCGATGTCCACATCAAGACAGCATGCCTTCACGACACTGCTATAGCGCTTCGCATCGTATTCGAGTGTGAACAGAATATTCTCACGAATTGTTTGGGCTTGCAGCCAAGAGGTTTGTGACGCAAACGCTGCATCTCTTGGTCGAGAAACGCTGCCGGTTTCCTTGATCGTCTCCCCGAGTAGGGCCAGTAACAGCGTTGTCTTTCCACTTCCGCTTGTTCCAGTGATGGTATTCAATCCATATTCGACGAAATGGATAGTAATATCAGATAAACGAAAATCAGCGGTTCGGCTACGACGAAAGGTTGCACGGTCAATCCGTACAGGACCTTCCGGGTAACGGTCGAGTGGGTCGAGAGCAGCGTAAAAGCTATCGAAACGGCGCAGAGACACTCGAATAATTGGCCATTCCACAATGATGGAGGCGAAGAAGTCAAGGTCACCCCGGACAGTTTCAAACAGCGAGACAGTTGTATAGGCGACAGAAGCAGTCATGGGCAATTTCAGAACGCCGACGTAGAGGCCGAACATCGCCAGCATCGAGCCGATTGGCATCCAAGATTTCACCTGTGCGAATACAATCCAGCACATCGAGATGTACCAGTTCTGTTTCTGCTCCTCTGCACGTACCCCTTTGATCCTGTCCACGATTGAGTTTTCCCATCCGAAATATTTGATCACTTTGATGGATTGTAGGTACTCAGACAACATTGAGACTCGGACGTCTTGAATAGCTTTGACCTTATTCTCGAAACGTAGCGTATAACTCGAGATGTATCTTGCCATTGGTGCGCTGAGTAAAGCAATAAATATGCCGACAAACATGGGCCAGCCGATGACATTGTATAGCCCGACCATTGCCAAGACAGACGAGGGCATTTGCGTGATCGCCATGAGGATAACATTAAAATATGTGACCGATCCCATATCCGTAGAGATAAGATTTTCGAGCATACCCGTCGCTGTGCCCTCTCTGGTCTCGGCAGCTTCGTCCTCTTTCTGCTCGGCATCTTTGAGAAAGTTGCCCGTCAGCTCGCGTGAATTGAGGGCGGCATGAAAGACCTCGCCGGTTAGCATGATCTCGCAATACATGGAAAGTCTTCGAGTGATCGATATGAACTTTTGATAGATAATGCTCTCTAGCAGGCGACCAACAAACATGATGACAAGCCACACATACGGCTGTAATGTAGCTGCCTCTGGGTTCCGGATGTATTCGAGAAGTTGGTACAGGCTGAAGGGCGCGCACAGATCTAGCAGCGGATGAATGACCCCGAGAATCACGGTTATTGGCATCTGCGGTGCTATTAGATCAAAGATGGTTCGGGCTGTGCTTTTCCTGCCTTGTCTCATCGCGGAGAATCCACGGTGCAGAAGCTTCGGGTCGTAATGCCAAGGGGTCTTTGGCATGTCATCCATGCCGACTTTGGATTTGAGACTTTTGTAAACCAGTCTATCGACCTGTGCAAAAGTCACGTTTTCGCTTATCCAGCTGCGAGTTTCTTCATCTGACGGCTCCGCAGCGAGGTCTTCTGGGACATTATCAATACCGGCATGTGGAGGCTGCCATTCACGGGGCGAGCTCCCTAAAACCAACAGTGCAGCTGTCAGAGACGAAATCGACACCAATGTGATGATGTCTGGTCGATGACTCGAATTCAACACAACGAGGGGCAATAAGTCGGCTGTGACGGTTATAATAAGTAAGGAAGTAGAGACGAGAGCTATTTGATGAATTAGCATGGGCCTTGTCTGTCCTCGTACTATGATTCGAAATAATCCTAGTATTAAAATGTATCCAACGGCGATGGCATTGGGCAGCTGTCTTGCATTGTGGCTGCAAGCGATAATAAAAAGCGCTAGGGTTATTCCGCGGGCGAGATGGCCAGACGCTTCAAACAACATGATCCCTCGTGGCTTGTACGGGACAGTCTTGCCTAAACCATCACGGCGTATTTTTATTGTTCGCATGAATGTCCATAACAGTGATGCCGACAAGATCAATACTTGGACAGAGCCATGCCGTGCCAGGGCCACGAGATTTCGTATCCAGACAGGGCCACTAGGTCCAGGTTACTAACAGTTATTACGCGCTACCACGAGCTGCATTCTTACCGACTTGCATCATCATGCATATAACTCAAGAACCCATAGGCGGCGCGCTTATTATAGGTATTTACCGTATCCATGATGAAAATCTTGCTCTTGGCGCTGACGCCGGAAGTAAGCAATCGGAACCTCGGCAGACGCAATGCTTCCGCGAGGGAAAGATAAGCCGGAAGGAGCGTGAGGCAGCGAGTCAGTGGTATTCCGAGCCAATATACTGATTATGGTGACCGCAATTGAGCAAAGAACTCCGTGGTCAGGGCGGGGAATAGGTTGCTAAATAAATAGACGCTATTGAGGCTAGGTGAGCCTGGCGGGAGAGCGTGCGTGGAGTGGCCTGGAGTTGGTTGACAGAAGCACACCGCTCACCTAAATTTGACATGGCAGTTCCCACCAACATCGTTGGAATTTCTCTTACGTGTTGGCCGCCTGCCACAATGCGGGCAAGGCCGGCCAGTTATCACGGCTGTCATTCGTTGGTACCGCTGTAGTAACGCGATGTCGAATGCTGATTGGGTCATGACTGGCCATGTAGCGTGCCAGCCGCCGTCTACAAAGGCGATAATTCAACGGCGATGTGAGAGCTGACGCTGCTCTGCGCCCGGCCTTATTATTGCTGTGCGCACAACCACTTAACATGAGTAGGCACAAAGGATCAAAAACGTTTGTGCTCGCCCTGCTTTCCGAGTAGCTCGAGTCGAACATGAGGAATTGCCTTTGCCGGCATCTATGTCTCCTTGGGACTTTGCTTTGGAATCTAGTTGTTGACACAATTGTCAGTTCCACGTTGCTTGCCGTTGTGATGAGATACCATCTTCGTCGAGCACTGGCTCCTTCGGCGCCCATATCGGAAAGAAAATGGTGGTAGATACCCTTCCACTCACTTCCAGCTTGTCGTCAAATCTGCTCTCGAAGATGCATCGAAAATAGCCTGGTAGTGCTCCGTCTGCCTTCCGGAGAGCGTTCCCTTTGTGTACTCCCAATAGGGGGGAGAATCCAGCAAATTGCCCGTCGACAATTGCTGAGAGCCTCCCAGTATCCATAAGAATTTTCGAAGGAGATGGGTCCGCGTGTGTAAAGACCATGTAACATCCCTGGAGCGTGTAATTGAAAATGGCTGTGCGAGATTTTCTGCGCATCCACGGGCAATCTGTTGGTGAAATCCTGGCTGTGTCTGGTCAGGCCCACATCCACTGAAAGAAGCATGGTGATACTGCAGGTAGCCGCCGGAGGCGCTTGCAACCAGAAACTCGGAAATTTCATCTAGGCATGTTTCGGTGGGAAATCGATGGCGGAAGCAACGGCGTCGGCGAGTCGGTGTTATTCTGGGTACGACATTGTGTGGACCACTTCGTTAAGTCTTGGGACCGGCACGCTTGTCATACTGAGCCAGGGCTTGCCACCGGCGGCAAGAGGAATGTTGTCCACGAAGAGCGGTGAAGGAACTGGCGGGGCATGGAATTCTAAAATCCTCAGCGCGGCAAGCTCACCATGACTGTTGCCGCAGAACTTGGCGTACAGGCTCAGTGGTAGGCGGTATACTATTTCGGAAATGTTGCTCTGCTGCCCGCGCTAGATGAGCTGTCTGCAGACCCAGTGACGGATAACGGCAGGGGCAAGGCGCCACGCTTTTCTAAACCCGAGTTGCCAGGCGCGGCTCCAATAGACTTCGCATTTCCATGAGTAAGGGGAGGATAAATGTGTCGAGTTGAAGACGCACGATGCGAAACGGCTGGCGGCCAATGCTTGGCCACTTCCCGCTTGACATCGTTGACCTCTGCTGCTTTGCAAAACAGCCGTCAATTCTGAGTAGAACTAGACTTGGGGATTGTAAGTGATTCGAGTCATCCGTACGTAGACAGCAGCTGAAGGGAGGAACACTATCGCTTATTCCCTCGCTGTAGGTATCATCGTCAGGGGCGAAACCAAAACCCGCGTACTGCGCGGGTCAGCCTGTATCATTGTTACTGTAGGCCCGCTGTACAAACCTGTTGGTCCTACGTCTGGCAGCCCGTATGTACTTGAGCGGCCTCGGAACCCTGTTTCAGACCTTGTACCATTCATCTTTCGCGTTTCCAGAAAGCTTCCCTAACTGTCGGGCTAAGCAACACGATGTTCTGAAGCCGGCGGTTCGGTGATTTATCGCCAAGGACATGTCCAAGAGCAACTCAAGACCGATGTTTGTACGTCATTATTCAGCCACAGTCGCTGCAGCGATGGCGGCCAGATGTAAAATGGCTGCGCTTCTGTGCCCGGTGGAGTGGCGCCAGTCAAGCAACACTCGCCGTTGTCACGTAATAACAACTCGTGAGGAATTCATCACCTACAAAGGTTCAAGTCGATACTATAAGCATGAATCAGTCTCGAAAAATAAATAGAACGGTCGAGACGTACGAGGTTCTGAATTTCGATACCAGTCGTGCTTTAGCCCGCGCAAAGCCTCCTCCAAGGGCACCCCATACTTGTCGGCGCGACGCAGAATCTCGCGGGTGGCAACATGTACATCGCAGGAGACCTCGATCAATGTTTGAGTGAGTATGTTCTCCTCCACCGGAGATAACTTGGAGGACGCGATCAGGTCATTTGCTGTGTCTACCTGCAGGTCCATTCATTGTGTCTGTCTTTGGCTGTGCAGCTTGCAAACGATCAGGGACAGGGACAGGCCACCGCTAGGCAGAGACCCGGCCAAGGGACACGTGATAACGACATTATCTACGGACTACATGCGTAGAGTTCCTGCTGTTGATCAAGGTGAGACGTATCAATTCTATCAAATGAAAAAATAACAAGGCCATGCAATGCTTGGAGACATATCTCCGGCGCAAATTAATAGATGGTGGTGGGTAAGGATAGCATGCGCCAGCAAGCAGGTTCGGTCACAGCTAAAAATTACAGGTAGCAGGGATGCTCCCAACATGGACAACGGCGCATTTTCATCAGCTGTTCTCCTTTCAGCATTTATGTGGCCATGCATGACGAACATCATTAGGGGGCGCAGCAGGCGCTGATGATTTCCTTGCGCAGTTCTGATATTTTGGCCGTTTTCTCCTGCAGCAGGAACTGGTTGGCCGCGGCCAGCGACATCGCCTCCTCGGCCAAGTCGTGGATCGAGTATCCGGGCAGCACACTAATGTACCCTTCATTGTCGAGCTCGTAGAGGACCTGGAGCAGCCACGTGCGGCAGTCGAGGCGGCCGAACCGCGCCGTATCCGCGAGCTCGACCGCCGGCTTGCTGTCGAAGCCGATGCGCCGACGCAGCGCCTCGTGCATCTCGGGCGCCATGTCGGCGATTTTAACGGCGGCGACGGCCGCTGTCGAATAAGCCATGTCGCAGGACTCGTCGCAACGGTACTCCCAGCTCACGCAGCCCAGGTTGTTGATGTGAAAGACCCAGCCGAGCGCGGAGCCGATGTGCAGGTACAGCACCCAGTGGCAGCCTATATTGGCATCCTGCGTGCTAAGGATGATGTAGAGCCCGTTGACGTCGAGATGGAGCTGAACGTCGCCGGGGTCGGCAGCAGTCAGCTCGTGCGGCTGATCGTGTGAGAGGGACTCGGCCTCCGCCGCGGACATGTTGGTGCGCGTGGCGACGGTGCAAAAACGATGTGCTGTTTTGCTTCCCGGGCAGCGCGGACAGGATATGTGCACGATGTGGTAGTGGCGGCGACGTATAATCAGATACAAATCGTGACATCTCTTGGCTTACCAGGAGCAAGATCTATATTTCTACGCCAACGAGCGCGTCATGAGCCCCTCATTGAGTGACCACTTGCTACAATACTAGCACTGCATCTCAGGTGGCACAAGACGGATCAGATTGGAGCCTTGTGGACATGGTGAGCTTAAGGCTATGTTGCCCAACATGACAACTCAGGCCAAAAAAGTCTTTTGCCTTGTTGGTGGCTACTAGATGATCGCGGAAATACACGCTGTATAACAGCATATGATTGCGTCGAGATTGGGGGGCCAGGTACGATTTGCAAAACGAGGGCCAGACTGATTAACGCACATCAGTGGCCATCGCGATCTACTGTGGAAAAAGCCAAGTATCGGGCGCGGCTTTGCGAGACAAGCATCAGTCTTTCCTGTTGGGCACCAACGGGCGCCGTTCATCCCCCACCGAGCAGCCCAGCACTAATGCGTGCGTCCTTCTACACTGTCCGATGACGGCCTTTTCTCAGTAGAGTCCGCACCGAAACGCGTATTTCTCTGAATTCAGCAAGCAAAAAAGACGGCCGGAGCGGCTCTGTCGCGGCGTTACATATGCAGCCGACGCTTGGCGCTGCGGTCATCCTCCGTCAGGCGACGAGATGGCTTGATGTGTACGGCGTAGGGATACAATCAATATTTCGTATCACGGTGAGCAGCTAGCTGAGTCGGCGCACAATCATCCAATGTAACGGCTGTGCGCCCGGGGGCATGAAGTTATGGGTGTGGGAGCTGGACGGAGTGGCAGTTGTGGCGGCGGCCGGTGATGTCAGTCTGCCCCAGTGGCATCAGGCTGCGGTCCAACTCATGTCCAACTCGGGCCACAGCCGGTCCCACGGCCCGTTGTGTGTCGTTCACCAGCAAATCTATTGTAGCCTTTGTCCACCTGTGGCGGGTATTGATCACTGCATTTGCTTTGCATATTCTCCATGGTTGCATCCGAGAACTGTAATCGTATTTTTGCTTGCAATGCTACCACCATGGATTCTCAAGCACCACACCAATCCCGCCACATACACAAGCAGCTCAGTTATCAACCCGGTCAAATTGGATAACCACCTCAGAGATACGGGCTGTTTCCTCTGCAAAGGTAATCTCGAGTGCGCTCGGTTTACCATCCGCTTCCATATAAAACCTAGCAAGAAAGTAATCTCGGCCTAATGCCGCTCCACGTACAGGTATCTGGTAGGCAACCCAAAAGTCACCCGTCACATGGCGTAAAACGAAACGTGTGGGAGTTATAAGATCGTCTCGTAGGGCGACAAGTTGCTGCTGTGGTTGTTTGTCGCGAGTTTCGCCGGGCACCAAATACGAGTTTTCTACGGAAAAGGCATATGTTCCGTAGCCAGGGTGGCTGTAATTGCCCGCAAAGCGATTGATATCGACCGCTTGAGACGAAGCATCAGTGGTGCGATTTGGGTAAAGAATATCGGTCGCGTTATCAAAGTCCGGCCTGGCCTGCGCCCAATTCTGCTTTGTTCTAGAATGTAGTTAGTATTGGATTCATTTGAGGCGCCCGTGGCATTTGATATAGTTTCGAACAGGTGTTTGTGGAACGCGATGAGAAACGGAGTCAATCAAACTTACTCGTCCAGGTATTGCCGGCGGCCGTGGACTGGGAGCCCAAGTTTTTCTTCAATAAGTCTCTGGGTGATGACTTCCTCTATCAAGTTGCCGCCGTCGACGGCATTGGCAAACATGATGACTGCGAATTTGGTATCAGGCATCCAGACAACGTTGGCTCCAAAATTCTGCGTCCCACCGTCGTGCTTGAAAATGACTTCACCGTAGATTGTGGCGCGCTCCCAGGCGAGTCCGTAGGTGGTGAGCTGCCAGCCGGTCGCTTCTGATGGACCAATAAGAATACGTGGAGTCCTGATTTGCGTGTGTGCTTCGGCCGATAATGGGGCTGTTGAGTTCATCAGACACATTATCCACTTGCTGTAGTCGACGACGTTGGAGATGAGGGCTCCGGCGGCGCTGGAAGATTGGACGGGGTCCGTTTCCTGTCCGACGTATTGCTGCGCATACTCGTCCCAGAAATAGCCGGTTGCAATCTGCTGGCCGCTCTTCCTCGCGTCTCCGTAGGATAAGAAAGTCGAATGCATGCCTAAAGGCTGCCAGAGGGTTTTCTTTAACACGTCGCCTATCCACGAGCCAGTCACAGTCTCGACGATGTGGGCGAGGGCGATGAACATGAGGTCGCAGTATTGAAACACGATTCGCGGCTCGGCTGTCATTGGCAGGTTTCGTAGATTTCTGACCGTCGCCTTGTTTGTTTTCCACTCTTTACCAGTATCGCCTGGCTCACCGGTGCCAACCCAGCTTATCGTGTGTCGTGCCATGCCGGTTCGGTGGCTGACGGCATCTTCCATGGTGACGTGTGTCGTCGCCCACTCATCCTCTAGAACAAAATCATCTCTGATATTGGATGACATGGGTGTATCCCAGCCTTGAGGGAAGACATCATCGTAATCGCCCGAAGCGATCATTTGCGCGATAGTAGCAGCCAGGTGCGCCTTTGTAGTTGATCCGCCGAGGAACAGGGTCTCGGGCTTGACGGGTGTGTCTGGCAGGACAGCGAATCCATATCCCTTAAGTTTATTTTTTTAGATGAAACTCCGATTAGTCAAGAAGTGCAACCTACCTCTGTATACACCTGGTCGTCGTCAATGACTGCCACGGACATGCCTGGCACCTTCCACTCGTCCATGAGGTCCTTTACATATTGATTGAATTCTTCGGTGAAAGGCTTGCCACGTGGAGGTAATTTGGTGGTTTCATTCAGGCGCAATCTCCTCGGCTCGGCGGCAAATGAGATGGCTGCCAGCGCGGAGAGCATGAGCGCTTTGCCCGAGCTGATGTACACCATATCGCACGTTTTCTTTATGTACAATCTCTGAAGGTTTTATTTCGATAGAGCCTGATACTCTCAAGAAAACGCACATCTTCTCAAGAATATTCGGCGGCGGCGGCGGCGGCGGCGACATTTATTATGAGTACAGATGGCGAGATCATATAGTGGCTGCACTCTAAGCAACCTCCATGCGAGCCAGTGGGAGCATTATGTCTCAGTGTAGCCTGGCTCTACTTCGGGTTCTTTTGAAGCTCATGACATCCATTGCTTGAGAGATTTCTGATGACTGCAGCTGACGAAGTGCCGCCTGCCTGTACTGTAAGCAGGCTGAATGCGAGGCGTGCATATCATGTATCACGGCATCATTTTGGGTCATTCCGACGTTGCAATATTGGCGGAAAGGGGCCACTTGAACGAATTTCATACGAACAAAGATACAATTTTAAACGGCTGAATTCTTGGCACTATCCGCGGCATGTTTCCCGAAGCCACCTTAGAATAAGAATACGAATAGTAACTCGCAAGCCTTGAGCGAGGGAAATGCCACCCTCTCCCACCGGCCCGTTGACCGAAACAATTGCCAGGACTGGAAATATGCAATTCCGCTAATTCCTCTCTGCCCTGGTTTGATCGCTGAATTAGAGTTATCATGGTGGCAGCCCCCGTCACTAACATGATGATGTCCCCCAGCGCTAACTGGACCAATGACAGCGACCCATTCTCGACTCATTTCTACCATTCCCAAACACGAAGCTGTTTCGTTCTCGACATGTACAAGATATCAAATCTCTGCGTTGAGACTATGCCTGCCAATCAATCTGCGCTGAAGCTCCGCCCCTCAGCCGATTCACAAGGCTGTGGGCGGCCTCAGTACTTCGCACTGTCAACATCGCAATCCGGACGTTTCTGCCCATTCCTGGCACTCCATGCGGGAGCCAGGACTAGCTGTACGACCTCATCGTCATTCATTGGTCTACGAGCACCTCTTTGGTGTTTTACATCCATGCTCTAGGTTCCGGGCAGAACAGAGCCGATACTGGCCAGTACGCTGTTTCATCCTCCCGCCACTGTGCTCCTGCCCAGCCACTGTCCTTTGGCACGCGAGCTGGCCTCGGCCGACTGTTCCTACTTAACTGCCGACCCCCTTCAAAGTCCAGAAAAAAAAAAGAATCGGTTTCTTTCATCAAAATTTCTCATCGTCTGGCATGCTGCAATCGCACTGCCCATCATCCGCAGGATCAACGCCATTACGTAGGCAGCAACTGCAGGTGCAAGCGCCCAAACAAGCACCCCCTCTCCCACAAGGCGGCTACAGAACTGCCCTTCTTCAGGACAGGTAAGCAGAACCAGAGCCATAGGCATCGACTTATAAATGTATGCCTCAGAGCTCACCAGAGGTTGAAACAGAGGACTTTTCACGACGGCAAAAGTTCACCCGGGACGCCCATACCTGGTGTGAGCATTAACGCTTCTGTAACCGCCAACGTTTCGAGTCGACGCCCACGAACTATAGCTGCTTTACCACCGAATAACAGCGTAGGACGTTAATTACAGATTGTCGTGTGATTGACGTCAACGGTTTTTTGCGACGGACGGGTGTCTGCACACGACTGTCATCTCTGTGCGACTTGCAAACACTTGATCACGGCACGCTCGGTGCAAGACATAATGAGACGGACAGACGCCTCGCTCGCCGCCATGGCATTTCTGGCTGCCAGTGTGCAGGGTACGGCTCTCACACTATCAACTGTCGAAATGATAACTTCATACGCAGTGCCGCTTAGCTGCATCTTTGCCTACAACACACCCATCAGCGGATGCGAGACTTCCGATTTTACCAGTGGCCGATGCTCGCAGGGCTGCCAGCGAGGGCTTCTGCGAGTGCAGACGAATATTCAAGCATCGTGTACTACGGTGGATCCTCAGCCGAATTCGCTGATATGGGAAGCGCAGAAGGGAAATTTGGTGAATGCGCTCTGCAACCGCGAGCCGCCACAGCAAGGTACAACTCGTACGCAGTCTCCGACGCCATCGACGACTTCGGCACTCTCCATCACTGTAACCGTTTCCGCCTCTTCTACCACTTCTTCGAAAACGCCGTCACTCACTCAAACGATGTCCTCAGCCACAACGACGACCGCACCGACGACCACACCGACGACTACACTGACGACTACGTCGACAACACTGCTCACAGTCAGCTCAACGTCGACCGAGCCCAGCTCTACTGACAATACGGACTTGTCGACGGAGACTGGGTCAATTTCTACAACTTCCACCGCTCCGCAGGAAACTACGACGGGGACTGAGAGCCCTACATCAAGCAGCAGTAGTACTACTGCGACAAAGACGGCGAAGCCAACACGGGATCCAGAACTTGGTGCAGGAGATCCATTTGCGAACTTTCCTAATTCTTCAGGGAGACTGGGTCTGTGTGTCTGCAATATGCTGTTGACTTTTGTTGTGACTGGTCTCATGTGACTTTGTGCTTTCAGTTTACGCAACTCTTGGGCGGCGTTTGGGCGGCGTTTGGATGGCGTTTGGACACGAATTAACACTTTCAGCATGGGAACAAACAGGATACAGCCAGTGATATTTATTTTGGCATCATTTGAGTGGTGGATACCACTTTGAGACTTTAATACCATGTTATGATGTATTGAAATATTTCTTTTTTATGTTTCGCGGTCCTCGGGGAAGCGTCTGTTTTCTATCAACGAAAGTCTACTTCGTTGCATTGTTCCTCGGTAGTCAGAGTTGTCATTCTCGCAGGCTATGTAGTCAAGTGCCTGCATGAGACCGCCTAGGTCCCATTCATGGAACACGTATTGGGTCGTACATAGAATGAATTTGGGTTGTAGCTCTCTCTAGTCGAATTTCTGGTCGAAGTGGTATGTTTCGTTAAGATCTGAATATTTGTAACGGTTCCTGTGCCGTCACGCCAACTGGCAAAAGACTAGGTTTAATCTCAGTGCGAACATTAACCAGGATTCCAACTAAGGCTTACATAGCTGTACCGTTACAATATTTCCTGGAGGTACAGGGTACATTGATGCATGGAGGCAATGACTCGGCCCCACTAGACCGGCCGGATGCCGAGGGGCCACGGAGGAAGTCCGTAGGCTCCGGAGGTCCAGTCAATGATTTGTCCCGAAGTTTGAAGTTTGGGGGTTGGGATTGTGGCTCTGGATGTGGAGACATAGATTCGGACGCCATGCTGCTGGCGAGATGAGCTAGTAGGTGAGTAGATAATGTGTCGTGCCGTCCTTGGCGAATGCCAAGGCCGCGGGAGAATCACAATTCAATTTTTCTCTTAGATGCGCCGGTTCAGTCGCCGTCATAGAGTGGGTATAAGCTACTGGGAAAGATTGATTACTCGGGGAAGAATCCAGATCGGCGAAAGTTGACCAGACCTCTGGGACGAACCGGCTGGGGAAGGGGGGACTGTTTGAGCGTTGAGGCTTGGATGTGCCAGTTGCGCCAGTCAAACGTGTTGACGTGGCATAATGATGGGGACGGCAGAGATACAGCTGTAGAGAGGCCAGGAAAACCAAGGAAAATTGCCGAAAAAGAATGGTGGCCACATGATTCGAGGCGCCGATCAGTCGTGGATGCTGCCAAGAGACTCGCAAATGGCTGGGCTGGAGGAAAGTCTTGGCTACGGGAATGGCCGGAAGGCGTTGCTGGCGATTGGTGAATTGCTGGATGCCGAGAGAAAAAAACGGACGCAGCCAAGAGGACGGTAAGATGGCAGGTAAGATGCAGAGATTTGGATGTTTAAAGACAACGTCCGACTGACCAGATGAAGATTCAGGTCTTTTGGCTGACTCGTGGATGGTAGAGGTGGCTGTCGCGCCCCACCAACAAGGGTGCACGATAAGCATAAACAAGTTTGGCGGCGGATTGGTATTTAGCTCGACGCCATGAAAAGAATATTTTTCTTTTCTTCGGAGTCGACAGTTGAGCAGAGAAAGCAGTTGGCAGAATCGAGGGGCGCATATACAATGTGCGGGGGGAAATGTGGAAGCATCTTTTTTCAGTCGTGCAATGTCTTGGCTGGTTGGGTTGATGTTCGTGACGTGGGGTGGATGAGGCTGAAGTGCTGAGCATGTGGGTGGTGAGACAACGGCACCGAGACAACAAACGGCTGAATGGGCGGGCTGAATGGGCGGGCTGAATGGGCGAGGGCGCAATTATTGAGGTCCGAGACGGTCGAGTGTAGCGGGCAATACTAATAAGATTGCTCAATGCTGGCAAAAAGTATTATTGCAATGATGAGCTTGGACAGTGCTGAGAAACAGGGGCGGCGGATACCTTATTAGTAGAGGCAAGCCGTCGAGACCCAGGTTGACAATACGGGGGATGATGTACTTACTACTTAGTAATAACGGTAATAACGGGTGATCTCTCATGGAAGATGAGGCCCCGCAGGCAGAGGGCACCTAGGTAGATGGCGTGCAGATGAGACAGGCATTATCTTTAGGAAGTTCTGAGCAACAGTGTATCAGAATTGTATGGGGGTTTTGGTAGTGATTTAGTCTCAGAAACCTCAACCTATCTACGGATTATAACGCCTCAATTACCGGCAGCAATGCATTAAATATGTACGTTGGCGATGATGTGCTCCGCGATACTTTGGACCCACTGTAGCACCGCTGTGACCAAAGGTCCCCCCAGGTCAGATTGCAGGGAACGCTGATGCAACAAAGTCTTTTTTTTTCCAGGCACACCGAAGCCGGTCCACTTATTTATTTAGAGGGAAAAAAAAAAGAACATGAAAACAACCATTGCATCTTTTGGCGACTCTTCTTTCCCGGCTGGCGTCTGGCCTGACCTTCTGGCATTACCAATCACTTCTTCTTGCATTTCCTTCTTCATTGCATGATTTCTTCATTCCTATAATCTACAGCCCTCCCCTCTGTCTGCCATCCCGTCCGCCGCCGGCGTCGCCTCTCCGGTCCTCGGCGCGTCATCCTCGGGCCTCTTGCCTCGCGCCATCATCACACGCCCCCCCCAAACCTCGATTTACGCCACCAGGACCTATCTCCCCCACTCCACTGGTCAGCATTGTTGGCTTGGCTCTTCCAATCTGCACATCTTTTTCTCTGTGGCTCTTCTGGCTTGGATTGCGCTCCAACTTTTCTTTTTCATCGTCATATTTCTCCTTGGTACACACACCAACATACTTGCATCTACGCTCCTCGACTCGGCCTCTCGTCGCATGTCTCCCGCTCGCTGCTCCGTTGGCTCTCGTTCCGTTGACTGGGGTGCTCTGGCCAAGCCCTTTTGCTCAACTACCTGAGCATCACGACCATTCATTTCGCTGCCATCCATATTTACTACCGATCAGCACATATCCATCGCTCATATACGCCTTTTCGTCTTCATCGACCTCCGTTTGCCATCCGCCCATCGACGCCATTGCCCCGACTTGGCTGCCGACGCCGCTCATCCTCCGCCATGGCTTGGTCACATCTCGACATCACCAAGCCGCACTTGGTCTACATCATCCTAGGCGGCTTTACCTCCCTCTTCATGCTCTGCTCCTCCTTCATCAAGGAGCGCATGTACATTGGCGAGGCCACCGTTGCCACCCTTTGCGGCGTCATCTTCGGCCCCCATGCCGCCAACCTCATCAACCCCAACGAATGGGGCTCCGTCGACATCGTCACCGTCGAGTTCTCCCGCATTGTCCTCGTTGTCCAGTGCTTCGCCGTTGGTGTCGAGCTGCCAAAGTACTACATGGAGCGACACTGGAAGTCCGTCATCTTTCTCCTCCTCCCCGTCATGACCTTTGGCTGGCTCATCACCTCCCTCGTCATTTGGTGGATGATCCCCGCCCTGTCTTGGCTCGAGTCCCTCGTCGTCGCCGCCTGCGTTACAGCCACCGACCCCGTTCTCGCTTCCTCCGTTGTCGGCAAGGGAAAATTCGCTAAGCGCGTCCCCAAGCATCTCAGGGATCTTCTCTCCGCTGAGTCTGGCTGCAACGACGGCATGGCCTTCCCCTTCATATATCTCTCCCTCTACCTCATTCAGTACCACCGCGACGCCGGCGAAGTCAGCTTTCACTTCATCGTCTACGTCATCCTCTACGAATGCATCTTCGGTGCCGTTTACGGCTTCATGATTGGCTACATTGCCCGCCATGGCATTCGCTTCGCCGAAAAGCACGACCTAATCGACCGAGAGAGTTTTCTCGTCTTTTACTTTGTCGTCGCCCTCTTTTGCGCTGGCTCCGGTAGCATTCTCGGCGTCGACGACCTGCTCGTCGGCTTTGCTGCTGGCGTTGGCTTCTCCAACGACGGCTGGTTTGGCGAAAAGACCGAAGAGTCTCACGTTTCTAACGTTATCGATTTGCTCATCAACTTGGCCTATTTTGTCTACTTTGGCACCATTATTCCCTGGGAGCAATACAATTCCGGTTACTTCGGCGTTACCGCTTGGCGTCTCGTCGTTATTGCTGTCTTTGTTCTCCTCTTCCGCCGCATCCCCATCATGTTGGCCCTCAAACCTCTTATACCCGATGTTCGAAATTGGCGAGAAGCCTTGTTCGCCGGTCATTTCGGCCCAATTGGCGTTGGCGCCATCTTTGTCGCTATTCTCGCCCGTGCCGAGCTTGAGCACGGAGAGCCCGTCCCACTGTCCCAAATGCCAGAACCAGGGTCGGCAAATTACTCGTTAATCTACCTCGTCTGGCCTATTGTGACATTCCTCGTCATTTCATCCATCCTCATTCACGGCTCTTCCATCGCCGTCTTTACTCTCGGCAAGCGAATCAACACACTATCCCTCACCATGTCCTATACTGCCGCCCCCGAAGACGGTCCTTCTTGGATGAACCGACTGCCGCGAATCTCGTCGCAATCCCGCTCACAGGCCAAGACCATGTCCGAGGCCTCGTTCGACCTCAAGGACCCTCAGTATCCTGCTGGCACGTTAGCGCCTCCTGGTGGCCTCTTGCGCCGCCAGAAGGAAGAGGACCAAAGCCGACCCGGCAGCCGCCCTTCCTCCCTCGTCTCCCGCAAGCGCAAGCACAAGAAGTGGGACGATGGCATTGGTCCTGGTGGTCCCGTCTCCCAGTCGGCCATTTTCCCTAATCGACAGTCCATCTCCCCCGCTGATGAGCAGGCCAGCACCAGCCAGCCCGCTACCGACTCGACTCTCACTGACAACGGCAAAGAGAAGCCAGAGAAACTTCACGACGAGCGCGACCACCATGCCGACGACGAGAGCCCCGCTTCGCCTCAGCGCGTCAATGTTTACGAGGAAGGTCACCATCTCGTCTTCGAAGACCAGGACGGCGAGGTCATTGACGCGGTCGACATGGATGCCGTTCCGACCCCCGACAAAGACTCTTCTCAGGAGCCAGGCACCGCTCCTCAGCCAGCAGAAGACGGATCTTGGTCTTTGGGTGGGCTTCGTCGTCGGTTCAACGATATGTACAGCCAAGAGGTTGAGAAGCGCAAAGACAAATCTAAGCAGTCTCGCAACCACGAGCCTGCTCGCGCTTACCAGTTTGGTAATCAGGTGCGTACCTTGTATCTCTTAGTCTCTTTGCAGTTACAAGCTAACCATGGTAGATTATTGTTGAGGACGAAGACGGCGAAGTCGTCAAGACGTTCCAGCTCCCGTCTTCTAAAACCAGCCAAGATTCTAGTGCTGTCCTAGGCTCAAGCCTCAAGTATCTTGGCCTTGGCGCTCTATCACGACAGAATGAAAAGAACCCACAGGCAGCTGCCGAAGAGGGCAGAGCCGACCGGGACGAAACCCCTCGATCTAGGTGGACCGCCGTCCGTCGCATGACTGGCACCGCGCCCGAGCAAAAGCCTGACAACGATGATGATCACAACATTCGCTTCACTATTGGCGGCGTCGGCCGACGCATGAACAAGGAAGACTTTATCAAGGAAGTGCAAAAGCTCGACGCCAATACGCGCAAAGAGGTTGCCGAGCAATCCACCGCTACACGGCCCATCAAGGAGGTAGCCAAGCGCAATCCCAATTTTGTGCAGCCCACCAGTGGCCCTAGTGTGCCGCGCATCGTCGAAACGCGCGCCGGTAGCAGCGATCGCGCGAAGCGCTCCGATGAATCGAGAGCCCGCGGCCGTCCAGCCGGAAAGGAGTCGCGACCCACACCACCACAGCTCTCACCGCCGGGGCCCTCGACGTCGCAACCCTCGGACGAGCAACACGAAACGCCTGTCGAGAGACGCCGGCGCCTCGCCCTCCGCGGTCAGCAAAACAAGCGCAGCGATAACCCCGCGGCGCAGGGCGACGCAGGCGAGACACCGGCGGAGCGCCGCCGTCGCGAGGCTGCTCTGGGCATGGGCGAGAGTGAAGGTGACAGCGACTCGGAAGACGAGGGCGACGAGCGCGTGCCGCCTGCGCGCCGCGGTATTCGCTTTGCCGAGCCCAGCAGACGTTGATATTGATGAGGCGAACTCATACGCAATCTGGCTGATTTTCCAGCGCAATGTTATTACATTTCTTTTTACAGCGGCATACATATACGGCATATATTGCGTTTGGATAGATTTATGTTTACTGGTTGATGGTTTTGAATCACGATTCATGGATTACACGGCATTGACATGGCATTAGCCCTCGATTACACGTGCTTGTTACGTGTATAACTATTTGCAGCATATAGTAATGATATCAATCTGTTATCGCTTTTTAAAAAGAAAGTATTGTCTATGCTGATGCACCTTCTTGAAGATGGTCGTGAATCTTGGCAGGGATCAGCCTCAGCCGCACGTGCACCGCCGCACTAGGCTCGCGCGTCACCTTCATCTTCATCCCCTTCCCTTTTCTTCTTCCTTCTTGTTTTGGACTGTGTCACTTTGTGGACGCAGCAATCTACACAGTCAATTCATCCCGATGCCGTAGCGAGCGAAGCGAGCCCTCTCCCCAAAAAGCCAACCGTCGCGGGACAGTTTCGCAAGACGAACGCATTCGACTAAAAGAGCGAGCGGGGCGGGAAGATGGACCAACATGGTGACCAGGATTCACCACTGTCTATTGCATCAAACATTGCCGGCCTGCTGACGTTTGTCTTTGCCGTTGCGGCAACGGCCTACGCGCGTGTTCGGTACCTGCAAAGTAGCAGCACCGAGTATCTCCGCGTCAAAACCAGCCTGTCCTGGTACAAGACGGAGTCGACATGGCTGTCGGATCTCATCAGCACACAAGAGTCGTTGTCCCGCGCGAGCGAAGACCGAGGCACGAAGCGAGGCAGCATTGACGAGAAGAGCAGCGCCGAGTGGCTGCGACGGCGACGCACAGGACTTGATCGCGCACCGCCGCCGGCACAGCGGGCGGAGCAGCACATGTTTGCGTTTGTCATGGACGACTTATTGAATCTTGAGCAGCGCCTGCTGGACATGGTTAACGACGTGGAGTCGCGGGCGGACCCCTCCCCCAGCGCGGTTGGCGTCTCGTGGTCACTGATTCCGGGGACGTGGCACGGTGGACGGCCGTCGGTGGCGGTGGCGTGGCTGGGAGTGAGGACAAAGGCGTTGGAGCTGGCTCGGCAGCGAGATGCGCTGACGGCGCGTGTGCAGTTTCTGCAGCTGAGTATGATTGCGTCCAGGCTGCAGGCGCTTGAGGGACGGATGTCTGCGCGGGAGGAGGCGGAGACCGAGTCGATGGAGGCCGCGATCGCTTCGCAGGAGGCTGCGATTCGCACGCTCGAGCCACAGCCTACATCGGCTGCAGAGACACCAGGATACAGCCCGACTTCAGAAAGTAGCGGAAGGCAGAATTATTTTATGTTGTACCCCCCTAGGTAGATGTACCCCAACGCCACGAGCAAACTTAGTGTCGCCCAAAGCAGCTCCAACTCCATGACTGCCCAGATCCAGAGACAGCCGAGCGGCGGAGCGCGCTGTTGCGTGGCCAGATAGCCTTTCATATTGGTCACGTAGATGAGGTAGCACCCGGAGACGACACTGATAGCGAAGAAGATGGCCTGTCGAAGGGGTGCCTGGTAGCGTGCTGCAAGACCGGGGAGGAGGGTCTGGTCGGACTTGCGGGGATGCAGCGCGTAGAAGAGCATCAGAAATACTAGTACAATGTCAGTGTTGCAGAAACACCCGCAGCACGCCAAAACGTACCGGCCCAGGCACTCATTGTGCGGTGGCAGACCTGCCGCCAGGCAATTGCGGTTCCGTACTGGTGCTGCACGAGCACGTCAAATGTAAAGTGCAGCATGGCGAGGGAGGTGGTCCAGAGCATGGCCTCGAGGATGCGCTCCGCGCCGGGGGACAGTGTCGGGACCTCGTTTTCGGTGTCATCGTCGTCATCGTCGTCATCGGAGCTCGAAACGTCGTCGTGGTTGCCAAGGCGAATCTTCTTCACGGCCACATTTGATTTTAGCTCGCGCGCGGCCGCTTGCTGAAACAGCTGGCGCTGCTCGGCAATCTTGTAAAGCGTCTGATCGTTGATGCTGGGTGCCTTGGAGCGGTCGGGGTGAGCGAGGGGCGGCGGCTGGGTTGTTGTTGTCGTTGTCGTCGCGCTGGGCGTGCGCTGTTTACGAGTGCGAGCCATGGCTTTTCAAGTCTGCGGTGCGTTCCGCGATTGGATGTTGCCTGGGTTCCTGAGCAACTTTGAATGGACTCGGGTGTTGATGGGCCTTGATAAAGCGGCAGATCGGCAGACGAAGAAAAAGGGTCGTCTGTGGCTGTGTCGTGTGGCGCTTATATGACAGCTGTGGCTAAAGCTGCCGAGCTGTCAACACTAAAGACATGGAGTGATGGTGAGCATGCTACCTGGCTACTAGGTACTGTTGAGAATATAATTGTTGCATCGGATGCATCTGTCCTCTCTTCCTCCTCTGGTCGGGCCGAAGCTTGCTCGGCCGGAGCCGGCTTGCCCTCGGTCATCAAATGTCGAGACAATGTGTTGAAGTCGATAATTATATTCATACATAGAATGAAGCGAAATAAGTAGCGTTGATTGTCAACTTAGTATCGATGTAGCATTAACTATAGTCTGAGCGGGTGCTCCCTCGGCAGCCCTTACCAGTCATCATCGTGGCTGTGGCTTATGTTCTTATGTGGTGTCGAGGCAGTAGTTAAATAGCCGTTCGACTTGATAAGGAAATACTCTGAAATACAGAGGCATTGCCAAGAAAGCGTCCTGGTTACGCATTGCTCGAGAAGAAGATTCAACTTATAGGATGAATAGCCCATGTCAGAATGGAAGCAATTGGCGACGACGACACACTCTGCCAAACACCGCTAAGGTGACAATATTAGGGGCATAACCCTGGTTATACGGAGTAGTGAAGAATAATGTGGCGTGTTTGCCGATTCATCACCTCAATAAAACTTTCAAGTTTGGTTCAAACTAATGCTCAAGTTCTTGTGCGTATTCGATCATTGAAATCAAAATTGACCGATCTCATTGAGGAAGTCCCTCAAGCTGTGCCCGTTTGCACACTTTGTGATCTGAGATGAGCGACGCCTGAGGCAGGTAGCTTGCAGCAGTCTCAGGGTGAATTTGCATTCGACAAGAATGCTGCAAAATGTGTTAACAAAACTGGTTCGTTTTCGTACATTTCCGCCATCGCATAGATGTTTCTGATATAATCGGGTGTTGGCATTTTTTACAGCTCAATGGGATGGGGCAGGACGGGATGATGGACAGGTGAAAGCAAATTGTGGGTCCGGGCGTTTGATTTGCATCTCAAGCTGCATCCCATCTGAGAGGCTCATTTGATCTCGCGTATCGTGACGCAAGGGACGAGCATGTGCAAGACAGAAAAAAATTCTCCATGAGCAGACAAACTGGCTCCTTTTCCCCTTTTCTGACTCTTCCCTTTCTTTGTATTGATATCAATCACCATCTTGCCCCTCCCGAGCCGGGATTCCCGCGGCGCAGCCCACCGGCGTCCCCATATGACTTCACTTGGTTAATTAAAGCTGGGGCTAGCTAAATGAAGATTTGAACGACCAGGGGACCGCCCTTGTCGAAATCGCAAGGTGGCATCTGCGAACACAGCTGACCTCTTTCACTACCCGGACCAAGCAGGAAAACGACTAATTACAAAACCCAACTTGCTCGCGCGCGTGCATTGGGCCGCGCTGGCGAGGACACTGCCAGCTTTGCGATTAATTTCATGAGGACCCCTACCTACCTAATTACGACCTGCAACTGTTTGCTTGACAACAAGGCCCCGACCAACCGATCGCGCCCCTCCTCCTGCCCCCCCGGACAGCACGAGTTCTGTAATTTTCAACCACCAGCGACGGAAGGAGACATCTAGAACACATACTGCAGCGACCGCGATTCGAGACTGGCGAAAACCAACAGCAACCATGGACCCGACCCTCCTTCTTCTCGCCTCCGCCGCCGTCCTGGTGCCTGTGCTCTACATGTACACAGTAAGCATCGTCCAAACGCGCTTCCCCACGCTGCGGAATAAGCGCATATGCCTGCTCATTGCGCACCCCGACGATGAGGCCATGTTTTTTGCGCCCACCGTCCTGGCTCTGACGCGCCCGGAGACGGGCAACCACGTCAAGATTCTGTGCCTCAGCTCCGGTACGTGTTGCCTCTTGCCCACCCATCACCCAATGCGCAGGCCGCTCGACTGCGACAACCACTCTGCTAACATGTTTCGTCCAGGCAACGCGGAAGGACTCGGCGAAACGAGAAAGAAGGAGCTTGTTAAAAGCGGCATGACTCTTGGCCTTCGCGACGAGGAAGACGTCTTTGTCGTCGATAACCCGTTAGTAGAACCTGCCCTCTCGTCCTGACCCCCTTGCCCGTCTCCTACTAACACTTTTGGTCTGTCCAGCGCCGACTTTCCCGACTCCATGACCGCCACCTGGGACGAGTCCAAGATTGCCGGGCTCCTCATGAGCGCATTCGCTCCGGCCCTCGCCTCTCAGAAGAAGCAGCCAACGGAGCAGCCGCCCACCGCTAACATCGACGTGCTCATCACCTTTGACGCCGGGGGCGTCTCCGCGCACCCCAACCACATCTCGCTGTACCACGGCGCCCGCCGCTTCATCGCCGCGCTGCTGCGCGGCCGCGGCGCCGGCTGGGCCGCACCCGTCGATCTCTATACGCTACGCTCCGTGCACGTCTCCCGCAAGTACGCCTCGATCCTCGACGCTCTCCCGACGCTGGTCACCTGGGCGGCGACGGCGGCGAGAAACCCTGACAAGGCGCACCCGCCTGCGCTCGTCTTTCTCAGCGGGCTGGTCGGCGAGGGCGCGTTGCCGACGGCATGGAGCGCCATGACGGCGGCGCACAAGAGCCAGATGGTTTGGTTCCGGTACCTGTACATTACGTTTAGCCGGTACATGCTCATCAACGACTTGCATTTGGAAAAGGTCAAGGCGTAAATTTTTATATCAAAGAAGAGGAGGATGAAGTTGACGGATGCATACTACATATCTTGCATAGTAGCGGCGTAACACGAGGAAATTGCGCGCTCAAGTCTGTATAATACGAGAACAATGAGATCAAAGAAGCACTGGGCCAGATTGGTATCGGCTACATTTAATACAAATATCAAGCATTCATTTTACGTCACGATTGATGCTACGCAAGTTTATTCGCCAGCACGTAGATGCAATGTTGACAGGTATAGGCAGAGACATGTATTATTAAATTATGATTTGAAGCCGGAAATGCGGCTGAATCTCGAGCAACAGCATGTCAATGCGATGGTCATCAATAGCTCGTCATAACATCATGGTCAACATGGCTTGTTCGTATTACCACCAACACCGTCACCGTCAAGTTCGCTTCCTTAGCGCCCTTTTTTCCGTTGTGGCAGAGGCCGGATCGCCAGCAGCAGGCTGCTCCATCATTCGACTCATGAGCTGGGCTTTGCGCTTCTGCGCATCCGGATCGACATATTCTAGTTGCGTCGCAGGCGGCGGCCTTTCCTGCTCAAATTCGTGTTCCATATCGCCTCCAATGGCTGACGCTGACCGTAGCGACGCGGGCGCCGGCCCGCTTCCACTACTGGCATTCGATACGTTGCTGATTGCCCGGCCAAGAATTTGGCGTTTGCGCGGTCGGTGGCTCGAAGCTGTTCCTGCAGTAGCCAGATCCATGTCCATAGCTGGCTGCGCCTTGGTCGTATCCAGTAGGTTTGTTAGCTCGGAAGCAAGCCGTTGTCTCTCTGCAGCCCGAGCAGCTCGCCGTGCCTCGTTTAGCTCTTCCTGGTTGTTGCCATCGTCGGAGCTGGTGTCGGGTCGGGGCGCTGGCGGGGCAGATGGCGCTCTATTCGCCGGCGGCTTTTCATTCTCGACGTTGCCAACCGGATCTGACTTGTGCCGAGGGAGTTGCGCTCCAAGCGTCTTGGTTGGAGATGGTGATTTGTTCACCGATGCTGATGACAGCTCTGACAGTGGCGTGGCTTGTCGAGGTGGCGCTGGCTGTGAGACTGCTGTGACAAAGTCGGCAGACGTTGTGGATTCCTCATGCCGCGCGCTTCTCGTCTTGCTCGGTGGCTTTTTTGGGGTCTCTCTATCGAATGCTGTTGGGTCCATGCCAGCTCCTCCTGGTGGGCGTGATGTACTGGATTTCGCAACCGTCTTCTGCGCTGCACTTTGTTCGTCCCGAGGGTTCGTGTACTGCCCATTTTTGGGTTTGTAGCGTGTCCTTAGCTGGGGAAAGATAAAGTCCTCATGCGGCACCTTGTATCCAGTATTAATGCATTCCCATAGCCAGTCTGCGGACACAATCGGTACGCCCCATTCCACACCATATCGTAATTTGTCTTTGCGTATAGAGTCAAACGAGCGACATACCAAAAGACTGGTGTCTTTTCGAAATTGCTCCTCAAATTTTGCACCCAATTGCTTTATACTTCGAGCAACCTGGTTGAGCTCAAGTCCGGTAAACGCTGAGCTGCAGATAGTCAAGGAGCTGAACCCAGGAATGGGAAACGAGGGGAACGGCCGTCCCAAGACATGGTCATCGGGGTGAAGAAAGTGCTTGTCTTGCAAGCACCTCTCAATGTAAAACTCCGTGACAATGTGCAGATTGTTATGCTGCGATTGCGGATGGGTATCAGGCTGTGAGTTTTGGGGCACTATCAGAAAGCGCCAGCAAGGGTCTGCTGTTTGCGAAGTGGCGGCCTCTTCAAGGGAGGCCACGATGATACCGTCGAGGGACAGTAATGTTTGCTGTAAGACATCGGCCTGCTGGGAGCGGAAGCCGTGCATGAAGAATATGCAATTAGCAAAGATGCCATCTGGCTGTACCGGAGCTAGCTTTTCTGGCACAGCAGGCCTGTCTCCTCCTTGGCCTTCGTTGAACGAATATTCCTTTGAGTCCGAACGTCCCAGGATATTGTCCCAAAGAGAATTTCTCTGCGAACTCAGTTTCATGCTAGCAGTTTTGCGCAGCTTTCGAACGCCGTCTTCCGTTGTGATCGAATCGGACGATCTAGATCGCTTGCCAAAGGACTTCCTGCGTGGTAATTTTTTTACCCACGCATCGACGCCTTGTTCTTCCGCTGGGAGAAGAGGGTCGAATTTGGCTTCATCGAGGATCATGCCACGCTCAATACTCTGATCAAGCCAGGCCAGTGTCACAGTCCGAACGCCCCAATTTCTAGCTGCCGTAAACTTTTTACCTTCTGGAGCGTTGACAATCAGATGTGTGCACTTTCTAGTTAAGTCTCCGGTGTGTTTAGCACCGTTGGTGGTGATGCGCTCCGCGATCTGATCGCGTTGGTCGCCGAAGCCGGTTAAGCATAACAGTAGGGAGTCTTGTTCCGGGGTCGGTTGCCCTTCAAGAACCGGTTCCCGGCCGCATTTGGCAAGTGGCCGAAGTTTATATTTCTCTTCAAGTTCTCGTAAGTTTATATCGTCGTCGAACCTCCATAGCTGTGCAATCTCGTCGATCCATGCGGCCTCCATGGCCTTTATGTCGGGCCGTTCTCGAGCGACATGGCGGTACTTTGGCGTGTCATAGTCGCCAACGATGAGATGCGTGACATCTTCCGTAAGGTCGTGCCTATGCACGCCTCCGAGCTCGACAACCTTTTGCTCTATTTCACTCTAGAGAACAGTTAGTGCAGGCATTCATGAAGGTGACGTAGGAAGTCATACCCGCTGCTCGGTTGGAATACTGGTGCAGCAAACAATGATGCCACGCAACGGTTTGGTCGGATCTATGGAGTAATCGTCATCGGTAGAGTGGTTCAGAGACATGCTGCGCAGCTGACCAAGCTGATAGTTGGCACCGCTTGAGATCCTCAAGAGTTGACAAAGTCATATGCGACCACGCGAGCTGGTGGACGCGTTTTGGACAAGCGCCCCCACAACGGAATTTCAACTAGGAGGGCCCCCACAGGAGTCTCTGTTGACAGCATTTCGAATCAAAGAAAAGCCATCAGGTAAGTATGGGAAAGGAGATACTTCACGTTCCGATATACAATGCTCACCGAAATATGAGTGCAAATTTGTAAAAAGGGTTGCCGATAGCCGAGGCCGGTCATGTCACCAAGCTTCAGGCCCAGTGACTGCCCACCCAGGCAGACTATTGACGATGAGTACATATTCTAGACAATACCTACACATCTATGTCAGATTCCTCATGATTGATCAAATCAGATGACGACCCGATATTTGACGCAGACAGTCAAAATCGTGCCTGCTCGATTACACAGGCAAGTACTGCCCTCATATTGTTGACGTGACAAGGTACTCCATTCTCCAAATGATGAAGTGCTACGGCCTACCCCACATGCCCCTCCAACCTCTTCCACCGGTTCGCCTAGATTCAGCCCAAACCACCAACTCATAAAACTTGTGACACCCGTGTCTTTGCTTCCTTCAACGCGGCAAGCTCCCGGGCGGCGTTCTTGTCTGCGCTCGTTATATCTTTGCCCCCGAAGGAATCCGCTGCACAGCCGCTTCCACTCAACTCGTGCCGTACCAACCAGTCTTTCTGTCCTTCCCTCGTGCGCAACAAACGACACGAAGCTACGAGCTCGCGCTGCTGTGGTCCCAACTCACCCGCCCGACTGCGACTATTCGCCGATCCCGAACTGATACACATATCCAGCGCCGGTCTTGCTGTCACCACGATGGCTCCCACTGCTACGCAGCTCCGGAGCATGGTGAGCCAGTTCACGGCCTTCACAGGAACGAGTGAGAAGACCGCCACCAAAGTATGCTCTAGCCCGAACAAACAGTGATGCTGTCCTTACTTGATACACCTGTCGACCTGAGCCCTCATTTCTAGTCCTGATCGCCCGGTCGCAAGCGCTGCTGATGCTCGTCACCCGAGCCACCGGTCATCTAAACTACCAAGGTGACCGAAGAAGTGTGAAACGATGCTAACTAAAGCCTTTGCAGTTTATCAAAGCCTCCAATTATAGAGTCAACGAAGCCATAGATGAGTAAGTCTTGTTCTTTTACACTGCTGGCCAATCCTCCATTCGCTGGATTTTGCAAGTGCCGGGTCGGTCATCTTATCTTGGCCGACCCATCGTATTACCCCAAGTCACGTCCGACAAACAACACGACAATCTCGATGCAAATCACGTCTGTGCCGCGCCTCTGCCACTACATAGGCCAGTATGTTTGCAGGTGCATGGATCGGGCAGGGACGTTGCAACAGCGCTGGAGCACCGCTGAGCACGCTCGACAACACTGGACCAATGCCAGCGGGCCATTGGTGGAGTGTTACCAGACATCTATCCAAGTACGGCCGAGCACCGCCCGACGGGTTGAAACAGGTCCGAAATGCCACGACACTTGCGTGATGCCGGCCCGGCTTTTCTGCTGGTCCGGCTTTTTGTCCATCACTACATCAATATCCCGCTCTTCTGAACACCTTACATACTCCCAATGCCAACACCTCCACTGGCCAGCACCGCCTCTCCACCCCGGTTCCAAACCTACCCGAACAATCGAGACAGCGCTTTGCCAGCTGTAGTTTGGCAGAATGCGGTTAAAAGGAGTGCGACATCAAATCCACTGCAAATTCCAGTCACTGCTGCCGTCCGGACGTAAATGGGATCCCGGCAGCTCCGATGACCTCGCACCTCATAAGGACTCACGGTACATGCGCCTCGTACACCGGTCGTGACGTACTGGCATCTTAAATTGCATCCGAGTGGACGCAGGATCACGCATATTTGCTCGGTAGCTGGCACTGAGCACCTACTTACGTTCGAAACAGGTACTTCCGTAGCCAGGGTCTCGCGAACCAGGCCCCCGGTCTCGATTCCGAATTGGATTCCTTATTCGACAGTTTACGAGGTAAGTAGCCCCGGCTGAATGGTGGCTGCATTCTGCTCACAGCTGTTAGATGACAGTAATGATACCAAGGATCGCCTCGAACTTACTTCTACTATGAATTATCTTACCACCGATCTCAAGGTCAACATAGAAAATGCCGAACTCTTTGTGGTTTTGGAATTGCTACAGGCCCCCAGTATCGGCGAGATTACGCGCAAGGGCTATGTCGAAGGATGGAAGGACAGCGAGTAAGTCTCATCACATTTGGTTCCTCTTCTGTGCTGACATTTAAAGCGTCAATGCCTCTCAAAAGGACCACGCCAAGTATGTCCGCAAACTCGTCAAGACATTGCCAACAGATGTTGCTCTATTCAAAAGGGTGTACAAGCACACCTTTGTCGCGGGCCGTGAGAAGGATCAAAAATCTCTGAGTCTCGAGAACGCGCTCGTCTACTGGGACATGCTGTTTGCTCCTCCTGGAATGCAATGGAAGAGTGAGCACCGCGACTGGCTACCGCTCTGGAAGGAATATCTGAATGAGAAGTGGCACCACTCCGTGAATAGGGACATGTGGAACATGACGCTCGAGTTTGCATTCAAAAGCATGGAGGACGACTCTCTGTCCTTCTGGGACGAGAACGGCGCCTGGCCGGGCGCCATTGACGATTTCGTTGCGTGGTGCAAGGCCAAGGGCATGAGCAAGTCTGAGCAAATGGAGGTTGATGACGCATAGAAACCGCTCTTTCTGCTCCGAAACCAGAACTTACCACCAGTGGTAGCCAAACAGCCGCGCCGTAGAAAGCGGTCCAGGCGCTGAGCTGAACCGACTCGTGTCAGCAACAGTTGTAGCCAAATAGGCGGCTGAAAATGATGCGCTCCCAGTCAAGAAGACCAACGATGATTACATGGCGGTCAGCATGAAGAGCAGTGTGGTGAGAATCAATAGGGAGAGCGCAAACAAGCATGATACGTACGTATTTTACATAAAACAGCGGCACGAACGATTTGGCATTACACGGACTTGGAAGCTGCACTCTCACTGAGGCTGCTGTCCTAAAAGGCAATTAGGACAACGAGCTTATGACTAGATAGTTGGAACTATAATGCCAGAGTTCTCAAACTAAACAGCTAGGCCAATTCACAGGGTCATAAAAAACAGTGCTGCAAGTGAATATCAAATAACGGTTATAGAATGCTGCTATCCGTAGATTCCCAATGTATGGTGTATTGTACAATGGGTGCCAGAGTATGGATCCATAGCCATACCTGCTCAGCCCCCGAGGGTTTAAATTTATATTGTACACGTCCAGGTTCGTACCGTCGAGGTCGTTGTCCAACGACGTCTGGATGCTGCGTGACGCGCGCGCCGAAGACGGCTATTTTTCACCGCCTGTTGCACGAATGGAGCACAAGTCATCCGCGAATGACTTTGTTCCCTTTTCAATCATATCATGCATTTATGCCCACCACGTAGTCGCCTACGCCTCGCCGCCCTCTGCCCGCCAGTTGGGAGCCCCGAAGCGCGACAGGGTCTCGAGCTTGCCGTCGCCGAGCTTAACGTGGGCGGCGCGGATCATGCGTGGCTCGAGGCGCATAAAGTCGCGTACCTCGTTGTGAAGCTTGGCGGAGGCGTCGTAGCGCACGACAAAGTAGTGGCCGTGGTGGTGCTTCATCTGGCGCACCGACACGGGCTTCGGTAGAGAGAAGACGCCCCAGTTGGCGAGACCACGGATAACGCCGCCGTTGCGCAGTATGGTGGAACCGACCGTCTTGGCAATTCTGGAGAAAAAAAAATCTCGGGTTAGTTTTCTAATTCGGAAGACGGAATTGTCGGCTGCGGGATCGAGGGCCGTGGTTATCGGATTCGATGAACGTACTCTTTGACATCGGTCACATTGCCGGGTCGTACCTAAAGTCAATTGGTCAGGACCGAGAAAGTGACTAGGAAGTCGAGCAGGTACTCACTACTGCTATTAATTCGTAGAGCATTTTGGCGACCGTGTGTGCTGGATCAGTCGCTGCATGTATGTAGATGGAAAGGTAGGAGGCTTGGGACCAGAAAAATAGTTGGGCGTAGAGTTACCCCGTAGATTAGCCGGCGCAACCACAGCACGCGACATCTTGACGTGCATAATGAACTGGAAATGTGACGATTCATTGGAGAGGTATTTAATTTTTGAAACAATTAAGTTGTCTTATATCGAGGCGATGCAAACAGGAAACCCGAATGCAGTTGGCGTTGACATCCGCCTTTTCCCGTCATAATGCGTGACTATCCTACAACGCCATGCATTTAATGTACAATGCGAGTAATTTACAGCTGCTCTTTTGACAGTGCTTGCCAGACTCGCCAGGGCAGTCTCCAGCCCGCAGGCTTTACGGCAAATGGATCGAAATTGGCCTGTTCTAGCCTTTCCAGGAAGTACGTGGCCGGCGCCGCTTCCAGCAGCACACGGAATCCACGATGCAGGTCCCTCGCTCTGTCACTCTCCCCCTCTGCCTCGTACACGTGCGCGCCCTCCCCCTCGTGTTCAAATTCGTGGCCTGCGTCCTCGCCGGCTCGCAGCCGCTTCAGCATTTCTTGCGCCGTGATGAGGTGGTCGTTGGCGCGCGTGGCGACTTTGAATACGGCATCTTGTAGTCCTGGTGCATCGGGCCCCTGGCGAAAGACTTCCTCCTCCTTGACACCTTCCTCGGCCATGATGTCGAGCGGCAGCAGCAGCGAGGGGTCCCGCGTGGGCGGGACGTCGCCGCTTGGCGTCTTGATGGGCGCGGGGGGCGCAGCTAGGAGCGGTACGCCGCGCAGGACGGCGACGATGCCGCAGGCTTTGCCAATGTGGCTGGCTAAATGGTCCACGTCCATGGACCGCAGGCCCAAACTCGCCAGTGTCGCATACATCATGGTAGAGTAGGTGTTTTCGGCATAGTCTTCTAGTGTGGCGAGGCTCGTAAACGGTCGGTTATCCATGTGCTTCTCGCGTGTGCGGATGAGGCGTGAAATCCAGAATTTGAGCGACTTCTTGCTCGAGGCATCGGCAAATTGGTCCATGAACAGCAGCGCCTGGTGCAGCAATATGCAGATGGGCTCGCGCGGCGGCTGTCCGGCAAAGGTCTTGTCGATGGACTCTTGCCAAAACTTTATGCGCATCAGGCCAATGGTTGGGTTGGACACAATGTCGGGGAGGCGGACGAGCTCGAGGTTGAGCGCACGTAGGGCCGTGTACATGTCCTGCGCCGGTTGCGCGAATCGCCGAATGAGGTGTGCATCGTAGTCGCCTTTTCTGTTTCGTATATATCAGCGATGAAGTGCCACCAATTGAGTGCATGAGGCAGCAACGCGTGGCCTACTCTAATTCTGTTGCGCAGTACTTGCGGGCACCGGCAATGTCAGCTTTTGTAATGTAGGTCCGGCGCGCGGCCGGGCTGCAAGCAAGGCGCCGTAGGCCGTTATATAGGATGCGTGGTCTATTCATATAGACACACGGGGCTGCGAGACGGGTTTATGGATGTCGTCGTCGCGGATGATGCTGGCCAATCGTCAACATGGCATTTCCAAGAAATTGAGATGCGCCACCGGAGCTCAAAATATTTTGTTAGCGATCCGAGTTAGGTAGCTTTGCCCCGCTAAAGTGTCGCCACAAGCCACTATAACGCGGTTACCTAAAAGCGCCGCCAAGTCGCGCCAGGCACTTTACCCGTCGCGTCTCCCAGCGAAGATTCGGTTCTACGAAACTTGCTATTCACATCTTGAGGTGCAGAGCCCAATGTGCTCGACGACGCCATGGACTTTGCCAACTCACAGGAACCCCCGAACAAGAAGCGGCGGTTCTTTGCTGACGCGGATGAGCTTTCAGACCCGGTATCAAGTCCGAACGCCAATTCAAGAGTCAAGACAGAAAACGGCAGCGACGCCACACGCTCCGACAATGCCATCTTGTCGGATGCCAGTCATGCAACCGCCAGCTCGTCTGGCGAAGGTGCCGTTTCCTTTGATATTGATACGTTCGAAGCCTTTGTTGGTGAGAAGGTGACGAAGGACATTGTCGCCATCCTCCGTGAACAGAGCAATAACAGCATGGAACATGCGGTCAACATGTACTTGGATGGCGCGTACAAAAAGTTTCTGAAGCCATTGACTATCAAGAGCTCGCCGATACGAACGCCGAATGCAACTGAACCGAGCAGAACGCCGGCACCGGCGCCGCGCTGTATGCCGACTGCACGCTACATTGGCGCCTTTGGTGTCGAAGGCTGGGCGACCCGCAGCGGTGCAAACATCCTGAAGCACGGCGACACTGTCAAGATAGAACGACAGAAGATTCGACCTCCTGCACCCCCGAAAACCAAGGCAAAGCTCGGCGTACCGGTAACTCCAGTGCGAAACAATACGGCTGCATCGCGACGAATCGACGTGATTGTGCGCTTCACGAACGATAGTGGTATGGAGATTGGTCGGCTCGCGAAAGATACGGCAAATTGGGTCTCGACACTTATCGATCAAAAAATCTGCAAGTTTGACGGAAGCGTTGTTTATGCGCCTGATAGGTTACGGACAAACGACACGATATTTCTTCAACTCAAATGCTCCCTGCTCAACTCCGCCTTCTACAACCGCAGCTTCCAGCTTGCCGATGATCGTCCTCAGGCGTTTTTTGAACAAGCCGAAACCACTGACGAAAAGAATTTGCGTCTGCGGCAGGTCGCACTTGTCAAACTATTTCAGGAAATTGGTCTGCAGCCGACTGTTGCCAACGCGGCCGCCAACGACGGTCGCCAAGGCCTGTTAAAAGCGGCAGAGATGGACGAGGAAAAGCAAGCGGACCAGAAAAGGCTTGGTGCTATCAAGGACTCAGACTCGCCGGCTTCAGACGATGCTGAAGAGGGTAAAGAGCTGGAGCAAGATCAGCTTGACGCACTATACAAAAAAGCGCAGTCGTTCGATTTTAGTACGCCGGAACAAGATCCAGCTGATACTTTTGCCATGACACTGCGCCCCTATCAGAAGCAATCCCTGCATTGGATGATAGCCAAAGAAAAGGATGCGCGAAGCAATAGAGAGCCATCTATGCACCCGCTTTGGGAAGAATACGTCTGGCCTGTCAAAGATCATGATGACAAGGCCTTGCCCGTGGTTAGCGACGTCACGAGGTTTTATGTTAACCCATATTCTGGTGACTTGTCACTTGAATTTCCTGTACAGGAGCAACACTGCCTGGGTGGTATCCTCGCCGACGAAATGGGTCTCGGCAAAACAATCCAAATGCTCAGTCTTGTGCACTCCCACAAGTCAGAGTTTGCTCGCCAAGCTCGTGCTGCTAATGGCGGCATCGCAACGGTGAATCAGCTTCAGCGTCTTGGTTCTTCTTCTTCGACCATGGTTGACGCCCCGTGCACCACCCTGGTTGTGGCTCCAATGTCCTTGTTGTCACAGTGGCAGAGTGAAGCTGAAAAGGCTTCAAAAGAAGGCACCATGAAGATAGAACTCTATTATGGAAATGAAAAAACGAATAATCTGCAAGCGCTTTGCAGCGGCTCTAACGCATCAATGGCACCGGACGTGGTCATCACGAGCTACGGAGTCATTCTTTCCGAATTCAGCGCTATTACGGCAAAGAACGGCGACAAGTCCTTCCATAATGGTATATTTTCTCTCAACTTCTTCCGCATCATACTAGACGAAGCGCACCACATCAAGAACCGGTCGTCAAAAACAGCCAGGGCGTGTTATGAGATTTCTGCAACGCATCGTTGGGTGCTGACTGGCACTCCCATTGTGAATAAGTTGGAGGACTTGTTCAGTCTAGTACGGTTCCTCGGTGTCGAACCATGGAACAATTTTTCATTTTGGAAAACGTTCATCACTGTGCCGTTTGAGTCTGGCGATTTCGTTCGGGCGCTTAACGTCGTGCAGACGGTGCTGGAGCCGCTGGTGATGCGCCGCACGAAAGATATGAAGACGCCAGACGGGCAACCATTGGTACCGCTGCCGCCTAAACAGGTTGATTTGGTAGAGGTTGAGCTCTCCAAGACAGAGAGAGACGTCTACGACTACATTTATAACCGAGCGAAACGAACATTCAACCAAAATGTGGAAGCTGGAACTGTGATGAAGGCTTTCACGACCATTTTTGCCCAAATTCTACGCCTGCGGCAATCCTGCTGCCATCCGATTCTTGTGCGAAACAAAGACATTGTGGCGGACGAGGAAGAAGCTGGCGCAGCAGCAGATGCCAACACTGGGTTTGCCGACGATATGGATTTGGAAAATTTGATCCAGCACTTTACCGCCGACATAGAGGAGGCTTCCAAAGACAATCAAGCATATGGCGTCAATGCACTGAGCGAGATCCGCGACGAGTCGGAGAAGGAATGCCCTTTTTGCTTTGAACAGCCCATGAACGACCAGACAGTGACGGGCTGCTGGCACTCTGCGTGCAAAAAGTGCCTCGTGGAGTTTATGAAGCACGAGACTGACCGCGGCGTGGTTCCGAAGTGCTTCAGCTGCCGCGCGCCGCTCAACTTCCGGGACCTCTTTGAAGTTGTCAGACACGATGACGAAATAGACCTGTCTACGGGCAAGCCACGCATCAGTCTCCAGCGCCTCGGTATGTCGTCTTCCTCATCCAAGGTGGCTGCTCTCATCAGCCAACTACGCGCCGTGCGCAAAGACTGCCCAAATATGAAATCAGTCGTCTTTTCTCAGTTTACCTCGTTTCTGAGTCTGATTGAGCCGGCCCTCACACGCGCCAACATTAAATTCCTGCGTCTCGATGGCAGCATGGCGCAGAAAGCACGCGCTGCCGTCCTCAACCAGTTTACCGACAAGCCAGGCTTCATGGTGCTGCTCATCAGCCTACGGGCGGGCGGCGTCGGGCTCAACCTGACGAGCGCAGGACGCGTCTTCATGATGGACCCTTGGTGGAGCTTTGCGGTGGAAGCGCAAGCCATTGATCGCGTGCACCGCCTGGGGCAGGAGGACGAGGTGCAGGTCAAGCGCTTTATTGTAAAGGAGAGCGTAGAGGAGCGAATGCTAAAGATTCAGGAACGCAAAAAGTTTATTGCGACGTCGCTGGGCATGATGAGCGATGAGGAGAAGAGAGTGCAGCGCATCGAGGACATGAAAGAACTGCTTAGCTAAAAAAAAAAAAAAAAAAAGGCTGCAGGGATATTTGCGTTTGCATGGGAGAGGCGTCCTGGCATTTTGCGGCGTATTTGTTTGGTAGTCATGACGGAGTTAAGACGATAATCTATATCGAATACATGATACGATGGCACATTTGCTACCAGTTCCCGTTGCGCGTGAGCCAATTGGCATACGTCGTCGCACGATTCCCAATAACTAACTAGAGTTGAAACTTGTTGCAGAAATTCTTCTATTATTTCTATTTCTGTTGCATCTATTTCTTTAAATTTTCTATCCCTCTCTCTAGCCATTTACAGGACAACCTCGGTAGTGGCCGCCTTTTCGCGGTCATCGCCAAAAATGTTGACATTCCAGCTCGGGTTATACGTGTAGGGAATGTTGAAGCGGTGCTTGTCGTCCTTGCCAATCTTGTTGAGGCGATCAATGTCCTCCTGATCGAGGTCGACTTCCTGGAAATTCTCGCGGATGCGCGCGGGCGTGACCGACTTGGGGATGACGGTGTGGCCGCCGACCTGGGCCCAGGCGAGCAGGACGTGGGCCGGGGTGACGGTGCGGCCCTTGGCGGCGGTGAGGCGCTCGGCGACGGCCTTGACCTCGTCGTGGGCAATGAGAAGCGGCGCGCCAATGGTGTTGTTGCCAAAGGCGGAGTAGGCGGTCAAAACAATGTGCTTGTCGGCGCAGTATTTGACGAGGGCTTCGTCGAGGAGGCGCGGGTGGCGCTCGACTTGGTTGACGGCGGGAGTGACGCCGGTGGCCTTGATGACGGTCTCGAGCTGAAAAGGGGGAGGTTGTTAGCAAATGGAGCGGGTATTTGCGTATTGCGCGGGGGGGTGAAGAAGAAGAGGAGGAGGAAGAGGAAGAGGAGGAGGAGGAGGAGGAGGAGGAGGAGGAGGAGGAAAGAGGCCATACGTGTTTAATGGTAAAGTTGGAGACACCGACGGCGCGGGTCTTGCTCTTGGGAAGCTCGGTCACGGCTACAATCTGTCAGCACAATGTTACAAGAGAGCGGATGATTGGTTTAGTGTTTGTTACCCTTCCAGGTCTGAGTGATGGAGGTTTTCTTGTCCAGCTGAACGGCGCCGCTGGCGTCCTTGGGGAAGAGCCCGGAGCCGTGGGCAAAAGCGACGGGCCAGTGAATGAGGTAGAGCTAGGGACCTCGTCAGCATCTTTTTGAGTTCCAATTCGCCCCCTCGCGCGTCCCAATTGGAACCCGCAGCAATCACAAAATTTTGGAAAACATACATCGAGATAGTCGAGGCCGAGCTCCTGCAGTGTGTCATCGAGGGCAGCGGCCACGTTTTCGGGCTGGTGGCTGTCATTCCACAGCTTGGAGGTGATGAAGATGTCCTCGCGCTTGAGGCCGGGGACGTCGGCCAGCGCGCGCTTGATGCCCTCGCCGACTTCGCGCTGGTTGCCGTAGACCTTGGCCAGGTCGAGGTGGCGGTAGCCGGCCTTGAGGGCCTCGTAGACGCCGGCGCCGACTTCGCCGGGGGCGGCCTGCCAGGTGCCGTAGCCGAGGCCGGGGATTTTGGCGCCGGTGTTGAGGGTGACGGTGCGGCCGGAAGACATTGTTATTCGAGGGTGGGGAGGAGTTGAAAGTGGTTGTCGGAGAGTTGGCGAGATGGAAGAGAATTAAGATATTTCAGAGAGAACAAAAGAACGGGCAAGCAGTGAAGAAAAAGGGAATCGCGAGGCTTTTTAAACTTGTTTCAACCACCTGATTGTTTGGTAGCTCTATGGTGGGGGAGGGGCAAGGAATGACGACACGGGGCTACCATTGCACAATGTATAGGCCAATTGCGTAGGCCAATTGCATAGGCCAATTGCATAGGCCAAATGCAAAGTAGTTTCCCCCTTTGGTGGTAACTGAGAGGGTCTTGTCTCCAGTTTATGGACGGTTCTGATTGCTGCATTAATAATGGCCGGACGGGGTTTGATCCGCATTGCATTCTATCTTGTTCTGCTGTCTGAGAAGCCGAATTTCCGCTAGCAGACGGTTAGTGTCTTATTATTGGTGCGGGTAGGGTAGGGTATTTAGCCATTCGTCAGGGTTCTTGTGCGCCACATAGTGTGAGTTGAGGATTTATACGTCGCGTATTTGCAGTGCTGTTGCCCACGCTAGAGCAACATGTAATAGTTGACTATACTTGTCCAGCGGAGATCAACACAAAGTAGTTGCGCCGTCTCTTTCGCTGTCCTTCCATGTAAGAAACAAAATTCATCTGTTAGTCTAAGATTAGGAATTTCAACAACCAGTCTTGGATGTAAAGCGTCATTACATTCTCAGCCATACTATGACTATTGAATCTCGATGCATAACTTGGAAATAGAGCACATCGACAAGCACCCCCGCCCGTGAGTTCTCTGTTCCACAATGGTATCGTGGGGGTGACGAACACACCTTGGCAGAGAAGGAACTGAGAATATCCACAATCCCACTCAACTGCCCAAATCAACTCAATTCTTAACGCCGAAAAAGGGCTCTACCACAGGCGGATTTTAGCCGTTTTGAGTCACACCGAGCGTTGCGCTCACGCAGAATGGCAATTTGGCAAGGCGCGGCCTTCTCTCCATCGTTGTTGGGACGATTTAGCTTGATCAGCTTTGTCGATCCGAGACGCGAGTCAGTAGCGTAGGCCGCCTCGGGTCGGAGAAGCCCAAAGCATGGCGTGCTGTCAACGTGTCTTGCACAATGTGGATCGCGGCGAAGAGATTGGGCCTTTTTCACATTAAATGAGCGGGTTGATGATGATGATGATGATGATGAAGAATGCGGGCGTACTCATCGCTTCATCACACGTTGCATACGAGAAACTCGATTTATGCGGCGCCCGCCAAGTTCACAGCAGTGAAAGTCGAGAAAAAACTTGGTTGTATTCCCCCGAAAGGATCATGCCCGCCGAGGCGTCCTGACAGACTCCTCTCTGGCGGTAACGTTCAAATTCAAAACTGTTGAAAAACCCAAATTGTCGCGCCCGCTTCTTCCGAATAATCAAAAGCATGGAAAGCGGTAATAAAAGAGGCTCCCCAGAGAGCCAAATTCCGAACAAAGCGTATACTACACGAAGCAGAGAAAATTCTTGTACACAAGAAGCGAAAAGACTAAAGCTTTGGCATGAATCAAGCTCGCTGTCGCAAAAGTCCATCATTCGTCGTCATTCATGAAAATGGCCATTGTGAGCCGTGTGTCCGTTCCTCCCTTTGCATATATCATCAAATCCAGTTTCACGCCGCTTCCGGCGCAAACAAGTTTTAGGCCGGTGCCTCTCCGGCGGCGGGAGCACCTGCGGCCGGTGCCTCTGGCGCTGGCTCTGCCTCGCCGTCATGGTCCGACGCGGCCTTGCTGCTCTTTGAGCTCTTTGTGCTCTTGCTGCTGCTCGAGCGGCGCCGCTTACGGCCGCCCCCCGAGCACCGGACCGCGTCGCGATACACCCAGAGAAACGCAAACACGCCGGCGAGAAACACGGCGAGCACCACGCCGACAATGACGCCGATGCTCGTGTTTGTGTTTTGGAGAGGGTCGTCTGAGAATTGTCGTTTATCGAGTCCCGCGGCGACGACGACGATGCCGCCGCCGCCGCCGACAGCCTCGACCGCCCGCGGCGACGACTCGTCCGCCTCGCTCAAGCCGCGCGGGATATACATGCACTTCCGCGCTTTTTTTACACCTTGTCCCTAGCCGTTGAGTGAGAAAGAAGGTGATGTGCTCGAGAGCGGGCGACGGCAAGCGGCGGGACTGTCTTGCCTCTCTGCGCGGGTTGAGGTTTGGCGTGGAAAAAGAAGGGAGGTGGAATGCAAGTTATCCAGACCGGATACTAAAAAGGGAAATTTATGCAAGGTAAAGCACAATCGTCCATGGCCAGGCTTTTGCTTTTGCCTTTTCCCCCCGGCAAGAACGGTAAGGGGGGGGGGCGAGTTGGGCCTCGCCCACTGTCGGACGGCGCGGACATTATATCTACCCAACGAAACCCTTGACCCCGGGCATCATTTTCGCGGAGGTGTAAAGAGCGTGCATCACAGTGCCCCCGGCACGTTGGGAACGTGGCGGGGGGGAGCAAAGAAAAGTGCGGCAGCCCGCATGAGCGAATGGCTGGGGGTCCCCGTTCGAACAGGTAGGTGGTGGTGCGTGCTACAAAAGCTGGTCTAGACGAGCACACGAATTCGGTGGCCATTGCATATGCAGTGATTAGTTTGAGTTGAAAGGGCGACAAAGCTGGCATGTAGAATGCTGCGTGTCATGATCCCACGACATGCTAACTAGTGATGAGGTGACTTTTTGCATATGACTGAAGCCGGGCCTCGCTCGAGGCACAAGTTTGTGTAGCTTTTCATCAAGATTATGGGGCTATAAAGCTCCCTATCAAGGTCACACATGGATTTTCTTTTTTCTTTTTTTTTTTCTTTGATGCCATTTATTATACTGTTGTGGCGCCATTTCACCCAGTCATTCACTGTCTTGTGCTTTCCAACTCACTTACATCTGCTCGCCACAAGTTGTAGGCAGCATGTGATCCTGCCACGAGCGAACCTTGGGGGGTTAACTAGATGCCCGAGCGATTTCGGCCTCAGCAAATTCTGCCGGCAGTTTTTTCTTCTTTTTTTTCCTTTTCTTGTCCAATGCGGAAAGCGCCCAGAATCAGTCCCTCGGGAGCTGGGAAACGGGGTACGCGAGGGATGGCCCGTTTGCGGGGGCATCGGGCTGCATGCAGGCAGGACAAGGACAACTCAGCAACGCCCGACGACTAAACGACGCCCAACCGGCCGACTTTTCCGTACGAGCTAAAAGATGCTGCAGTAGCCGCGGTAGATGCGTACAGAAACTGTCAAACAAATGTAGAGGACTTGGAAAGTCTTCAAAAGGCGCTCTCTCATGATCAATCTCAGAGTGTGTACATCATGCTTTCGTGCGCATGTACACAGTCGCTTGCGGCGTACATGGTACAAGAAGTGGCAACGACACCGACATTTTGCTGTCTCTCTTGATGGTCAAGAATCTGTCAGTGTGGGCTATAAATCCACTCTAACGTCAATTTGTTTCAAGTATCATCGGATGTTTTCTCCAAAAAAGTGTACAATTGCCAATTCGGAGGGCGGTTCAGGGTACTTGTACCATGGTGCCCTGCCATCGCATGCCAAGTAAAAGAGGTGGGACTTTGGTGTAATTCTTTATCGTATACCAAAAGCAAAAAAAAGAAAAAAAAAGAAAAAAAAAGTAAGAAAGCGAGCTCGGCAGATTTCAAAGACACCTTATACTTTACGGAGTGCTTCCGCAGTTCACAGTGGCAGCCGATGTGCTGCGGTCCGTGTGTACGCACTGCCGATCAGGTCCGGAGCGCTTCCCACACGGATGCAACAACTACATACCAAAGGAGCAAACAGAGGAGATAAAACATGCTCACTCCCCCTCAGTCACACCGTCGGGAAACCGTCGGCCAACGTCCTTGCATACAGACGCAGCACGAGTACCGCCCCGCGCCCATGCAACCGTTCAGGCAGCAACTACTTGCCACCACACCGTGCCACAGGTTCCCGCCTCGACTTGACGCTGCAAGTTCATGCTTGTCACTGATTGGTAACCAGTAAGGTATAATCTCCGGCGGTCCTATCGACGTGTGTATGGGATGCAGGTGGCTTGCTGGCAGGGGGTGGGGGGGGTGCGATTGCCAGCTGTGCTCGAACTGGGTAGCAAAAAAGACCATCTTGTTGCAACATCACCAAGCAATAACCATCTTCGTATCAAATACTCCAATTATTGGGAAACCTCCTTTACTCGGCAAGATGCTCCCAAAGAAGAAGACGTACATGATTGCTCAGTGCTTCAGCGATTTCAAGACAATCATGTTCGGCCAAAGTGGCTGAAGCGTTTGTGGTATTGTGCAAAGTCCCTATGGGCTATCCGGGCCGAACACGGCAGAGAAGGTCCTAACTGCATCCAGACAGCTAGTTGTAAAGGTTAGTTTCATAAGAAATGAATTCGAAGAATTGAATACATGATGAATTAAATCTCCTTGTACGAGGCCAATCAGCAGCACCGCATCCTGCAGATCATATCCACCTGCAAAAGGTCCCTCCGCCTCTATTTACTTCGATCAGGCGACTTTTCTCGAGGGCCATTTACTGACCCTTGCACAGCATTGAAAGTCGAGCTTGTCGACCAGCTTTTTTGCGCTACCCTGTTCATTGAGTAAGACTTGACAAACCGATCGCCATGGAAATACTACCCACCATCATCGCCGCCGCCGCGACCAGCGCATGTCGCTTCCCCCTCATCGCCCAGAGCGCCCTTGGCCAGCGCTTCTGCCCCCGCGCCGTCATCCTCGACGAGGTGCGGGACCTGGCGCGGCGACTTTCGCCCACCTCGCAGGTCCTCTTGCCCAGCGACCAGGGCTTCTTCCAGGCTTCGCAACGATGGAGCGCCTTTGGCGAGCCGAGGCCCGGCATCGTCGTCATTCCCGGCGTGGCGTCGGACGTTGCGGCAACGGTGGGCGGCTTCCCAGGATGAACAAAAACAATTTTTGTCACAGAAAGAACATTTTTTGACTGGATCAAACCGACTCTCAGGTTCAATACGCAAACGAGCACGGCAAGCCGTTTTTGGCCATTGGCGGCCAGCATGGCGCGACCAGCACGCTCGGTAAGCTCCGGGGCGGCATCGGAATCGCAATGAGCACCCTTGACAGCGTCGAGCTGTCCGCAGACGGCCAGACGGCCAAGGTGGGCGGCGGCGCTCTCTCCAAGACGGTCATTGACGCCCTGTGGGAAGCCGGCAAGCAGACGGGTACGACGGCCCCCTCCCACCACTCCGGGCGTGCTAACAGCTGGGGGGGTCCCCTACCGTAGTCACCGGCACCTGCGAGTGCGTCAGCCTGGTCGGGCCCGGCCTGGGCGGCGGTCACGGCTGGCTGCAGGGCCGCCACGGGCTCATCGCCGACCAGTTCGTCTCCATGGACGTGGTGCTCGCCGACGGCTCCGCGCGCACCGCCGTCGACGCGCACTCGGCCCCGGACCTGTGGTGGGCTCTACGCGGCGCCGGACACAACTTTGCCATTGTCACGTCCGTCACGCTGCGCGTACATGACATTGTGCACCGCGACTGGGCGCGCGTCACCATGATCTTCTCCGGCGACAGGGTCGAGCAGGTCTTTCAGACGCTCCACGATACCATCTTTAAGAACGACGCGCAAGACGTCGACGTTGTGGTCTGGTCGTACTTTTTGCGAATCCCCGAGCTCGACGCTGAAAATCCCGTCGTCGTCGTTTACCTCTTGCAGGAAGGCGTGCAGGCCGTCGACGCCCGCCACGCGGCCGCGCTCCGGGCGCTCGGCCCCCTGAGCGTCGAGGACCGGCCGGGCACGTACCGCGACCTCGCGGCGTGGACCATGATTTCAGCCGCCGACGCGCCGTGCCAGAAGCTCGGTGCCGCCAACCTGCGCTTCCCGCTGTACCTCGAGGCATACGACGTCGGCGCGGTGCAGCGCGTCTACGACCAGTTTGCCGCGGCGCTGCGCGAGACGCCCGCCTTTGCGCAGTCCATGTTTCTGTGGGAAAACTACCCCGTGCAGGGCTTGCGCGCGCGCGCTGCAGCAGCAGAGGACAGCGCGTTTGCGTTTCGCGGCGACAGCATCCTCGTGGCGCCGCTCATCAACTTTCCGCCAGGCGACGAGGACGCGGCGCGCAAGGCGGTGGTGCTGGGCGAGGCGCTGCGAGACACGCTGCATAATGCGTCGCGGCGCGAGACGCGGCACACGTATGTGAATTATGCGTTTCGCGATGCAAAGGAGGAAATGTACGGCGCCGAGGCGTGGCGTCGCGAGAAGCTGGCGCGGCTCAAGGAAAAGTATGACCCGCATGGGCGCTTCAACTTTTATAATCCCGTTGTTTGAGTTGTACGTTATGAATGACTTGCATGAATATACGACATATGTATCAATAAAGTATGACTGAGAAGCGTATCTAATGTGTTGAAGAATAGATCATGACCAACTATTCTTGCTTGTGCTCTCAACGGAAATCACCTTCACAAGCTTCTGGGGCAGCATTTTGTTCTCCCACCTAAACGGCCGGTGAAGTTGCCACATGCCGAACAATTGGTGGAATCATGACCAAAACCGCGCCTACTGATAGCATTGCCGCAGAGGCAAGATAAGGCATACCAACCCAAACCCCTCCCCAGTCCATGCCCACCTTGAACATTTGCGCCATCAGAGGCCCAGCCACCATCTCGCTAATCGTCATGAACAGGCTGAGCACCGTCATGACTAGCGCAATATGTGTCTCGTCGATGAGCTCCGTCACAAGACCGCGCAGCGCAGCCTGTAAGCCGATGCCACATTCTGCAAACATCATGGCGCCAATGAAGAGCTGTACTGTCTGCGCCAATCCCATTGCAAGTGAGCCGACGACACTAATCACGGCACTCACCCGCACGATCCACCAGTCCTTGACGAGGGGCGCCATGCCAATCCTTAACAGGAACTGGCTCAGTGCGGGCAGCGCAAGGGCTGTAAGGGTGAGGCTAGTGGCTTGCTTTACCCCGATGAGGAGACCGGCCTGGGAACAAATACCAAGGTTAGCCGTCGAAGCAGTGCAAAACCTAGGCAGCTATGCAGTGTGGTTGCTCACCTTGGACCAAGACCACTCGAATCTCTTGGCCACATACTGTAGCAGCATGATGACTACACTCTTGCCTACAGTGATGAATATTGTGCTAGATATGAGCAGTCCAACTGTGGGGTTTCCAGCAAACAGCGTGCGGTTGATGAGAGACAGATGCTGCCATGTAGAGCGAACATAGGACCGGGAAATCCAGCGTGGACTATGGTTATCGATGCGAGAATTCGTCTCGGCAATCTTGCAAGCTGTCTCTGCCCGTCGAACAACTGCAGCGGGTCTGGTCTCTGGAACGAACGCAGCAATTGGTATGGCCAGAGTCATCAACGCAAACCCAAAGATGAGAGTGAACCAGGCACCCATTTCATTCATCATGAAATAGGTCAAGGGACTCGCCACAAGGCTACAGGCAGTTACTGTTGTGGCCATCCACAAAAAGGCGGTAGACCTGCGGGTTAGTTAGTGAAGGCATGCAACCGTGTTCGGCTTCGCGTAGAGGCGTGTGGGAGGGCCGTCGGGAAAAGCGTAAAGTATGTATGTATAAAGATGGCAGTACCTGTATGCTTTTGTCGAAATATCTGCGATGACGGTATAGGACATGGCAGAGAGTGTCAACATGCCGCCACCAATGAGCATGAGTATCGGCGCGAGCCACCTCAATCTGAGAGAAAACGTTTCCGGATACCGGCCTAAGACGCGCTGAGTAAAATGCGCCATCAACTGTGACCGGAGCGGGTTTATTCTGGTACTCACAAATGACAATGGTCAAGAGCGTGGAAAGAACAACGCCAACGCTAGTCAGCAGGATGACTGCTCTGCGTCCGTACTTGTCAGCGGCCAGGCCAAAAGGCACGCCGACGACAAGACTCGGGATGAGGCCAAAGGTGAGCTCCCAGCCGCTAATCAGGGCCAGCTCGGCCTGGACCTGACTATCCTTGCAGCGCGGATCGGACGCTGGATCTGGGACTTGGCCAAAGATGTTTCTGCAAATAATGGCCTCGCTTATTTCATTCAACGGGGTGTCAGTCATGCCGTTTCCAACCATGATGCACAATAACAGAAGCAAACATGGAAATAAAAGCCTGAGCCTCTGCGCCGTCGTTCGGTCGTCGTCATCGTCGGTCACCTCTTCCGTTGGTGCAATTTGGTCTGTGCGCTCCAGCCGTTCATGTAAGAGGGGCTCGCTCTCGGCATGAGCTGCATCGATCGAGGGCATTTTCGGGCGTGAACAAGAGGCGTCTTTTGCCGGTTCTCTGGACTATACCAGGGCGGTTTGTTTTGTGCGAGAGCAGTGCTACTACTGTACGGCAAAGGTGTCTTCGACAAAACGGCGAGCCTTGAACAAAGCATTTTTGGCTACCTACTCCGTACTTAATATAACATCACAACCCTTGCAACCTTGGTACAGGCCGGGGAAGGCTACGCCAAGCCATTTTGGGCTAGCGCCAGGTGGCAGCGGAGCTATTGAACCGAAGTGCACAAACGACCCCTGCATTACGGGTACACGGCGCGATAGGACCACTTTTATCCATTTGGCACCCTTCCTGTTGCCAGAAGAAATAACTATTCAGCACGCATCGTTTCAACTTTTACAGACCAGTTAGCCAAGTTGAAATATATTCCTGTTGTTCACGCAAAAGACTCCAAGAACTTGATTGATTACAGCTCCATGATGAATTTCGGTCCGTTTCCTGGCTTTGCCTTCATCTCTGCCTCGTCCATAAATTCCGACATTTCCACCCGCAGCTTGGGCGGCTCCTTGATGCCCCCGTCCAACGCCCGCTCAAAAAGCACCAACCCAAACTCGGACTCTTCATTCGCCACCATTACATTGCCTCGTCCCGCATCCAAGACGCAAAACATACGCGGAAGTAGGCCACATGTCGGCACATCCTGCACGAATTCGAGACGGGGATGCGCGCCGTCAGTGTGGACGCGTAGGTGGGCGATGCTGTCGGAAGCCCGTCCTGTGAGGCGGTTGGTCACGTAGAGGTGCTTGTTGTCCCGGAGCAGATCCAGGTGGCCCGCCCGTGCTGTGGCGACTGACGGGCCCCCAGAACCAAAGGAGCACGTCTCTGATACTCGTGTGAACTCGAGTGTGGAGTCTGTGTAGTGCAGCGCGTATACGACGACGGCATTGACGAGCTCGCAGAGCAGAATGTAATGCGTCGCGGGCGAGGCACCGACTGGATAAAACGCACCATGGCGGGGACCACTACCGGGCGGCTCAACAGTGACGCGACTCGATATTGTAAAAGCATCGTCCTTGGAGTCGACGACGAGAATCTCATCCGTGCCGAGGTCTGGCACAACGTAGAAGCGTCCTGTCGGATCCAGAAGCACCTGATGCGGGTGTGGCGCATCCTGAATATGCGCTACAGGACCAGGCTTTTCATCGGAAACGATGGCTTTTTCCAACGTCACCCCGTCAGAGACATCCCAGACGTCGACGGCGCCGCCCGCAAACGCAGCGCCCAGCAAACGCTGCTTGTCCTGGGAAAAGGCAAGGTACACTGCGCCTGGGCACGCGGTATCGACCGTCAATTTTTGCGAAAAGGGTGTGTCGGAAGAAGGGTCCAAATGAAAGCGGTGGAAATTATGGCTGTCTTCGTCGACAATGTACACGAGGGAGCGGGCGCGGTCCACGGCGAGCCATGAGGGGCAGCCGGGAATGGCGAGATCGTGGATGATGGCGAATTTGTTGGTGACAGCGTCGTAGGTGGCCAGGTACACGTGGCCAGGGCGGGCTATAAGCAGCATTGCCATCATGTCCAGTTATACTAGTTTTACCCTATGTATCTGATGAAAGAAGAGATTGAAATGTCTGTTTCGATCACGACGTGGGCAATCACCGAGATGGTGGGGTATGGTGGGGGATTGCCCGCGGGGGTCAGCGAAATGTAACTTTCAGAAGTTGAAATGCTTATAACAATTCCCGTCTTGAATCACTTATTCAAATTACCCGGCATACGCCTATTACCACGAAATGGATACCGCCTTACCCTCGTACTGACACTCATCCGGCTCCCTCAGCAGATTCTCATACACCCAGCGCCCAACATCCTCCCTCGCCACAAAGTACCCTATCTCCTTCTTCTCGACGCCCTTGACCAGATCCTCCACCCCGACCCGGATCCTCGTCTCCGGCCTCGCCCCATCCCTTAAAAAGCTCGGCCTCACCAGCACCACCCGCTCGCCGCTCGCCGCCATCCTCTCCTCCATGACCTCCTTGTCCGCGTGCGGCGCGCCCAGCAGCCACTTGTACAGCGGCAGCATCCCCAGCGGCACGTCGCGTCCAAACTTTGAGATGCCCGTCGTGCTCACCGCCGTGTACAGCGGGCGTCCCGTGCGGCCGCCGCTCTCGCGGAGGCTCGTCAGCGCGGCGAGCACGCACGCGGCGGCCTTTTTGCAAACGTCCGGGTCGGAGAGCGTGCGCGTCGCGAGGTCCAGCTGCGCGCCCACGGACACGTGAATGGCGTCGACTAGGCGGGTAGGGTCCGAGGGGTGGACGAGACATGAGGCTACAGAGGAAGCGTCATGTGCGTTGCCGGTGAGGATGGTGAGGTTGGGGGGAGGAGAGGGAAAGTGGGCGGATAGCTTGGACGGCACGCGGCAGAGGGCGATGCAGGTGTGGCCGGCAGCGAGGGCGTGCTGCAGAGCGGCGAGACCGCAGCCGCTAGAGGGGCCGATAAAGGCGATTGCGTGAGGCATTTGTGTAAGTCGCTCGGTTTGATGTGTATAGACGGATATAGTGCTTAATTCTAGAGAGTAGCCGTTGCTGTGTTGCTGTATTTGTGTAGTGTCGCTGAGGATGACGATCATCTCAGCTGAAGCCAATTGTTGCGCAGGCGCCTTAATTTATACTTCCATCATCAAGCATTTTTGACTTTACGACCCTAATAGTTATCTTGAGGAATTGACGATCCTGTGGCAGCGATGCGCAGCCGCTTCCTAAGGCCGCTGGCCCTCTTCGGTGGCCTTCTTCTCCGCAGCAACGAATAGCAATGCGACAGCTCTCCGCAGGCGGACAACCCAAGATTGCAGTGGTAATGAGTTAATGTTCTTACTGGGCTGGCGCGTTTACCAGGTCCGCAGGCGCAGCTCAAGTCCGCTAGTGCTGACACCTCGCTTCCCGCTAACTAAAGCCGTTTGCAGCGAGGCTCGCGTCGCGAGGCGCGAAGTAGAGCACGAGAGGCCCAGCCTCGTTAATACCTTTCCGCATCTGCAGCCCTGTGCGGAATCGTTACCGACCACTTGTAATTATGATGATTTAATGTGACGTTTGAAGTATAGGAACCTGCATACAGCACCGCCTCAGTACCAGGTTCAGTCACAGGCTCTCAGACTGGCCTGATTGCGTCATGCTTATACCGCCTATTCGACTTGATTTGGAATGAAATGACGACTGTTCAATTCTCGGCTCCTTGCTGAAATTACGTTGTGCTTGTAGGAAGACATGTACCAGACAGCGAGTCAGAATCACAGCAAATCAAGCGAGACGACTTAGGACTACAAGTCTACGTAACCCGCACCACAGTATCTATGTTTAACGCAACACTTGTCAGACTCGATTGGGCGTTGCTCAAGAGCTTTACTATATTGACCTGAAAATGAAGTTCGCCACCATCCTTCTCGCCGGGTCTGCAAGTCCCTGTGCAAACGCAAAAACTCGATGCAAGCTCGCGACAGGCAAACCGCATGCGATTGCTCTACACCTTTCCGAGTCGTCGCTGGTTCCAAACGTCGAAAGCTGCCCCGGCTAGCTACACAAAAATACATCACCCAGTGTTCAAACCCGATTGTGCATTCAAAGCGATTGCCCCTGTCGAGGACTACAAGGCGAAATGCAATGCCCAAGCCCAAAGATACGCCGCCGCCGCCGCCACCGACAGAGCAGCCTGCACCGCCGCCCGCTAATACCGAGAAAAAGCCATGCGATTGCTCGAGGCCTTTTCAAGCCGGTAGCGACAACTTTGAAGGCTGCCCGGCTCCCTTCACGGATACATTACCTAATGGTCTAGTCCGAATCTGAGTGGAAGGCGAAATGCGTAAATTGACGCCAAGCCCGAAGATGCAGCCAAAGCCTAAAGATGAGTTCAAGGCAAGCCCTAAAAAAAGTACTATTTCCTCTTTGAAAAATTGTTAGCGGGTGACTCTTGGTTAATAAATGCAGCAGATGAGTGTCTCTGAAACCAGGGTGACGTGGAGTCAAAAGATGCTTCGTGGGCTATCGCTTTCTCATAGATGCACAGACTTTTACCCGGAGAGCCCTAAGGCAGATACGGTTTTTCCTAGATGTATGGAAATACCGAATAGTCTCTGATTAGGCTACGTGCGAGTATTATAGTCAAGCAATCATCATTATTTCCATCACTTTTAACCCCTCGCAGCCACGAGCCTCCACATCGTGTACGCGCCGTATCCCACCGCCGCGAGCGTCACCCCCCTGCCCAACAAACTAAAGACGATGTTGTTTGTCTCCGCTACCACGAGCGCCATTCTCAACTCCACATTCTGCTTAAACGTTTTCCGGTCATTAATCCTCGGAAATGGCGCCTTCACCATCTTCCCCGTCTTGGGATCCTCAACCACCGGCACCTCGACGCCCAGGTGCTTACACAGCGGCTCCCATCCATCCTGAACCTTCCACTCAATCCGTCTCTCTTCATCCACGACATTGCGACACTCGTCATACTTTTGCTTCATAAACGCAATCGCCTTGTCCTTCTCTGTGACAAGGTCGTAGCCCCCCTCGGCGTGGTTGATCTCGCGCCAAAACGAGGCCCTGCTACGCGTCCCGCCGTTGAACAGATAACAGTACAGCTGCTGCAGCTTGCGCGCCAGACTCACATGGGCGCCGATTGCGGCCACTGTCTCGCACATGCTCTCGTGCCACTTGTCCGGGTCGCGGTTCAGCATGACAACCTTGGCCTCGGGGTATAGTTGCGCCAAGTCCGCCGCGAAGAGCGCCGACGGGTAGTCGATACAGCCCTGACAGTCGCCGAGAAGCCGGTCCCAGTCGAGCTTCGTAAACGTGCCGTCGCCGCGGTACTTTGCGCGGAGGGCGCGCGTCCACTCCTGCATCTCGCGGCCCTCGTAGTCGGTAATAACGTGTATCATGTGGTGTGTGCGGTTCAACTCCAGCATCTGGAGGGCAGCGTGCGTGCCTACGGCATGTGATGTCAGTCAAGGAGGTGAAGCGGACTCCAGAGGGGTACAGCTGTGTGGTATACGTACTCATGGTGCCGGTCCGGGGAAAGCCGCAAACAATCACCTTCATGGGCGTCGTGCGAGGATAGCCCTCTGAGCCATCTATGGGATAATATTCAGGCAGCATCTTCTCTGGTGAGTTGTTAGGTAAAAGTCGGCGGGGGTTGTTGTGGTGTGAAATGCTTCATCAATCAAATCAGTGCCCAACATCGGGAGTGGCAAACGAGGGGCCCATGCCCCTGTCCTTTATAAACCGCTGCAGACGCCCAGGCCACTCCAGTATCGACTTGCAAGCACCCCGGCCTCATGCCTGCGTCCGTCTTTTTTTGATTGTTCAAAACACGATGCCCCGAAGAGCCTCGAGACCCGCGATAGTGTCACCAGTGGCGATGCTCTCGCTCCACCACACATCCATGCGGGGCGCGTGGCCCATCGACGTGTACTTCCCCACAACGTTCTTGTCGTTCTTCAAATCTCCGACGATCGACAAGGGAGCTGGAAGAGGGGAAGCAGAGGCTTATTGACTGCGATGACTTCATTTGACCGCTAGAATATGCGTTGGTACGGTACTTGTGACGGTGGGTGGCTTGCACATCGTCTTGCCTTTGCCAACAGGTACACGCCAGCGCCAGCCCTGCGATGATCCGAGAGGTCCGATAAGCCGAATCCGAATTGCGGTTGGTTCCAAAACTTTCTGAACAAAGACCTAAACATTGTCCACACCTTCTGACATGGCAGTGTCTTGCAGCTAGCTATGCGGTAGAACCTTTGTGTCTGGTCGTTTCAAGGGAGTTGCGCTGGTGTTCCTCTGCGTGCGTAACCTTTTGCGCCAACACTGCCTCGCATTACGCACCGCGGGAATACAGGTCCAGTTTGCGCCATCTTGATTTTGATTGCATGAGCACCGGAGTCGATTTGTTTTCCGGATCGTTTTGCCCCAGCAGCTTGCGGACCGTCGGCCCTGAATCAAGGCGGGGAGCGGGGTCGCAAAAACCTCTTGCAGCCTTTGGAAGTATACACGTACCTACGTTTCAGCATGTTGGCTTTTTCGGGTAAAGTGGCCTCATGCCATGAGACTCCAATGAGAACACTAGTTAAGAAAGCTCGTCATGTGAGAAAAGATATAGACGGAAGAGGGGTAATGATAAAATCCCAAGCATGGAGAAATCTATGAGTCACAGTAATACAACGAGTAGATGTGCAGTAGCAAGTTAGTGTGTTAAGGATTCAGGGATAAATGCCGTTTAAAAGGATATACTCGTTGAGAAAAGAATTCGCTTCAAATGGAAAAACTCAAACGCCGAAGAAAAGAAGTACCCGCATCAGCTAGCCGTATTATAGCCAGAAGAGCGCGGCGCCCGCAATGATGATGGCCAGAATGCTGGCCTGCGTGTGTGAGCCGGAGCTCTGACCGCTAGGTTTCGATTTGCCGTCGCTGCTGGTGGTGCAAGCTTGGCTAAAGACCTTGGGGTCGCAGGTCTTGGGGTCCAGGCCCGTGGCCGGAGGGGTGGCCGAGTTGCCGCCTCCGCCGCCGCCGCCATTGCCGCCGCTAGGAGCGGCGTCACCGTGATCATTCTTGCCTGGAATGCCGCCGCCGGGCACAGAAGCTTGTGTAGATTTGGGCTTATCAGGGTCAGAAGACTTGCCGAGGTCCATGTTGAGACCTGTGGCGTCAAATGAGCCCAGTATGGTGCTCTTGTCTGTGTCCTTGACCGTGTCGTTGGTGGCCGTGGCATCCGTGTAAATGTAGCTCTTGCCCTTGTTGGTCCCGGGAGCATTCTTTGCGTTGTAGCACTCAATCTCGACAGACTTGACAGCTGCGTAGTAGTATCCATTGTTCTTAACATCGGGGTGGTCCCACGAGATGACACCACCAGCCCAGTTGATGGTACCAGGAGCATTGCTAGCCTTACCGCCGGGCCAAATGGAGAGCTGGACTCGAGCGGGTGTCTGTGGAAAGGCCCAGGCATTGGCAGTCTTATTCCAAGTGTCCTTGCGCTCCTTGCTCCGATGGGGTTTGCCGTCGACCAGCCACTCAATCTTGTCGGGAGTCCAGCGAATTTCGTATTCGTGCCAGCTGCCAAAAGTATCATCGGTTGAAATGTTGCCGGAGTTGCCATCTAGCATGAGTTAGTTTACTGAGTTGCAAAGCACTGGTCATCAGGACTCACAGTTAGTAATGCCTTGAAAATAGTAGTTCGTCTGCGAGGTGCCAAGGTCGACCCCAACCCATTCGTAGTCAATTTCATCCTTGACATCGGAAAGCAGGATAAAGGCGGTGACAACGCCGCGTCCGCGGCTCGTTTTCATGGTAGCCTTGACGTTGCCGTACCACATGTACTCGGTGGATGCCAAGACGGTGCCAGGTGTATCCTTGGCCATGGTCATGAGGGCGTAGTCATTGTATTGCACCACCTCGCCTTGAACCATCCAGTCGGCCTTGCTAGCGTCGCCCAAGTATTTGAGAATGTTGACGCTTGTTTTGTCAATCTTGTCGAATTTGATCTTCTTGTCGCTACAAACAGGAGCGGGAGCGCAGGCGTCGAGCTTGAAGGAGCCTCGAGGGTCGCATCCGCCAAGGCAGTACGCACCAATACCGCATTCACCATATTCTAGTTCAGGTTAACAATGTCGGTTTATTCGCTTCGCCAGATTGTACGCACGGGAGCAGCAGGGAGAGCTTTCAGGGCATGGGTTTGCCGGACTGCAGAGGGCGAGGGCGGTGCCGACGCTCAAAAGAGCGACAGCCAAGGAGCGCAACATGGTCGGCGCTGAATGCAAGATGAAATCGAATTATCTGATGAATTTGGCAAAATAGAACTTTGCGGGTGCTACCGGCGATTGCGGAAAATTGTAGTCTCTGGTCACTAAGCGTTCCGTTGTTAGCAACATTTCATAAGGCTTCAGCCTCGTCGGTGGCACTGAAATGGTGTTTCTTGCGCGCACGACACCAAATTTGTCGGGCAGACAGGCAGCAGACTCGTTTGATGCAGAGACGATGGAAGTCAAAAGAGCACGCGACAACAGAGCTTTTCAAAGACAATCGCCCAGCACAGCTGTGCGTGAAACAATGACCCGCGGGCAAGGGCAATGGTCAGCCTAAACCATGGTCCTGTCAAAGCACGAAAAACAGCGAAACTTGAACATTGACTGAACACATGTTTTCCTTCCTTTCGTTTCCTCGACACATTTTTCATGCAAGGGCGACCGTTACACGACGCAAGAGCGTCTGCAGCCATGGCGCCCACCGACAGAGGCAGAGAGTACGGGCGACCCACCTGTCAAAACGTCAAGGGCGAACTCAAAATTCACATTCGCTTATCGGACGGTTCGAGTCGAGAGGATTCTTAAGTATCGAAAGTGGGTAAAACGAGTGTAATTCCCAGAGGGAACGACGACGGAGGACAACGAAAAAAGGAAGAGAACTTGGCTGTGGTAAGATTTAGAATGGCGAGACAAGGCAGGAGACGGGAAGCCTTCTTTGGACGTTGAGTAAGTACCTAATGTAATGGATTTTTCGCTGGCGCCTGGGCAAGCCATTTTAGCAGGGGTCCACCCCTAAATACGAACGAGCGCGGGAAAAAAGTCCTTGTTGGACGGAGATTTATTGAAACTCGATCTAAACTGGTTGTAGCCGAAAACGACTCTTTGGCCTCTCTGGGTGCAACTGAGGTCGCTGAGAGCCTAATCGCTGCTCGTGCTTTGCACTTTTTCACGAACCAATGAAGGAGATTTGTCAAATTGCCCACTGCTCCCGCACATGGTCTCTTTGTATTGTGACCTTGTGCCAGTTCACTTCCACCGCCAAGGAGCTTTTTTTAATTGTGGCTCCATGCTGATCCATGCCCCTTCAAGAGCTGACCCCGTGACGGACCTGCCCTTCTCCCGTGCCATCGGTGCCATTCTGGTGCCAATAATTAATTGCGGCCATCAAGCTGAGTACCAGTCGCCGCAGCCCGTATCAGCCTGGCCCGCCATGTCGTGCCTTGTTGGCAGACACTGAGAATAATCACGACATTCACAAGCTACTTTAGCGCTATCGCTGGCCCGTATCCAGATCTCGCCGATCCCAGTCGTCGATTACTGCCTTAATGTTGCCCAATTCAACCAAAGTTTATGTACATACCAAGCTCATTGTGAAGTTCCCCGTACTTTTCGTATTCTTCCTTTGCTTGATGCAATCACTTCCTCCTGCGCGCCGTAAAGGTCTTCAGAGGATCCCCCTTGCGGGACCCGATCCTCTTGCCCGACTTGCCCCTCTTGCTTTTCCGGTCCTTGCCGCCGAATTTGCGCAGCGGCACAAATCCAATCTTGGCCGCTGTCAGCGCCTCCTTGCCCTCCTTGGGCAGCAGGTACTCGGGGATGTGTTTCAAGTGCGCCTGTTGGCGCGCCGTGCGGAGCTCGCCATCGTGCCGCAGGTGGGCCATTTCCGTTGGGTTCTCCTCGAAGTACCTGAAACTAGGTCAGCGAGTCTGTTTACTAAAGAAAAAAAAAATCAAAAGAATTCGAAAAAATGAATATACGTACCGCTTGAGTTTTTCGCTCTTGAGCAGCTCTTGTCGGAGCTCTCTTGTTCGCGCTTCACGCACCGCCACCTTTGTGACGGCTCGCAGCGCATCATTCATACGGTATCGGAAGGCCTCTACTTGTTCTGGATTGAAATTGTAGGGCTTAATCTCCTTGCCCTTCTTGGCCTGCTGCTTCGTGATGCGCGCCATAATTTTTTCGTCCTTTTCCGTGCTGGCTATCGTCGTAGGCATATGCTTGCGATACTGGTCCTTGGGCACCACAAACGACAGGGCCATGCCGGCCTTGCCAGCTCGCGCGGTTCGGCCGATGCGATGGGTATAAGACGAGGCAGTCGTGGGCAAGTCAAAATTGATAACAGCTGCCACATTCTTAAAGTCAATACCTCGCGACACACCGTATTCGAGATCTTGCTCAGTAGCCTTGCGCTTCTTCTTCGGTCGCTTCTCACTCTTTTGCGTCTCCTCTTCGCCTTCTTGTTCCTCGGCCTCTTCAGCCTCCTCCTCACCAGCCTTATCTTCGTTGCCCAAAATCTCATTTTCGTCGGATGCAATGATGATATCGTACACGTTCTTGTTGAATTCTTCCACGACATGGATTCGCGAGTTGACGGGCAGCTCAGCGTTCAGAATACAGCTGCGAATGCCAAACTGCTCGAAAAAAAGCTTCAACCGGTAGCAACGGTCAATGTCGGCAACAAATATTATACACTTGCCTTTGACGAGCTTAAGCTTGAAGATGACGTAGGCGAGCAGAAACTTTTCGTCCTCAGCGCACTTGGTGACCAACTGTGTGATGCCCTCACCCTCGTTCTCCGGCTCTTCCAGGTCTAACAGTTCGGGCACGTTGTCGCGGTAGAAGATTTTCTTGAGCGAGTTGACTTCCGACGTCAGCGTAGCGCTCATCATGATTGTCTGAATTCCTTTCGGTATTGACCATGACAAGTTTTCCAAGTCGCCATCGTAGCCGTATGATAGCAGCAAATCCGCTTCGTCCAGGACAAGATGTGAGAGTTTGGCCAAAGATAAGGCAGACGAGTTTCCGTTCACGTTGTGCCATGCTCGCGCCGGCGTCGAAATGACAATGTCGGGTAGCGTAGCGAGCAGGGATCGCTGGACAGCGTCCGACAATTTGTCGGTCAGCTTGACGGCGCGCACATCTTTAGAGCAGAACGCGGAAAATTGCTCAATTGCCTTGAAGACTTGGTCCGCCAGCTCGCGCGTCGGAACGAGGATAAGTGCGGTGGTCGCAGGCTCGGGGTCGGTCTAGCGAAAGTTAGCATTGAGTAGAGCGGTTTCACGACGAAGCTGCCTACAGTCTTGCGCTTTAATATGCCATTTAGCACAGGCAAAACGTATGCGGCAGTCTTTCCAGAGCCAGTTTTAGCCTTGCACAGCACATCTTGGCCCTTGAGAGCAATGGGAATGGCCATGCGCTGCACCAGCGTCGGCTGAGAGAACTTTTGCTCCGCGACAGCCTGCACCAGGCGGGGATCGAGGGCAAGATCGGTGAATGAAAAGCTTTTTTCAGACTTGCCGGCCGTCGGAGTGGCCTTTTCCGCCGTGTCGGCCATATCTTCAACCTTGCGCTTCATCTTTTCGGCCTTGAATTATTGTTTTGGCTAACAGTCACCACCAAGATCACGCCGTGCTCGACAACGTGCGATAAGAAAAAAAGTTAGAGGCACTCCACCTTGTAGCAATCGATAACGCTGAGGGTGGGGCTTCTCGTGACACCACGTCCGCCAATGGTGTTTCAGCGCTTGTTCCACTGGAAGTGTTCTGTAATCAAACATCAAACTCCACCATGTCGAGTCTTCTACCTGGGTATCTTGCTGGTCAAGAGGTATTGCTACATCTGATTGAGGAAGAAAAAAAGATATCGCGTCACCTTTACCCATTTTGAATGCACCGGCTTCTTCGCGAATTTTCTATTGTAGCTTGCAGACGACTGTTTGCATCGCAAGTCCCTGACACAGTTCTGCCCACATCTTCCCGTGCACACCTTATGAGCAGGCGTAGCCCAGCATGACTGCATTAGTAGTAACACACCAACCACCTGCACCCTGTATCTTATACAAGTACAAGACGAAGCTTCTTCGAGGTGTAGTATACACTTCATTACGGGTTGAATGGCCGCGTCAGGCGAAATTGCCCAGACTGAGCAACCTTGTTGCACGCCTGCTCTCGGCGAAAGGTGGGAATGCGGCAGGAATATATCAGCCAGCGCAGACCAGCACCGTCATACCTGTGAGGTCTCGCAAGCTTCAAGCGCGGAGGCGATTGCGGCTCTTCAGAGTTCAGCGCTTTTCTTCTGGTGCGCCGCTATCTGCCAGCGCCACTGACCTACAGATGACCTGTAAGTAAGTCACTGACCTGTTACAGAGATCCTCTGCACAATCAAACAACTCGAGCAAGGGCCCGACTTGTATCATGTTGGAATCGGTCCGCTGACACGCCGCACGGTGCCAATGCTTCAAGAAAGTTGAGGAGCATCTACGACTCTCTGGCTTCAGTAAACCTTGGCAGCGGCCGTGACACGGAATCCTGTTCTTTACGCGTTGTGTCTGGTTGACTCATCAACTTAACAGTGCACAGGATAGATCACTAACAAAGTGCCTATTGCCAAGCGGCGCTCGATATGGCGTAGTGTTTATGGATCAGCATCGGCTTCTGGAGACTTGGTCTACGAGCCAAAGACCAATGCAAGCTATCTGCCGTTGAAGTCAATGGTGAAAAAATGACGGTTTTCACATTCTACGGCATGTCTACGCTTGCGAGTACATCGCGTAGGGAACCGCTTGAAAAAGCAAGATGATCAACTTGACTGTCAAACTGTCTGGGCGATTGTCTGCCAGCACAGCTGCGCTGCTACCCTACACATTTTATTCAAATTCGCAGATATCCGAATAAATCAGGCTGTTAGATTCGTTGACCCAATAAGTATTACTTTTACACATTTGAGTTGAATTAAATTTGCGAAAATCTTGATTTGATCTAGACAAAGTTGAAAATGATTTGTTTGTTTGTATTACACGTCTGCCAGCACCCAATCCTCCACGAACATATCACCACCTCGCCGTTACAAAACCAGCGTTCCAACCTTGCAAATATCATCATCAGTAAACTACCCGACCATTACCGACGACCAAGTCGCAGAGGCCATATCTTGCTCTGCGCGAACCGTGCGTACCGCTCGACAGACCATCATGCACAATGCTACCATTGAGCTCCCTCGAAAGGCCATGGGTCGAGTGAGCAGACCCAACCTCATTCATCCATAGTGCGAAATCTACCATATCTGTTGCCCAAATTTCGACCCATCCACCTGGTGCACCGCATGGGGTTCACATATTGGTAGCCATGTTCGTCCCACTCCCAAGGAGCTTCTTCTGATGTCGAGATGTTTGCTTTCGAAGTGTGGTTGCCAAAATGCCATACTATGAGAAACTTGAGGGCGATTGTGAGAGAGCTTTCGTGTCGAAAATGAGGCAGCTCCCAATATGCCCCTCTGTATCTAAGCACAACTGCAAGACCAGGGTGTTCCCACAGTTGACTGACAGGCGGAGTTTTCTGCAGCCAAATCGCTCATTGTTTTCCAGCAGTTACAGGGTGGGCAAGGTGGTGGGCTTGGAGCTGAGTTACCGCCGCGAATAATAACTAGAGGCAACGGGAGGAAAAAAGGGAAAAAGAAGAACGCATGAGCCTGGCTGGCCAGGAGGCTCGAAATAGCCACAGTAAGGCCGGCCTTCATGATGGTGGATTGAAAGATTGGTTACAATGTGAGGTGTTTGGAGAGTGCTAGTACGCGGGATGGGGAAGGACTTATCATATTGTAGAGGTGGCATACAATATATAGGGTCCCCCGCCATCTCGACCTGATGGGTAATTTCACAAAATCGGGCCTTTTGAAGAATCACAATTCTGAGAAAACAAGAGGTAGTGGCTGGCTGAAGCCGCTCGGTCCGGTCTGTCAATGGCATCCCGCAAGCCGATTGGCCAATTTTGGAAGACCCTGATATCTATCTGCCGAAAGTTGTCTTGTTCCAGAGATGTGTTGCCGGTGGCGGGCTGAAAGATCTTAGTTGGGACGGCATTGAGCTGAGCTGAGTCTCAGTTGTAGATTAATTCCCCTGCGCAGTCGAATCAGAACTATGCCTTGCCGAGACTCGGTCCTAGGCAAGTCGGTAGTTGAAGCTGAAAGATTTTAAACACATTGCTACGGCGTTGGGCGTGCTACGGATCGTCAACTTAAGACACATGTGAACTGCCGCCAGTGCCGCCGTCATGACGCGTGAAAACGATCAGCGCACAGGAAATTTAATACTTCATCATTCCACATCGTAAAGAGGAGAAATAAAAAGCATTGGGCACTTTTACGGCGCAGCTGACACAAGACATGCGTCGTATAGCTCCGAGGGCTTCCAAGTCAGTGGAGATTGGGTTACGGAGTGAGAAGCCTTGCACCGTCTAACCGGTAGCTGACCAGAGGTCATCATACACCATGGCCATTTCATCAAAGCCTGAGCTGCCACCGGCAGTGCCATTATATAAGTCGGACAGCACATCGCACAACAGTGCCTATTGTCTCGCTCTCACTATCACCGTTTAATACACTACAGCCTTCATCACCTTCCAAACATGCAGCTTCCCAACTCTGCTGCGAAGTTGCTGTCGCTGGCTATCCTGGTGGTGCCAGCTGTCACGGCGCTTGACTGCGTTAAGGAAGTCGACCACAAGAAGGAGTACACAAGGTAAGACTTCAATATTGCCCGCGCGCATCTCTTATCATCGTCCCTCAGTCACTAATACATCATGTAGCAACGGCAAGGTCTACAAGCTTTACTGCAATAGCGAGATCAAACCGCTTACGCCTGCGGAACGTACCAGCAACGTTGCGACTGCTGAAGAATGTGCCGATCTTTGCGCTCAGAAAAGCGACTGTCGCCATGCTTTCTACTCTGCAAAGAGTAAGATTTGCTTTTTGAGGCCCCCACAGACCTCAATAAGGGAGAAGTTCTTCCAAAACATGGTTGCCAGTGTTGGTAATACTTGGGGCTGGATTTATGATCGCGACGTACCAGCCAACACTGGCAATCCTGGGAGCAACCCCGGGAGCAACCCAGGAAGCAACCCAGGTAGTGGCACTGGAAGCAACCCAGGTAGTGGCACTGGAAGCAACCCAGGTAGTGGCACTGGAAGCAATCCCGGAAGCGGCACTGGAAGCAACCCAGGAAGTGGTACTGGACCTACTACTCCCCCGGGCTCGTCTGGCAATCAAGCAGAATACGACTGCACGAACAATCAAGACCATAAGAAACTGTTTTCTATGTTAGTAACATCCTTTTACCCTTGTTTTTACACTTCTAACAGCCTTATGCAGCAATGGAAGAACCTTCGAGCTACTTTGCGGATATGGCAACCATCATACAGGCTACCAGACGATCCCAAACGTCAACTCCTTGAGAGCTTGCGCTGAAAAGTGCGCTCTTGATGCGAGCTGCGGAAATGCCGAGTATCACACCTCTAGCGGCGCTTGTGAGCTCGAGCCAGACAATAATCCCGTCCTTGCCCCCGGCTACCATCTCTGGGTCCCCAAGTTCTGCCCAGATACGCCCCGAGCTCAGAACGCGGTCACCAACCCTCCGCAGACAACTGATCTCAGCTGCCCAATGAGTAACTATGATTGAGTCTGATACCATACGAGTACTTTCTAATACATCTTAGATGATGGACATATCTACGAAGGAGTAGACGGCACTTGGTATTACATACAGTGTTGTTCCGACTCTAGTGCCGCTGTGGTCACAGGCTTCGCGCAGGCCCAAAACCACAAGGACTGTCTCGATAAGTGTTCTCTTGATGAGAAGTGTTCCAGGTATTTCCCCCTTCCCCCGAATGCGCAATACTAGAGCCTTTGCCTGACATTGATTGACAGTGTCTCCTTTGATACTGCTGCTGTGAACAACTGCAAGTTCTATGGACCTGGAAACTACTCTACTGTTCACAAGCCTGGCATTCACCACCACTACGCTACCAGCCCGCCCACATCGGCGCCCGACCACTTTGGGTCAAAGAGATGTTCCACAGAGTGCCCGGAGGCGGATGGACAGATCTTTGCAAGTCCCTCCGGAGAGGTACGTGGATGGAAAACATCAATCATCAGTGCATGCCTGGCCTTACTAACGTTTCGACAGAACTTCGTCATGTCCTGCAAAAAGCGTCATGGTACCACGTACCTCAAAGCCGTCCCAGACCAGTACCCGTCGTTCGCATCATGCATGACAGCATGTGGCGCCCTGCCCGCTTGCCAGAGTGTTGACTACGAGGCCAAGACACAGAACTGCTACTTCAGCACCAACTCCAAGTCGCCCACCATTGCGGCTAAAGCCTTTATGAGCGCCCACTCTGCAGGGTGCTCCGGCGCGTGCGCAGGATGTTCTGATGAAAGCTGCAAAGACCTCAGGAAAGGGCCTCTCGGTCCTAGAAAGTATGGCTGCCCCGCCAACCATGGCAAGCCTATTACGGTCAAGGGCGTAGATTTCCAGGTGGCCTGTCAGCATGCCATCAACAGCCATCCATACAACCAAGTCACCGCGGGGAGCTATGAAGAGTGCATTGAGCTTTGCACTGACAAGGCCGACTGTGGTGGCGTGAATTGGATCGGCACGACGTGTTACCACCACCCCGACAACAACGCTGATGGCAGTTCCGCATTTGTCCATCAACGTGCTGACTCGGACGCTTACGTCAAGATCCCTGGACATTTGTACACTTCCCTATCCCAGTCGCCTTGAAACTCGTCTGCTTATGAGCGGAAAGCCAACTTTATAGTCTCTCTACGCAAGTTGCGTTGAAGTGTTCTCGCATGGGGGGAGGGTGTTCAATGGCATGGATGTGTTGTGCTGGAAAGAGTGGAATAAGTTGAGATCCTTAAAGCTTGGAACTAGAATCTCCGTATAATTCAATTGAGTATTTTCAAGATCAAGGAGTGTATTGACGATGGGCAGCTGCTTGTGAGGTTTTGTAAAGTATTCTATTGTAAAGCGCTGGCCGCAAATGCCTGTGTTGCCCTCGCCGCACTTTCTTTGCGCTCGCTATACCGGTCGCCAAAAAGTGCAAAGTGCTCGCGCATAATGATTGTGTACTTGACAAACTCTTCCATACAGTCTACGAGGCGGTCACGGTTCCCGCTGGGCAGCAGGCGGGCCGCGCCGCCGCCGTCACCGCCCTCGCCCTCAAATTGCGTGTAGGCCATGGGTATACTCGACTGGTTGGGAATGGTAAACATGCGCATCCAGCGGCCGAGGACGCGCAAGCTATTCACCGTGTTGAACGACTGGCTGCCGCCGTTGACCTGGATCACGGAGAGGCTGCGACCCTGCGTTGGTCGCACGGAGCCCGTCGACAGCGGGATCCAGTCGATTTGGTTCTTGAACACGGCCGTCAGATTGCCATGCTGCTCTGGCGCGCACCACACATGGCCGTCGCTCCAGAGGGACAGCGCGCGCAGCTCCTGCACGGCTGGGTGCTCTTGCGGGACCGAGTCGCGGATTGGGAGCTGCGCGGGGTCGAAGATGCGCACATCGCAGCCCAGCCTGTGCAGTATGCGGGCTGCTTCAAAGGCTGTGAGTTTTGAGTAGGATCTGTTACAGAGACAGGACGTCAGTCAAGTCTTGGAACGGGTTTTCCATTGTCCATGGACAGTAAAGCCCCTTGTCAATAAAAAAAGTGACGAGTGGTTTAACCCTACCTCTTTCGAAGACTGCCGTAAAGAACCAGCACCTTTAGACGCGAGCCGGTGTGGGCGAGATTTGCTCGTGCCATCTCAGTGACGGTGTCTAGCTCTAGATCCTGGATCCAATCTGGGCCATCGGGTCTGGGAAAGTGTCGCAGAAATGGCCGGTACTTTTCTCTTATGTCATGCTCGTCTTGTTCTGCGGCCAGGGGCAATTGCATCTCTGACTTTTCAGCAGTAGGAACGCCGTTGTTGATCATGTCGATGTCGGCCTTTGCTATACCGATAGGTATTGAAGATGTTGGCAACGCAGCATAGACAGGTCTAGCAGCGGCAGAGCTGTTCAAGTCTTCTTGGCCACTCAATGCCACAAAGGGGTTCAAAGAATGTGCCATCGTTTTGCTGCGGATGAATATTTGTGAATGGGACCACGCGGAATCGTGCAGTCGAAGAGATGAAGGCTGCCGGACTCGAACTAGGCGTGTTATGCAAAGCATTCCGCGAGTTCAGCGTAGAGCACAAAAAACGACAATTTGGATATGTCTTTCAAACAAAATGTGCTCGCCAAGATTTGATAGGGATGTGCGACAGTTGGTGGCATTGAGGATGGCGAGGGAAGACAATGCCCTGGAGCAGGAGTTGTGTCACTCCCCGGATTTGATTCGTCGTTGGATCCCTGCGAAAATTCGGCTCGCACCTAGGTAATCCGTAGTGCATAACTAAATTACCCACTAGGTTGCCGATCAGGATAACAAGAGATACACTAATCGGATTGACCACATAATCAATGAAATTGTGGCCCTTTTTACTTATGTGACTTCTGGTATACTTTCTATTCGAAAGAGTCCAAGGTCAAGGGTCGAGCGAAAATGACGAATTCACGTATGTTGAGGTACAGAACCTTGAGATATTTGCCAGGCCCAAGCGACCCAGTACGTCCTCTCAAATCTCCGTTAGATATAAAGTAAATAGAATGATGCGCATAATTTATTTTCTGGGCCGAAAACTTGTGGACTTTTGATCTGCCAGGCACAGTCTTTCCCGATCTGTACCATCTGTACCCAGGTCACAGCCTGAGGGGCTTTTTACCCGCAGGCTCGAACAGCCGAAAAAGTATACAATAAAACGTTTGCCATAATTTGCGTCACTTGACGTCCATGGCAACTGTTGAGGGAAATGCCGACAATGCATAACAAGGCTGAAGCAAAGACGACAACGGCACATGAAGTGGCCCGGCAATACAGCCACTGGTGCATGCTGCAGCCTGCCATTGGCCACAGCCACAGATCACTTGCATGCATCCGTTGGCGTTCGGGTCCGCACAATGGCTCGGCTTCCCGCAAAAACCTCATGCATGCACAATTACATGTCGAAGCCGATCACATTGTACTCGTCGACTCTTGCGTTGTAGCTTGGCTTTGCGACGCTAAACGAAGCCAGTGTCGTGATGCTTATTTACGCATAGTCTGCATACGATGGCATTATCCAACCGCAGGTGGGATTAAGGCAAATTTCAAGCTGAAAAATGTGATTTCCTGAGGTCTTACTCTGGACAGTACCAATTCTATGTCTGCAGGTCCCCGACCGTTGGGACAAGCCGTTAGTTTACACAACCTCAGCTATTACCCACAGCTCGATAGTGGCATCCGCCGGGTGTTTCCTAGTCCTAAACTATTGCGCAAGGTTCTAAAATCTAGGACCACTTACAACTCCGTTTTGTAGTATCTTCATGGAGAAAGTTAAACAAGCTGGAACTGAGAGAGAAAATTAATACTTGTCATCCACATTGGCCGTTGCGTTGAAGCGGATATTGTCTCTACGGATGTGGCGCTTCCTGCCGCCCGTTACCTTCATCTGTGCCCCTTTAGAATACTTTCCGGAGTTCTACGAATTTCTGTGACTTAGAAAACCGTTTTTTGAAATCAGCATGTCTTTGTATCCAGTCGTGATACTCTGTGTCATCTCGACCGCCGTTGCGGCTGCACATGCGTCCGAGACACGTGTATTACAGCGTGGCCTTGTCGGACCCGAAGCAGCCTCGGGAGCTGATGAGAATCACAATCCCCATTTCAGGTGTGCGGGGTTCTGCGTCCCATCTATTCACCGATCGAATATCTTCACCTACGCCCGATCGTCTGCGGAACATGGTCCAGCCAACATCTCGTTTCAAGGCCTCCAGATCGGGGGTCTCTAGAGTCTTGGATAACATCGGATTATAGCGGAACTCGTCCGTCATTCAATCTTTAGATAATTACATGGTAGTGTCTATTGCCTCACTCTGAGCGCGCGAGCCGTGCCTCGGGCTTCACCATTCGGGCCGCTGACGTATCTCACTACTGAATCTATTGTGAACTATTGGGCCGTAAATGGCACACAAGTGGCCCACGATTAGATTCTCATGATCCCCCCTGGCTGCGAAACGAAATCATCTAGTGTCAACTGTGTGCTGTCTTGGACTTTTGCATCAAAGGTGTGGTGTGCGCCCCTGGAGACGACGATTATCCACGAATCAGGAAAGCGCTCGGCGACGGGCGGCCGGATTCTGGCGGACGAGGCGGGAATGACATGTCAGAGCTTGACTACTGGCAGTATTATTTCCAGTGCTCATGTAATCTGCACTGGTACCGGATATCGGTTATGCAGCGCCAAGACGCCTGGTAGCGCCTTGCTTTCCGTGCTCGCTCGATCGTTCGATGCTGGTTTCCCAATTAGACGCCTTACGTCTCGGCCATCTGCGAGAACAAAGCGATGTTCTGTTAGCTTCTTGTTATTTATCCCATGATTTTTCGGCTTTTTTTCTTCTTGAGACACTGCGGTATAGGGTCCCAAAGGACCTGCCATCTCAGGGCTGACATGCTACCCGAATTGCTTCAGAGCCTCGAAATCGGATTCACTTTACACCCCTCTTCCGCCTTGCCGGAATCTTGACATCATTGGGTCATCGAGGGAATTTGTGTATTTTAGATAGCTATATCTGCAAGCTTCGCTTCGAGTTTTATACACATTGAAATTGCTGTCCATTCTTAGCGGGTTCTCACAACTGTCTGGGCGTCTCAAGTTGCCTTTTATTTCTGGACTTAGATCCATTTGCTACTATACTAGCATCACCATTGCTCAATCAGTCGTACGCTATATCGCTTATATTCTATATTCCTGTATCTATACAGCAGACTCTCTATCTTTTTCTCATTCGTGCTGATATGGGAAACTCATCCAACTCCTGCGTCACCCAGAATTGGGATTCAATCATGACCAATTTTGACACATGCGAACAGCCGTCGCTGGACATTGATGCTTTCGTTTTTGATCACAGCTACCACGAGGGGGTTACATCTTTTCCTGGTCTGTTGAATAGCCAGATTGTGAATTATGACGCCTGCCTTGAGAGCCAATCTTTGGCTTATTTACATGAACACCAATCTTCCCCATTCACTCATGACGTGCACCTCGACCCTCTACCCGTGGAGTCAATGGCCTACAATCGTGAGACTAGCGCAGCAGATGCCAACCTTGCCCTTTCTCTTAGCCATGGAGACTCCGTATCTACGCACTACACTTGCCCACAATACAACAATCTCATATGCTCTAGCCCTGGATGGTTCTCTACACCGGACAGTTTGACTACGAGTGCAGACCCATCTCCCACCAACAACCCCCATCAGCGCCTGCACCACGGCATTGGCCAACGCGGTCATCGGTCCCTTTCCAGCACCTCGGCGAGGAGAAAGCGCAATTACTCGGTGGATTCATCAGCCACCAGCAGTACCGTTCAATGTACCCAGTGCGACTTGACATTTTCCAGCGTCTCCACCTTTGCGAGGCATGTCAGATCCGAGCATGTAAGGCCACTGCTCTGCATTTTCCACTATGCTGGTTGCACGTCACGCTTCGCGTTCAAAAACGAGTGGAAGCGTCACGTTATTTCACAGCATCTCAATCTTCAGTATTGGGTCTGCGTCGAGGGTAGCTGTGCATTGAAGCAGCGCCCGATGACCAAGTTCCCCGTCAGTACAGTCCCATGCCAAGGATCCATCTTTAACCGCAAGGATCTATATACGCAGCATCTTCGCCGCATGCATACCACCCTCGAAACTGGAGGCACCTGTTCAGATACCAGGGGGCCTGCCTCGGGCCAATCTAGAGACCACATCCGTGGGCTGCAGGACAAGGCCGCACGTACGCGCTGCAGCTTGCCACACTTTATGCTGTGCCCCGTGTCCGGCTGCTTGAGCCCGTTTTCCGGTCCAAACGCGTGGGATGACTGGATGGAGCACATTTCTATTCACATGCAACGCGCTGCTAGCGGCAAGGAAGCCGCCGTCAACTGCGGTGGCTCTAACGGCTGGACTTTGACTGAATGGGCTGCGAGCGAGGCAGTCGGTATTATTACCCGCCACACATCCTCCGGTACGTGGACGCTGGGGAAGCCCATTCATGACAAGGGAACAAAGTGGGCGTCCTACACGGCATATTGAGAAGAAACCTTTATACCCTGATCTTGAGTTTTTTTTTTTTTAAAGTACTGGCGGCTCGTGGTAACTAGTGACTGAAGTGGTCTTTTTTTTTTTGTATAATTCGTTATAAATTTACATAACTTTGCCTGGTCAGCCATAATCTAGCCCTGGTTAACAAAGTACTACCTTTTCTGATAGGGGCGTCTCGCATAGACAAAAAAGAGTCCTTTCTCTACCTTTTTACCAGTCCTCAGTACTCATCACAAATCTGGTGACTTGGTGACTTATACCGTGATCCTGAGTTTTTTTGAGTACTGGCGACTGGCGACTCAGGATACATCGAAGAAGAACCCACAGGGCTGGCCACGGTGGGCCACGGCGGGCCACAGCACAAAGTACCGTCTATCCCCTGTACAGAAGCCGTACAGTGGCTACAGCAGCCGTACAGTGGCTACAGCAGCTGTACAGTGGCTACAGCAGCCGTATAATAGTGGCTATAGCAGCCGTACAGTGGCTACAGCAGCCGTACAGCAGCTGTACAGTGGCTACAGCAGCCGTACAGCAGCCGTACAGTGGCTACAGCAGCCGTACAGCAGCCGTACAGTGGCTACAGCAGCCGTACAGTAGCTACAGCAGCCGTACAGTAGCCGTACAGTGGCTACAGCAGCCGTACAGCAGCCATACAGTGGCTACAGCAGCTGTACAGCAGCCGTACAGTAGCTATAGCAGCCGTATAGTAGCCGTATAGTGGCTATAGTAGCTATATAGCTAGTATAGTAGCTCTGAGTCACCGCTTTTAATTTAGGTACTGGCGACTTAGAAAAAGGCACAAAAAGGTAGATATAGAGCCCTTATTGCCTATGGCGAGACGCCCCTGTTAGAAAAGGTACTTCGTTGACCAGGGGCAGATTGTGGCTGACCGGGGGGTTGAGCAGGGTAGTTAAAGTTATGTAATTTTATGAAAAAAACCACTCGAGTCGCCAGTCGCCAGTACTCAAAAAAACTCAGGATCACGGTATTAGGGGTGCTGGCGGCTATGGGGCTACTGTAGGTATTGGCGGTACGGCTGCTGTATGGCTTGCTATACTGGCTATACCAAGTAGCCCCCGATGATGAGCAAGCATGTATAGGGTGGCTGTCAACGCCCGTCAAAAGACATGGACAGAAAGCGATAGACTATATTTTCAGATTAAAATTTCCAACTTTTAGATGTACAGACTATTTTCACTTGCTTGCCATAACTACTCATTATTCAATTCCAAGGCTTTTTAAAAGCGCAGCCGTCGTTGGTGGCCGGCCCAAGAATTCCTCCAACAGCTCCGTCTGGTCGCGGCTCCCTCCATACTGAAGCAGCTCGCGACGGAACCGTTTCCATGCCGTTTTGCTGGTTGGATCCGCTGCGAAATTGCTCTGGTATATCTCCTCTCCAAATATGTTTGAGCTATCTCCATTGTCAGCTTCGGCCGAAACTGTCGTTGTTATTTGTCGTCGGCTGCTCCACCTACCAGATGTAGCTGTAATAGCCCGAGTTGTACCCAGACATGAGGTGCGAAAAGTCCGCCTGAGGGTATGATGGTACCGTGGGTCGTATAAACATGTACATTTCTTTCAAATCATGATAGATTTTTGTTTCATCTAGTTTTTCTAAATCCGCGTGTGATTTGGGATTATGGACGGCCATGTCGAAGCCAGCGTCGGAACTTTGTGTGTCGCTTGTTAGTCCGCTGTTCATCCATAGTTGGGCCGCGGCTACTTACAGCTGCTTCAGATACGATTCAATCCTACGCGTCTTCCTGTCATTTACAAGATCCTCAATTAACCCATCGGGCAGTGTTCGCGGTGGCAGCGGCTTGTCGGGGTTGTTCTTCTGCCATGACTGCATGTAGGCGTCGTCCGTGTAGGCGTAGTGGCAGCTGATGCTTTGCAGCTCCTCCTTGAGCCAGGCGTAGTTCTCCATGGCCGTGCCAATGCCCTCGCCGAATTCAAGGGCCACGTTGTATCCGTGATACGTAGACCATTTAGTCCGCGAGAGCAGAACTTGGAGGGCGTGCCCCAGCTCTGCACGGCGAACAATTAGCGATCCCCGCTGTCTATCCCTCAACAGAGTAGCAGGACTCACCATGATACATAGTAATGATATTCTCGTGTTTCAGCACTTTGCACCCGTCGACGACTTCAGGTGAGAAGCAGCACATTAGAATACCTGCTGGAAGGGGCCGCGTCCCATCCTCTCTCAAGTAGCTCTACACTTCAGTTAACCGTGATCCAGGTCCGCAATGCAGCGTTACTTACTGCTTGAAGTTCAACCGTCTGGTTGTGCTTGTACTTGTTCTCTCGATCCAGCAAGTCCGCGTAGAAATACCCGACGAATTGGCCATTTTCTTCCTCGCCTTCGTCCCACACAGCCCACACGTCGACGTCATGAGACCAAATGCACCCCTCCAGGTCTTCCTTGGCCACAGGCTCCAATCTGAGCTGCAGATAACTGGAAATATTTCCAAGAATCGCAGCGCTCGTCTCCTTGAAGGGGAAATAGGCGCTAATGACCTTTTGATCAATCCGCCTCTCACGCTCCAGCAAAGTGGCCAAATAGAGCCTTTCCCATGGCTGCACGGCCGTGTCGCTACCAACATCCACGGCTTCACTCTTCTCCTCCATTAGACGTCGCTTGAGGTCCTCCATCTCTTTGAATAACACTTTTCCAGGCCCAATGAGTTTATTTCCCAGGTCTGTGAGGAGGTCCTCTACCCACTCGGTCGACTTGGCCATCCTGCTGAACAGATTGAAATCAGCGTCGCTCTTGTAACCCATCCGTCTCGCGTTTTCATCACGCAGTAAAATCACCTCTCGAAAGATGGCCACATTCTCCGGCAGCCGCGCCGCCCATGCCTCATGGAACGTCTTGCGGGTTGTGAGAATTGTCGCTTCACGCATAATGCGTATATAGTCGGCTTGCCTCATCGGAACGCGTCGTTTGCCAACTTGATCCTTTTCATATGCTTCTATCACACCCTCTTTTAGGCCTTTTAGCTCAGCATCCGAAAAGAGCAGATGGCCGCCGTCATAGAGTCGAATATTCCTATTGAATTCCTCGCAGAGCTTGGAGATTTGCTTGCGCGTGCTGAGAAAGGCCGTCTTTGTCTCCGCCTCAATGTCGCCATAGCCCATGTGCCTGAGCCACTCCGTCCGTCGCATGAGAAGCCTCTTGCTCTCCGGATCCAGGCCGTCAGTCTTTCCCCCTGCCGCCAGCTTGAGACGAATCAGCTGTTCCTGACTGTCGACCCAGACGTTATGCTCGGACCACAGCTTGGAGCACTCGACGACTTCGGCCTGCACCTCTGCGTCCTGCGAGCCATACCGCAGCATCGCGATCATGTCAACATGATCCGATACCATGTCATCATATCTGAGGACCGGCTCGTAGACAGTCTCAAATGACGCCTGGTCCACATCGACCGTGTCAATTATGTGCTGAAGAATTGCTTGCCTCTTTGCAATCTGGGCTTTTCGGACAGGAATAAGATTTCCCTTTGTCGGGACGCGAAGAAGCGCTTGAGGTAGTGGCGCCATTGTGATTGAAGTCTGGATTTGGCGAATAAAGGGTATATTCCGGTAGACGTAATTTCTTTCTTTCTCCTTTTTTCAGGTATCAGTCTGGAAAACGCATCAGCCTTATTTATTTATGTCCGGAAGTATCTACGTGACATTCTAGTAACAAGAACGCCTCTTTTTCCTTAACAGGAATTATTATGGCAAATCTGACGTGGAGGAGCGTTCACGCGCCCAAATCCCTTGTCGTTGAGTGGCTCCGGGAACCTTGTAACGGAGATGAATTCGATCATGTGTTGCCTCAGCCGTACAGTAGGCCCGTCCAAAATAATTCCTCACTCCAATTGCAAATAGTTGGTCATGTGGGCTCAAATTGAGGCTCTGTCATTGGCCCCGGAAGCCTAGACAGCCCGCATCTTGAAATTTGCACTGTCACTTGACGAACCCCGAAATTTGTAACATGCAGCCGTCGCGCATCACACAAGCCGAAAAAATATTTCATTTGTGTACCGAAGAAAAAACAATAGTCATAAAAATTCAAGCCTGCATATTATGAGTCTATCTGATAAAAAATTCATAGAAGCCCAAGGTACAGCGCTACTCTGACTTGGGCGGCCACTTGACTCTCTTCTCTGCTCGCACATAGAGATTATTCGGGCGAATCAGCTGGAAATACGGGTCGTACTCGATTGGCCCATCTTGCGCCAGGGTAAACTTGTAACGATAGACCAGCTTGGGCAAAAAGACCTTGATTTCCTGCAGGGCAAAGTTGAAGCCAGCGCACATGCGTGGGCCCTGCGCAAAGGGCGTGTAGGCGCCTTGTGGCCTGTTCTTGACCTTGTCCGTGTCCCATCGGTCAACGTCGAACTGGTTGGGATTTTCCCAAATCTTGCCATTGTTATGGATGTGATGCAAAGCGGGAATGACGACCGAGTCCTTGGGCAATTTGTACCCGCCGGGCAAAATCATGTCCTTTTTGGAAGTGCGGGCGGGCTGGTATGAGGGGTTGTGGCGGCGCTGCGTCTCCTTGATGAACTTGTCAAGGTAGGTGAGCTTGGTTGTGAGATCAGAGGTAACTTGCGTGTCCTCGTCCCAGTCATTGTCAATCAGTTCCTGCAAAAGCCGCTCCTGTGTGCCGGAGTACTGGACTAGGCTATAGATGAGCCACGAAAGCAGGGAAGATGTGGTGGTGAAACCAGCAGCGGTAGCTACGAACAGAGCCGGCGCAAACTGTGAGGGCGGAAATTTGTTGCCTTTGTTGTCTTTGGCGCGGAGGAAGTAATCTGCATCATTGGTCAGTAAGACTGTTTTTTTCTCAGTGGTTACAAGGCTAACGTACCAATAACGTTTTCGGCTTTTAAAGCTGCATCTTGGAGTTGTAGATCCTCTTGGCCCTTGGAAGCCTGCGCAATAGACTCCAGCATCATCTCCTCGACACGCGCCTTTGTCTGACGCAGTGTCTTTGGGTCACCAAACGGCATGCTGGCATACCAGGAACCCATTGTGGACACCCTCTTAGTTAGCTCCAGCTCATGTGCAATCTGCATGACCATTTCGTGGAGTGGCGCATCCACGCTGGTAAAGTGCTTGAAGTCGATGCCGAGCACCAGTTGGCCAACAGCCTGGGACCCAAGCTTCAACATGTACTGGTAGACGTTCCAAGCTTCGCCCTGCTCTTCCAGCTCGTCAAACACTTTGAATGCATCCTCGACGCTTTTTTGCATCGTCGGCGCATAGTGGCGGACAGCTTTTGGTCCTAGTGCAGGGGGCAGAAACTTGTGCGCCAGTCGCCACTCCTCTGTGTCAGTATCGCCCAGGAACACACCAGCTTCGGGAGACTTGACGGAATGGAGAGGATGGCCGGGAATAATGTGCTTGGTGAAGAAGTCGTTCTCGCCAAAGAAGATTGTGGCGAGCTTGGGGTCGTTTGTTTGGTACACACGGCTTCCCATGCTATTCGTGGAGAATAAAGGACCTAGCTTCTCAAAGAGCCTCTGGTGGTTGCCCAAATGGTCGGGGTAGATTTCCAGATAGTTTCCAAAATAGGGAATACCGGCGGGTGAGGGGACTTGACGCACAGCTTTGCCACCAATAGTCACAGCTACAGGGCCATCGTTGGCAATGATGTCCGCGACAGCTGTTAGTCTGCGCTGGTCATACAAGAAACCAACACCTATTTTATCAGTAAAGATATTGTTGACTGCTTTGGACAAGACCGACCTTTTGGATCGACTATGCTATAGTGGGCGGCGATGTGGTGTTGAAGGTCTTCGAGGTCAGAGGACTCTGGCAGCTCAATGTCGCGAGCTGTTGAGACATCTTCACCAAGAAGGTAAAACTGTTTGACAGACATGGTTGTTGAATAAGGAAGGATCCTGACCTAGACTGATGAAGACAATCGCCGGATGTAAATGCGTGACTGCTGTCATTCAAACTCCTCGAAAACGGCGGCCGAGCGACTAAATATGAATGCCCCTTTACGAAAAGAGGAAAAAAAAAAAAGAAAAAAAAAAAAGGGAAAATCGCAACTAGCCCGGATCGTGCCGAGGTATATCTAAAATGGTGCGAGAATGGCTCTCGAGCTGGCCAAAAAATATATCTCATCTTGCGATTGGATCCGCGAATCCAGGCGTTATTATGGTGTCGGAAAGACTAAATGCGTCCGGGCGGCTCCGAAGATCTCGCCTAAGGCGCGGGCATCAGTGCGCCATAAAACCGTTAATTTACAGGGAATTGCCATAGGCTTGCATTTTGCGTCCTGCTCATTGGGGGCCAGGCGACCAGCGGGACGCATGTCGTAGGCCAAGCCAGCCGAGAGCCGAGCACGTAGGTCAAGCCAGCCGGGGGCCGAGCACGTAGCTCAGACTTGGTTGTATAAACCTTGACCTTGGTCGAAGCGGGGCAACAAACATAAAGGCGGTTCAGAGCCAGCACGATGCGACGACACGGCTCAGGCGATGCCGTCCCGCTAAAGTCGGCGCTGCCGAGGCGCAGCGACTCGTAACAGAAGGAGAGCGATGGCTTTGGTGGGAATGGAAGACACCGGAAGCGCGACAAGCCGATTCTTGGCACTAGCATTTGCATAACCACTAGACACCGATCAGTGATGCCTATGTGGGCACCTTTCCGGAAGCCGAGCATGGGGGGAGGACACATTAAACCGGCCCTTCTGAGAAAGCACCTCGTTTCTAAACCGTTAATTGTCTAGGGATAGACTCTTTAAATAAATTATAAAAAACATGTAATAAATCCAAAAGTGAGTAAATATATATTATATGTTTTTCAAAAAATATTAATTTACTTGCTCTTATGTGTAGTTATCATTAGTAAGATAGTATCGAGAATCGATGAGGGCCGGTTTTTTGTCCCCCCCCCCCTTGCCGAGATGCGAAACCCACCCATTCAAGGGGT